AAGCACTCCCAGAGCGGCTACCCCTAAGCCGTGGGAATCGCCATCGTCACACGTCTCCAGCAAGGGGACAGCCCACAGATGGACCATTACCCCCCTGTACACGTTGCTCGCCTGCCTGCTCGCTCAGTAAAGGGTCCGGCTCTCATGCCGTGCAGTGGGCCCTGTTGTGTTCGGCGTGGCCAGGCCCTCGAGTCGACCACCACCACATCTGGCACAGACATCGCCACAACTGTCGCAGCCCTCGCCTTGTCACGCCTCTCTTTCGCGCTGGTGCTCTGTTCTCCTCCGCTATCGTGGTGGCGGCCGCCTGTCTCTCAAGAAACTCCCGGCAAGAGTCAGCTCCCTTTCATACCCCTTTCATGCCCCTGCTCGTCTCCTCTGCCTGTTGCCGTGCGAGCGTTGAGGAAGCGGTGGGCTCATCACGTCCGAGCTGGCGCGGTGTGCCGACGGTTGAGCACGTGACGTTGCGACACTCCGCCGTTCAGCAGGAAGCCACCGTTGCCGCTGCAGTTGCTTCTTCTTGGTGGGCAGCTGCCGCGCCTTCTTTGGCCCCTCGCCTCGGTGGAGTGGTGCCGCAGTGGTAGACAGCGTCGCGTCCGGCACCCGAAGAGCCCGCCACACATCACCACGGCCACGCCCTCTGCCTCTTCCACAGCGCCAGTGCAATTTCCTCGCAGAAGGGGTTCTTGCGCGAGATGCGGTGGTTCATCAGCACCCTGCACATCCTCTTGAGGGAATAGTGCTGCAGCTGTTTGTTCTGCTTCGCGATGAACAGCAGGAGGCGCAGACACGCGGGCAAGTCGTGGCGGCGGACTATACGCACGTTCAATACGTTCCGGAAACGGTGTGTGGCCGTATAAATTAGTGATGACCAGATGGCCAGTGTTGATATGGTGCTCGTAGCCATAGCACAGTGAGGCGTTGATCTGTTGCACTATGAGGTGAGCCTTGCTGCTTTACTATTGCAGCTGCAAGAGCCAGTCAAAGCTCGTCGGCGACTCGACGGCTTTTTCGCCCAGCATACAAATGATGTCTTTCGAGTGCACCTCGGCCACCACAACTGTCTACAGGGTGAACCGCTGCACCGCACCTAGTCCGCTGCTCTGAACGAGCACGAAGAGGCCGTCCGTCTCTGCGGCGTCCCTCTCGTGGTGGGTGGCGTGCTCCTCCCCCCCCCCCCCCGCCCTCCCCCAAAAGATCAAAGGCTGTGGTGGCGTGAAGTTTCCTAAACAGCTGCTCGTCCTCGTGCAACTCGCGCCCCCCTGCAGGCTGGCTCCTGCGTACGATGCTCCGCACGTTTTGCTTGAGGCGAGAGATTTCCGCGTACGTCGGGAAGAGCGGCATCGGGAGCTTCTCGATGATTTCGTCGAGCAGGCGTCGGCTTGACGAATTCACACTCCTTGGAAACCTGATAATTGTGGCACCGCATCATTTAATCCTGTGAATCAAAAGGGAGAAGTTTCATCCGGCAGCCCCGGCCACGCTTTTTGTCAGGCATGCACCGTTGTGCAGAGACAAGAAAGGAGCACTGTCGGTGGAAGCCGTTTCAACTCCCGCAAAGCCGATGAACCGCTCCTTCCGCTGCGCGTCCGTCAGGCCTCCCACGTCGTGCCACCACAACACCACCTCTCCGCTCCTGCTCGTCACGGGAGTTGTACCGCGGTTAGGACTGCTCAGCCAGCTAGGTCGCAGCGTCCGTTGTTGTTGCCTTGGTCTTTGTTGTGGCATCCTTATCTTACGAGTACTGAAAAAGGAGATAGTTTACTATTCTAGGTATTGTGCTCTCTTCTCCTGGAAAGCAACAAAAAAAAGCGATGAGCGTAGTGCCTGTGGAAACGCGGTGAGAAAAAGGTGAAAACAATTTTAAAAATAGGCATTGCCATTAGGAAATCACAAAAAGACTGTGTGATTTATGTTGCCAAACGACGAAGGAGCACCGAGGAAGACTTTGTATTGTGCCCGCGTCTCGACCTACTCTTATAAAGTAAAGATGTGCTCTGTTAAAATTAGGTTCTTTTTGCAGAAAAGGTGTCAACTTGCATTCGACGATGAAACAGAATACATAATGTGCGCCACCGTCTTTCAAGAACACTGAAAAAGATAGTGGTTGCCGAAGAGCTTTCTTGGTGTCGTTTGTTTTTCCTCAAAAGTGTCGCGGTCGCCACGTCTGCTTTTCCGCTGTTCGCGAAGCAGCCCGACGTGGAGCGAAAGCCTGACTTTGAAGCAACGCCGGAGTACCTTAGTTTCAGTACTCTCTCTCTTTGATGCCGGTAACACTGAACTGTGCACTCAAAGCAACTTCGACCTTCTTAATTACTTTGAGAACCGTGAGTTCATAAATATGAAAAACAGGTAACAGCACGCAAAGCGTGTTTGCTGTCTCCCACTGCTTAGTGGAAGAAGTTGAGAAAAAAGAATTCGGCAGCTTTATCATGCGTTGTGTCAAATCATGCAACTTCTTTTTTAGCTATTTAACTTAGTGCTTTCCATCTCTCCATTTTGTTGGGAATCGAAATCTCTTTTTCTCACCCTCTCTTTCTTTCTAACCCACCTTTCTGTAAGTATTTCAGCTTTGTTGTGCCTTCGCCGCTATTCGCCTTTTTTTTTTTTTGGAAGTGTAGACGAGCGCTGCTGTCGCCCATATAGCTTCGTGGCAATGTTCCGCTCTGGGTTTCTCTGTCGCACGCTTCCTCTGCTATCGCAAAACTTTGCAGAGCTCGCGGATCGCCTTGATTCGTTTGAAAGGGAATTTATTGAGCTGAAAGCATTTCGTCAAGCTGTCGAGGCTACATCTCCGAAGGTGGCAGAGGCAGCTACTGAATTCTTGAAGGACCACAAACAGGAGGTCAAGGCGTTAAGGGTTACGTCGGACAACCCGCTCACGTCCGACGAGTTTACAGAACTGAATCAGTTTTACGCGAAACAAAAAGGCAAGGTTGTCCCATGTGAGAATCTCCTCTTCATCAACTCCCCCAATGACCTTATCCAGCACTCTGAGAAGATCTTCCACCAGTATCTTGTGCGCGTCTCGAAACTAGCGCGCCATCTCAACAACGCACCTTACGGTCTGTCGCAGATGCCTGGGATACAAGAGTTGAAGAAACATTACCAGTGGAGCTTCCATGATGTTCGCAATACCGCGGTACCCGTCGACAAGGATAGCCTGTACCCTTTTGACCGCGTGGTACGCCGAGTATTTCTGCGGCATTACAACGTAAGCGATCTCCTTACAAAAGGAATGACTGAGTTTGCCATTCGTGAGCAATGGAAGAGCGTGAATGACGAGGCAATGCGCACCCACGAGGATTTGCAACCCTTTTTTGAGGAATTCTGTTTGAAGCGCGTACGCTTGCGCTTTCTAGTTGGCAACTACATGTATTTGTCAACAAAAATCCTTGACATACCCAAAGCAAAGTATGGTATTGATGATCCGGATGATAGATGTGTTCCCGTTTTCTTCGACCACGATCCTGCCGATTTTGTGGGGAAGATCTGCAAGAAGTGTTCCCTACTCACGCTCGCAAAGTGTGCTGTTAAGGAATTCCAAGCCAAGTACGACGCGGAAATCGAATTGAAGTTAGCTGGCGATGCTGATTTGTATTTTGTTGGAAATCCATATATAACGCACGACATTATTTCCGCAATGTTGGATGATGCAATCATCGCCAACACAGATCGTGAAGAATTGCTTGGTAAGCCTTGCACAAAACTCGAGGTCACCCTTGCTCAAACGCCAACGAACAAACGCTTTGTGCTTAGAGTCTCAGATACGGCAGGTGGAATGACCTTGAGTCAGTCAAGGACGCAGCTCTCTTGCTGGTCGCTTTATAAAAACATCCAGCATCACGAAGATGCCCTCATTCGTACTTGGACGACGAGTCCTCTCCGACTTCCTTACGCCTACTGCGCGGCACGCGTTATTGGAGGCAATCTGACCGTTGCGTCTATTGAGGGCTACGGCACCGATCGTCAGCTGTATTTACCCTCAACGGGTCTCATGGGTGTTTCGCTGTAGCACCTCCAACCGTTGCAGCTGTTGATACACATACTTTGCCAACGTTTTTTTTTCCTCATAAACATATTTGTTTTGTCTGTATGTGTGACTCCCACTTTGTCCTGCTTTATTACCAATTGGTTTTCTTCTTTTCATCGTTGAGTTTTACTCGATGAAGTCAAACTTCCTTTTACTTCTCCTTTTTATTTTAAGATTTCTTTTCTATTCTTTTTTCTTTCTTCGTTCAAAAGAGCTTTGTAGCCTATTATGAGTCCAGCATTTAAAACACATCACACCAACGTCTACTCACGTTTCAAAAGAAGTATTAAGCGAACGAAAGCGTTCGCACCCCTTGTAAGAACTTCTTTAAAGCAGTTATTAACGGACTTTGGCTTCGCAGATTATTGCCTCCCGTTTCTTTAGTATCCAATTGTGTTGTTCGTTTCATCTCCTCGCAAACGTTATGTAGAACAGTTTAACGGTCCTTAGTGTCACTGGGTTGAAAAAAGTTTTTGTCCTCAAAACAACAACGACAAATAAAACTTTCTGTTTTTCTCTCTCTCTCTCTCTCTCTCTCTCGTTTTTTCTCTTTCTTCCAGGTAAGCAGATTTCAGGAATCTCCCTCTAGCACTCTTCTTTGATTTCTCATATTCTATTGCCACGAAAAGAAAGATGAACGGTACTGACGCGAAGCAGAGCGCTGGCTACTTTAAAGAGAAGGCTGTTATCGGCCTCAGCAACTTCACCGGGGATGAAATCGATAAGGCAATCATGAAAGCCACAAGCCATGCACTCAAAGCACCGAAGGAGAAGTACGTCCAGAGGCTTGTTGCGGCATCCTACGGCCAATACGGATACAAGCTGAAGGAAGGCCTTTCTCATAACGAGTATATTGTGCGAGAACTGGAGAAGAGGTCACACACGCACAACTGGGTTATCGTACTAAAAACGATGGTTGCTTTTCATCGCCTCCTGTGCGACGCATCTGACGACATGGTAGAGACGATTTGCATTTTCCGAAACGTTTTTAATCAGTCGCATCTAAAGAATCTCGCTCAAACAAATGACGGGGCTGGGCAGGCTTACTTCATTACACAGTACATGGTGTACTTGGAGGAGCGCTGTGCAATGCAGAACGCCCTCGGAAAGTGCCACCGCATCGAACTTCCTCAATTTGAGGAGTATCTGAACACGCTTAACCCAGACACGTTGCAACCCGTCTTTGAAGTGTTGCTTCGGTTGCTGGAGACGTTGTCTGTGGTACAGTACCGTGAGGTCATCGTGAACAACTTCTGTACGATGGAGGCGTATCAGCTTCTTGTCAAGGACGGCAAGCGTGTTTTTCAGTTGCTTGCCAAGCGTGTAATTTTCATTCTTGATGGCTTCGAGGAACTGACACTTCCCGAGAAGAAGCGATGGTTTGGGCTATACAGGCGATATGAGAGCGCTTTTCTTTCTTTAAAAGCGTTCTTCGATGCTATTTTGCGTTCTTCAAAGGTGTTCGTGGAGCCTGTGCCGCAACTGAAGCCTCTTCCACCATCACTGGCTGCTCGTCTGGAAAGCAACATTCGGGCAAGCGAAATACCAACGGAGGTGCCATGCACGTTGGCAGATCTTGGGATTCGCAGCGCGGAAGACAAGCGAGTCGAGCCGGAAAAGGAGGTTCTGAAGGCTACTCCTCCGCAGCCTCAAGCGCAACCGGCGCCGCAACCGAAGACAGTAGCTCCGCCTAAGCCCGTTGTTCCGGCCTTTTCTATGGATGATTTGTTCGTTTCTACTCCTGAACCCGCCAAAGCAGCACCACTACCGGCTGCCGCGGCCTTTGACCCGTGGGCATCTCAGCAACCCGTGTCGTCTGCACAGCCTGTTGCCGCTCAAGCACAGTGGGATAGCGGTGCCCCAACAGGCTGGTCATCCGGGCCCCCACAAGAATGGGCATCTGGTGTTCCAGCTCCGGCGCAGCCGCAGAGTTCGCAACAGGCGCCTGCTCTGTACCAAGGGAGTAGTACCGCTTCTCCAGCGCCGGAAATGAGCCCGCCGCAGACGGCATCTCAAAGCACCTCTAAGCCAGCCACTGCGCCAAAGAAGGCGAATGATCCGTTCAAAGACCTCTACGACCAATCCCACCGCAACTTTTAGTCTTATACACACTATTATTGTTTTCAAGAATATTATTGAATATTTGAACTTCTTTTTCTTTCTCTAAGTTGCGTCTTCTAGTCAATTGTTGTTAACATCTTCCACTTGCTCTACATTTTCTCGATTTGCTAGTGTCTGTTTCGTTGCTTCCCGTTACTATTATTTTCTCTTTTTGTGTGTTTGCTGCGCCGTTGCTGCCAATGTGATCGAAAAAATAGTATAAGAGGGTGTTTATTAAGTAATGTTCTTATCAACTCAGCGAATCTCATGGCTGATCATTAGAAGTGAACGGCAACAACCGGAAAATAAGGTGCTCTTCCTGCAGTGTTGCAAACCAGCGTCTTTTTTTTGTTGTTATTAATTAAAGCTAATGTTCTTCATGATCTGCGTTTCTCTATCCCAGTGATTCTTCTCGCCGCTCTCCATTTGTTGTCTTTCGCTTTTTCCTTTGCGTGGCTCTACACACAGATAAAACAATATCTAATTGCTGCTGTAGAAAAATGAGAGCGTTTCGTTTCCAGCCCTTAGTGGTCTTTCCCGTCTTTGGTATCCGGCGTTTCTATGGTGGCCAAGGAGGTGCGCGTCCTCCACCACCTCGGTCCGGAGGACGGTATCCGCGAGGCGGCGGATCACCACCAGCCAGCAACCGAAACGTACCCAGCGAGCCACAAGTTATTGCTCGACTGATAGAACACTTTCCTAGCCAGGCGTCATTTGTTCCCATCAGTAGGTGGGCGACAGCCCTTCCGGATGATTTGCAGGAGGCTTTGGTGCCATTCGGCGGTTTAAGCGCGTTTACTCGTGCCCAAGCGAACTTTTTTATTGTTCGTCAGGAAAACGGGGTTACGGTGGCGTCTCTTTCTCCAATGGGCTCCGAATTGGCACGACAGCACACTAACAAGGAGAAACGCGAGCAAAAAAGGATTGAGAAGTTGAATCAAAGACGAGGCAGAAACGACCAGCGCAACCGCGGCGCTGGTCCTTATGTTCCACCATCAAAGAGGGAATAGTTTGCTCTATGGTAGGGGAACTTTTCCCTCTTTTTTTGAACGTCCTATAGACTGTCTTTTACTTGGCTCTGAGAGTGTTTCGGACATTTATAATTGCTGGGTGCATGTATGCGCTCGTACACATACGCACAAACGTGACCTTTGAAGCGAATTAGCCAAATTGAAGCGTTTGAGTGTTTTGCCCTCCTTTCCTCTCACGCGTTGAACTTGAGCTTGCTATTTGCAACTCTTGCCTGCCAAATGGTTATTTACGCCTAAAAGGCCTCCTTGCTGTAGTTTTGGGGCCTTGCCACAGTTCGCTTGTGTTGCTTTTGGTAAAATGAGAGGGCGCATGGCTCTAATGCTGGATTTCTCGCAGGCGATCCCATCCCATCTTCCTTTCCCGTTTTGAAAACTATTTTTCACTCTGCCCATTTTTTCTGTTTTGAAACGTCAACACTTTTTTTTTTTCTACGTTGCCAGGCCAGATCACAATCATGACGCACTACTCGCGCAAGCCGCAGGTGTCCTCGAAGGCCGCCAAGGCGAAGGTCAGCGACCTCCGCTGCCACTACAAGAACACCTTTGAGACCGCGAACGTGATCAACGGCATGCCACTGCGCAAGGCTCAGCAGCTGTACCGCCAGGTGCTCGCCAAGACCCGTTGCATCCCCTTCAAGCGTTACAACGGCAAGACTGGCCGCACTGGGCAGGCGAAGGAGTGGGGCCAGACGAAGGGCCGCTGGCCGCGCAAGTCCGTCGTGGCGATGATGTCGCTGCTCAAGAACGCCGAGGCCAACGCAATCGAGAAGGGCCTGAACCCGAACCAGATGGTCATCAAGCACGTCCAGGTGGACCAGGCCGCCCGCATGCGTCGCCGCACGTTCCGTGCCCACGGCCGCATCACCCCGTACATGTGCAGCCCGTGCCACGTGCAGCTCTTCATGTCGGAGAAGAAGGAGCGCGTGCCGGCCCCCAAGAGTGCCCCCAAGAAGTAGACGTTTTCATGATGTTTTGACGAGCCATCAAGGCTTATGATTTCTCATTTATTTGATAATAACAATAAAAAAATACGTAACAAAACGTGTATATTTTAATTCCACTTTTGTGTGTTGCTACGTTCGTGTTTGCCAGCGCGCGAATATGGTGCGGTAAACGAAGCGAATTGGCAACGCCACCGCCTTTGCGATCCAGAAGCTGAATGGACTGCTGCGGCCCTGCAACCAAGTACCGACAAAACGGAAACAAGCTGTGTTTCCGTTGCCTAGATGTGTGGCGTGTGGTTTCCTGTGCTCTTCTCTTTCTACCTTCAAAAAAAAGCTGGAGGTGTTCGCGTTTTCATTTTTATGTGTCTCTGTCCCGTCTTTCGCCTCCCTTTGAGTGTTCTTTCTTGAAAAAACAACTGTTATAATATCTGCGACGGCGCTTATTGCGTTTTCTTTTTCTCAAAGTAAGTGGATGTTGGCCTTCGAGCACACACGGAAATGAAGACAAGATGCTTTGCCGATCCGCTTTTTGGCGATGTGTTTCGAATAGCGTAGGGGACGATCGCAAGGCGCTGGCACGCAACCATCTTCACCTTTTAGACAAGCGACAGTGGGACTTAACAACGCCGTCCCGCGCCCTTCCGGTCGTCGAAGTTTTGCTGCGTTCGGGCGTGGTTCTCGATGGCCTCGAAAAAAGTGCTGCAAAGCCGTTGTGGAGCATGACACCGTCAATGACTAAAAAAGAGCGATCACTTGTGCAGAAACTCTCTGGGATGCTCCACACCAACACGGCCTCGTTGGCAGCTGCCTCCTCCAGTGACCAAAAAAGCGAAAACGGCGTGGTTCGATCTGCTTACGCGGCAGCCTGTTCGACGGGCAAATGCACTATTGGTGCAGTTGTAGACCACAACTTTGTTCGGTGCCTGCAGCTTCCATTTCAGTTGATGCTGCTTGAATTAATTCTCTCACGCTACATTTCCGTGGTGTGGGTTTACAAGGCACCGATGGTCACGAAAGAACTTCTGGACCCCCTCTGCGACCAACTCTTGTTGCACGAAGATCTAATGACCTTCAAAACGGTGTGGTGGCTGTTGGTGCTGCTGTCCGGAGATGCGCGGCTTTATAACGCCACCGTAGCCCCTGCGGCTGGAAAGCGCCTCTACGGCCTGTGTGTGCGTCGCATTCATCAGCTACTGCCTCATCTGTGGACGGAGCAGCGCCTCCTTGTGCATTTGGTGCTGACGTCGATGAAGGGTTACGAAAGGCCTTTTATCGTCATTGGTGAAATCGAAAAGTTGGCACTGGTCACCCCGTTGAGCGAGTACGAGGAAGTCAACTCCAAAGTCCTGCTGCAATTCATGAGCTCTCCGTTTGCAACAAAGCAGATTAACCTGACTCTCCGACTCGTTCTGCAGTGGTGCAAAGGAACACGAATTGCGGACTTCGGTTGCGAAGAGTGTCTGCTCGCCTTCTCTATTGTTGCCTCTCTTCACGAGTGCACCTTAACGGACACCGCCTTCGCCGCCGCCACGGCCAAGGAGTGGGAGGTGCTGCACGAGTGTCTGTTCGCCCAAGTCTTTCTCGTCGCGGGGGACATGACCCCTACCGGTTGCATTTCTATTTTGGATCAGGCGGAGCTGATAAACGTTTCTGGATGGGGAATCACCGTTCCTCAGCTGCTTCTTGAGAAGCTGAAGCGCCGACTGCTCACGGAGTGCAAGCGCCAAATTGATGAGGAAGACCTCTCACCAGAAACGGCGGAAGATCTGCTTCGGGTTGTCCTAGGCTTGCAGCACCTACTGCAACGTTACACGGTACTTCCCTACAGCGCGCCGGACGAACGAATTATTAATCAGTATGTTCTCTTTTTGGAACAGCGGCTCGCAACTTAACGGAGGAGTGCATGCGCGCACAACATTTTCAACGCTCTGCGGCCGTGTGTTTCTTACGTGATCCACGCACCTTGCGTTGCTGAAAGGGTTGAAGGTGTAGTCGATCCAGTGCTGTCTCCGTTACCTTATGGTCTGGTTCAGTTTGGTTTGCGCTACCTGTGTTGCACATGCTGCAACCGAATGCTACTTCACACATCTTTTCCGGTAAAAAGAAAAGGAAAAAAAGTCGAAGCTAGCTTGAAGCCGTATTAATTAACGAACATTGCGTTTATGCTGCATCTTGCATTAGTTTCTGTTAAGCGTTTTCTTTTTGTTCCTCCTGATGTGTGCTTATTATTATTATTATTATTATTTTCTTTTGAGCATGACATCTCTGTTGTGCTGTGCTGCACCCAATTGTTGTCCGACTCTCAGTCGCTAACGATGTTTCCCCCCACTGTCAACTCGACCCTCTTTTTCTCTCTCTTTCCTCTTTTTTTTTTCTTTCCTTTCCATTTTACTTGAACGCAAGATCACTTTTTTGTTCCTCCCCTTTCGTGAACATGTGTAGTGGGCATGCATGCGTGTAGTTGTTCTGTAGGATGTTTCGTTCCTTGCTCCGTGTCTCGCTGGTCGTGTGGTGCACGATCACCAGCGTTGCGTTCGCCGCGGACAACCTCGCGCTAGATTTCACCAGCAATATTGTTCTAGAAAACGCGGTTCTCAATACTACGTTCAATGTCACAGGCAATTTCACGAGTAGTGTGGCGGAGCTCTTGCAGAACTCCTTTGGTTCGTCTGCACTCAAAGCTCGCGTGTTCAATGTGTACCCTCACCTGGTCGTGTCGACGGAGGCCTGGTATAGCGGAGCCGCTTCCAGCGTGGAGACGAGCGTGAACACGATCAATACCACGTATGAGAAACTGGCCGCCGATGACAGTCTCGCTGTTGATGTCTCAGGGAAGCTCAGCCACCTCTGCATGCGCAATATTGGGCAGCAGCCGACTGTTGTGGACTACACGAACAACTGCAGCTTTTTCAATGAAGCACTGGCACCAGGCGCCGTCAACAGCACTTGTCCGCGCAACCTCACAGTTTCCATTTACACTAACAACTCTGATCCCGTTTCGATGCGCACTGCGTTGTGCAATTTCCTCCCCACCGACTGCGACCTCATTACAAACGTCACCGCATCGCAGGTCAGTGTGACAATCAACGGTACCCAAGTTCTCGTGTACCTGATGCCGTTCACGATCACCGCGCAGGACCGTGAGGCCACGCTCACGCTACTCGTCGCTTACGCGCATTATGCCTCCTTTCTAGTTGAACAGAAGATTGTGTACATTCTGGTGAACGGTGTGCGCGTCTTCTACCAAGGCGACATGCAACAATTGTGGGCCGTCGGCACCATGTCCCAGTGCGCGCAACGCATGTGGTACCTCATCTTCCTCATTATCCTCGTGCCCGTCATTCTGATTCTATCACAGCAGATGTACTACTGGGGCCGCCGCTCCGGCAAGCGCAGCATTAAGAACGCCGAGAAGGACATCCGCGCCGGCGTTCACCTGAGCAACATGCCGTGGGCCAACTTCGGCTCCTCAGGTTATCAGTACGGGCCACCGCAGGGCTACCCAGGTGGCTACGGCGGCGCCGAGTTGCAGCAACAAGTTAACCCATATATGCAGCAGAGCCTCAATCCGCCGCAGTTCTACGGGCAGCAATGGGGTGGCCCGCAATTTGGAGGTCCACAGCAGTTTGGCAGTCTGCCGCAGCAGCAGTACGGTGGGCTTCAGCGACAGCAACAGTCGCAGGTTCCGCCGGGCACCTTGACGAACCGCAACGCACAGTGGCCGTACAACGGGCAGCAACCGCAGGCAAATCCGAATCAATGGGGCGGATACAGCAACAGCGGTGCTCAGGCTGGCTGGGGGCAGCAGCAGTGATTCTTTTCTGTTTGTACTGCTTTTCCTTTTACACACAAGAGAGCATATATCTAGATACCTATCTCTTGTGCTTTAAGTCGTCGTTACTTTTGTCGCTGTAAGGGAGAGTGTCGACAGCTCCCATTTGTTTTTTTTTTCCATTTCCCCCTTTTCAGTGTTTACTATTGTTAGAGAACTACACACCTTCTTCGTTTCTTTTGCTCGACTTCATCTACTACCCGTGCGACGAGGAAAACATGAGGTGAAATGAACAGCGGTTCAAAATCAACTGAGCGTATTGGTACCTGAATAGATCATTTTCCTTCTTTGCTTTTGTTTCTCTTGCCATCTGTATTTGTTGTAGAATGAAAAATGATGTCTATTGGTGTGGTTAGCTTTTTTCTGAACAGCTTTGCATTGTCTGAGCTCTTGCATGGTGAAGTGAGATGTTCAAACAAGTTCTGATTCTCATCTTTTTCGTTGGCGAAGGCTCGCACGCCTTTTAGTCCCTCTTCTTACTGATGCTGTAGAACAACGCCGCCTTTTTCTTCCGTTAAAAGAAAGGTAGCCCTTAATCTGTTGCTGGAGTATTTTGATGCCATTGTTGTCGCCAATCCGTTGCGTCTTCTTTCCTCTGCCTCTTCTTCTACACCCCAACAGCTACAAGTGCGCACTTTTGCCGCGTTTAGCTCACGGCCTGTTGCAAAGGGTTGCTGGGTCTGTGGAACGACATCGTTAAAACAACAACGACATAAAAGGGAACTTGGCAGATGAGGTGTGCTCGCGGACTGCTGTGCTCAGCTTTGAGCCGCGTACCGGAGGCCACAAGCGTGGTGAAGGACTACCAACGGATCCAGGCCGACAGAAAAGAAGTGGCAACTCGTGAGGCCAAGAAGAAAGAGTTCGAGCAGTACCCGTTGCGGTATCAGATTTTGGAATGCCGCCCCGGGCTTCCCTTAGCGCTGACGAAGCTCAAGTACCTCTTAGCGTGCCGCCGAACCCACCCTGAGGCAGGCGGCGACGCGGAGTCCTTTCTCCGGGTGAACCTCGCTTATCAGGATGTCATGAAGGACTACGGCGTGGAGACGGTCGACAACAAAATTGTGAATTTGGGCAACTTCCAGACAGACGATCAAGAGGCGCAGAACTACCTAGAGGCGCGCGCCAAGATCACCTCTTACATCCCAATATCTACGCTAGAGGACCACATCAAGCAAATCGAGGAAATTCAAGGTCGCCTGGGTGATGAACTCTCCGATAAGCTGTCGGTCAACAGCGATGAGGCAATGTGGCTTCTGGAGGACATCGAGGACGTCATGGAGCAAACCGGCCTCAAGACGGTCAAGGTGAAAGTTCTCGAGGACGGCAAGGTGCACCTAAACGACGTGCAGGCACTCACGGACGGCACAGAGAAGCCGCTTTTTCTCACCGATGACAAGGAGCGCGCAAAGAGCCCGACAGGGTCGTCAGCGACCAGCGACGCGGAGGCAGCCGAAAAGGACGCGAGCGCTGAGTCGGCGGAAGTCCACCGTGATGCCTCCACCGACGCTGCAAAGGATGGCGCGCCGTCAGACGAGAACGCGCTGTACGAGGCCGTGGTGTCGAAGAACGATATCGAGGTGCTGAATGCGAAGAACACCCTCCAAGACCGGCCAGATGTAGCCGGACTCGCCGCACGCACGGCGACGGAGGTCATGAACAATACCGAAGAGGTGAAGAGAATGAAGCTCGAATCGTCTGTTCTCTACGTGTTTCTTGTGTCGCTGATGGCGCTGGTGTACATCTACATCGAGGGTGCGATGCGCGCAAAGCGCCAGGCCAGCTCTCGTCCAGAGACGATGGAGCACGTGACGAGCGACACCATGTTGCCGTGGTGGGGCAACGACGCGGAGTACGAGAGTCAGGTGAAGCGCATTTTCGTAGACGAGTGGCGCAAGGCGCGTGCGTCGTCGCGACGATCGCAGACGTTTCAGGACGGTGTTGCGCGCGAGTCACTGGATGAGGACACGAAGAAGGAAATGGATCTGCAGATCTTCACCGTCACCGCCGAGAAGCTGCGTGCGATGCGAGACAACGCAGAAAAGCACCCTGGTCGGTAAGGTGCACCTGAAAAATTCATCATTATGCGGTCTTAGCTGCTTTCACTCGTTCACCCTTGCATTTCTTTTTCCGGTGTTTTCTTCTTGCTATCGTAGATTAAATGCCGCCCACATGAATGTGTGAAACGAAGACTGCATTCGTGACTTGATGCTGTGCGTGTTAGAAAAACGCACGATCTCAGCCGCGGAACCGCGCAAAGGCATCAAGGCAACGTGGCGCTTACATCGCTTACACCTCTGTTCGCTTTTCATCCACGCACGGTGTTGCAGCTGCTCCTTCGGACTCTTTTGAGCCGGACGGGAGTAATTACTTGTCCTTGAGAGTAGCATAGGATTGGAATGAAACCAATTGGCGGTAGAGAGGAACAAAAGTACCCTACAGTTTCGTAGTTGTTCTTTTCCTTTCACACATACATGCAGGCTCAAAAGGAACATCAAGGAAGCAAAACAATATTTGGTTGCTGCAGTGATACGCAAGCACCTCCCCTCAGCCTTTTTCTGTTTTCTGCGAATGCGCCGAGTTAACGAAGGACAGCGGCAGCATAGCTGAAAAATGAAAAATTGGGAGAGTGTACCTTCAGATCTATATCGGTGTGTGTATGGGTTAGCTCACGAAAGGAAGAAACCAATTCCTCTTCGCTCTAATGATCGCAATTGCGGGTGCTTCGCTCACCGTGCACATCGTGTATCTCGTGTCTCTTATCTTCTGTTTCTTTGTTCCTTTGCTTCCTTTTACTTGACTTCTCGTCGTTCTCCATCCTTTCTGTCTCTGCATCGCTGCGCGCACCAATTTCCATAGAACACAGAGTACTCGATTTTCACCACTGACACAAGTTGAGAACGTGACGGACAGAGAAGCACGCACCAAATCGCAGCAATGCCGTTCTTGGGATACAATGAAGATGGCGATGTTGTGGAGATTGGCCACAACGACGATGGCACCCTGCGCGTTGTCGAGAAAACTTCGATCCCAGGCGGCGTGGTCTGCGCCGCCTCGGCTGGTGACGACATGCTGTACTACATCCCTGTTTTATCCCCTTCGTCTCTGTGCCGCTGGTCGTTTGCCAAGGGAGAGAGTGAGCTAGTTCAGGACCTTGTGCGTTCGCACGACAGGTTATTTTTCCATCGAAACAAGGTCTTTTGCGTTCCACTCGACGACAACGGCGTGGCCGTCTACGACCCTCTCTGCAACGTTGTTGAGATTCTCCCTATTCACTACCACATTAAGTGGATCGAACCGGCCGACCACGGGTTTGTGTTCCACACCGAGAGCAACAAAACGTTTGGCTACGATTTCAACAACGGCTGCACCGAAGTGAAGCACGACGGCCAAATTACGTCGTTCTTAGGGCACTACAAGCGTTACGCCGTGGTACACGTGCAGGACGGCAGCGAGGAGCGCGTTGCCGGCGTGACAGAAGCTGGCGACGTCGTCGCGCTCAGTGTGGAGCTCCCGTGTGCCGCGTTTGTGGAATGCGACGATGTGGTGCTGCACGTGGTCGATGGTGAAATCGTGTCGTCGAAAGGCCAGCGCGTCGCCGCTCTCACCAGCGGGCTGATGTTGACCGCCTCCCCTGCCTCCGAGGAGGAGGTCACGTGCAGCATTTGCCTGTGCGAGTTCGACGGTGAAGACGGCGTCACGCTCGACTGCGGTCACCTCTTCCACAAGGACTGCACTGATCAGTGGGTGTCGACGTGGAGGGACTTTGCTGCCAAGGGAGAGCACATCGCCTTTACACACGCTGTTTGCGCCAGCGGGTGCAAGTATCTCATTCGCCACCCTCTCCTCCCGCAATCGAAGGACATCGCCGAGCTGTGGCATGAGGTGATGGCAAAGAAGACGGCATTGCTTCCGCAATTCTCGGACACAAAAACGGACGAGGATCTTTTGTTTTACATCTGCGGCAAGTGCGGAAAGGCCTTCTACGGCGGTGAGCGTGTGTGTTCGCGCATGCAAGGTCGGGCGCCGTCCTCGTCCCCAGACGACCTTATCTGCGACGCGTGCCTGGCCGATGCACATGACGGCTGCAATACCTTTGCTCCAGTCTTCAAGTGCCGCTACTGCTGCAACCCGGCTACGCAACGCTCATTCGGCACGCGCTACATGTGTGACCGCTGCAACGCGCGATGGGACACGTCGGAGCCGTCTCCGATTCCGTGTCCCGGAAGTGGAGAATGTCCATTTGACGGACACCACGAAGAGGACAAGGGCGGCTACGCCGGGTGCTTGCTGTGCACCGGCGCCGTAAACATTGCGCACATCTTTGACCGCATTGTCACAGTGAAAGATGCTGAAGCGAATGCTGCTGCGTAGTGGTGACCCTCTTCGACGTGGCGAACCGCGTGCCGGTCCTATCAAAACCAAAAAGCAATCAATTTGCCAATCACTGCCTCTTCCATAGATTGTTGCGTATTGTTACTATTGCTGTTACTATTCTTACCATTAGTATTCTTCATGATCACAATCGTTTTTCTCCCTTGATGTTGAGTCAATTATGGCGCACCTTTGCGTGAAAATGCGACTCTCTGACGGGCAACCGCTCCATATATGCGTACTGCGAATTACAAATTATGCAAGCACAGAAATACAGCTTTACTAACGGATTCATTAGAGGTGTCCAGCGGGTTCCCTCAAAGCGCAACGTGTTGAAAGCGCACTTCCACATTCTTGCTTCATAGATTTCGACCGTAGTGGATGAGTATGCGTTTATTAGGTGATCTTTTTGGGTGCAGCAGAAGCTCCGCGGTTGTCTGCTTTGTTCTCTCTCTGTGTGTGTGGTGAGGCCTACTGCACGTCTACAGTTGAAGGTTGTGCAGACGTTGAAGGTTTTCAAGAAACAGATAATGGAGTCAGTCTGCGTTATGACTGGATGCCGAAACATTTGTTCTTCTTTCCTGTTCTCGTTTCTCAACTCTTTCATTTTAAACAGGGTTTACACACACACACTCACACACGTATCGTAGACCGGCTATGTCGTCTGGGCGGATCTACAAGCTGATATTTGGCAGGGAGCAGCCCCAGTGGATGTGGGACATGGCACTGGAGCTGCGCCTCCCTGCTCTCTTCCTGGTCGGTGTTGTTTATGTCAACACAAAATGCTACTACGACGCTCTGAGCGCGTATCAAGCGGGGTCGCGCTGGGGCATCACGCAGGGCAAACTCCTCGAGCTGGAGAAACTCAATTATAGGTACATCAGCGTCCCTCGCTACGCCGTAAAGTACGAGTTTGAGGTGGACGGAAAGCGGTACGTGTCGACGCGCGCCACGACGGGGTCACCTTACCGCGAGTGGATGAAGTGGTTTTACAATGACACGATCACGGAAGCGGAGTACCTCCAGGCGATTCCCGTGTTGCGTGTCGGTGAACGATGCAGCGTGTTTTACGACAAGAAGAACCCAGGTGCGCACTCCGCGCTTGCCCAGGATGCAAACTCATTCGAAATCTCGTTTCTCAGCTTCTTTGCTGTGTTTCCGCTTCTCATGGGTTATTACATGAAGGCGCATTTCTGGATGATACGCAAAGCGTACATGCCGAACAAGAAGATGCGCATTCGCTTCCCTGTTTACGATCGTCCGAAACCCTCGCCACCGCCGCCCAAGGAGCCCCATCACATTTCTCCGCTGCCTCCGAAGAAGTAGAGTTGATCGAAGTGACTATCGTGCCCCGCTGGTTTCTTCCCACCACGTGCACCTCACGCAGTTTGCGATCAAAAGATGGCGCTGGCGAGATCCCGGAACGTTGTCCTCGGTTTATTGGTCTGTACGTCACAAACGCGGCTACGTTTTTGAAAAACCTGCACCTGCGCAGTGTGAGGCACTGCACTATCCACACGTGTGAAGTCAGCCGTTGATCTCGTCGGACTGAAGCTCTTAATGTTCTCTATTGTTTTGTTGTCTATTTTTGGTATCCCGGGTTGACACTTCACTTTTGTTGTTTGGAAGAGGTAGGACGGTCACATCTCATAGCGAGAGGGCAAACAGACATGGGACTTGACTCTTTTTTCGCGTTGTAGTTGCTTCTCTGTGGTTCACATTTTAGGCTCTAGCTTTACGTCCGTCGCGAACAGACAAACACACCCGCCCACCCACACACACACACTGAATAGCGACGATTTTGGTGGCCTTCAGCACCGCTCGCCGCGTCAGTGCTCTTTCAATCCTTTCTCTCTTTTCGAACGTGTCTTATTCGCGGTTGTCACAGCCCCACCGCGCGCGACGCACAAGAGCACCGCAACTCTGCATGCTCTTGAATAATTCATTCTTTGGCAAATGTGACGCGGACAAAAACGTGACTGCCAATTTTCGGCGCATTGGGTAGTGCAAGACTGTCGGCCACTTCATCTCCTGCATCAACTGCACTCGCTATGATACTCTGACCTCTCTTTTCTCCTGCATTCTGTCTCCGTTACCTCCCGCTTCGTGCTGTGACGCCACCCACCTTCGATGGTAGCATTTGTCGGTGTTGCACTGCAACTTAGAAATAAGGCGCTGCTTCTCCCGCGCACGCGCACACACGAAGGAAATCTCCGCATATAAACCGTGTACTTCTTTTTGTTTTTCTTTCCCCACAGCTGTGTCACCTCACGATGTCCGGCGAGTGCGTTTACGATTTGGTGGCCCCCAGCGGTCCCTCCGCCTCCGAGGCTGCGGCGCTACAAGCCAAGACGTCGATGGGCACGAAGAAGAGTCGACGGGCACCGCCGCCCACCGCGTCCACGTTCGGCATCCACGGCACGAGCGCGGTAGTGGCCAACGCCGGCGGCGAGTACACCGATGCTTCAGTGCACCCGGCCCACAAGCCCATTGGCACCTTCGGCCGCGAGGTCGGTTCGACGGTCACGCCCGTTGACTTCCTTCGCAAAAACGATGGCCCGATGACGGCCAGCCGCGGCGCACCGACGGTGAACACGACCAAGTTCAAGAAGAGTGAGTACAACCACGAAAAGACCAAGCCCGATGTTCCGCTGCGCGACGAGCGTCCCGTGATGGGGCTGAAGACGGACAAGAATTTCGTAGTCGCCAACGCGGTGGAGAACACGATGGCAGTGCCGACGAAAGCAGCTCCGGTGTCGCAGCCCCGCGCGACAGACAAGGAGGACTTCGGAAAGGTACCACAGTACATTTCGGAGATCAAAGAGGATCTGAATGCGCGCAAGCAGAGGATTTTGGATATGGCCGCTGCCGACGCTGCGTCGCAGGAACGGTGGTCGGAGCTGTCCGCCAGTGAGCTTGCGCAGCTGCGGGATGGTCTTCAGCGTCGTTGGGACACCTTGAACAAGGAGTACCAGTCGAAGGGCTTCAGCAACATGGAAACTCCGTCCCAACGAGCGCGACAGGAACTTATAGAGAAGCAGCTGGTGGCAGTCGAATTTGCCGTTCAAAAGCTTAGCCGGCAGCACGTCTACGTGTTCGACGACAAGAAGTAAACTCTTCCGGTCACCCTCGCCGATCAATGGAGTGGATTTTCGTATCGTAGGTCCACGATGGCCTACGTCGTGACTGAAGTAGGTGTGGGCAGCTGTGTTAACCGCGTACCTGTCCACTGCGAGCCTGCCTTTTCGATGTACAGTGTGCGTTCTCTGTTGTTCCGTCTAGCACCCCTTACAGCTCTAGAGTTGTACGACTCTGCAGGGAAGACTGCCATTGAGCTTTCTTTGACTGATGCATAGCGTTGTTTCTCGAGCGCAAGCGTGCATTTCCGTCTTCCCCTGTTCAAACGATGTAATAGTATTTTCCCTTTGTTTTTGCGGTTCTCTCCGTCTGTAATCAGGTATGTATTTGTTCCACGCTTTTAGAGGCTAACATGAATTAGAAAGTGTAGAGGGTTTTTTTTTTTACCTGGCAAGGCAAGGCGACGGTCGCAACGCTGCTTGTCGCCTGTCGTCGATGGGCCTTGACTTTAGTGAATCCAGGGCCGCTTCTCTTCTTCCTAAGCCCTCCTTTGCAGGTGCGTCCCAGAGAGGCAGAAGCTCTTGAAAACTCAGACAAAACGATGCTGAAGCGCTTTGATTTTTCGAAGGTGCCGTGTCGTTTTACCTGTTCGGTCAGCCATCAAGGTACTAAAGTAGAAAGAAGAAAAAAGTATCAACAAACGTACAATCTTTGAGGCTTCCTGCAACTTTTTTTTTCTTCACTTCACCTGACCCTTCTTCTGCGTCTTCAACTTACCCGTCTTTGCGGACACGTACAGTTTCCTCATTTGCAGTCCGTGTTGTGTCGGGCACATTATTTACGACCCACTGACTTAATAGTTGCTGGCCGTCACCACTCTACTGGTGACCGCATAGGAAGGATGCAGTTCAAAGAAGACCTCGTACTGGCGGAAGATGCGCCACGCAAGGTGTATCAGAACAACGCCGCCACTGCCTCCTTTGAGCGTCCGTTGCTGAAGGGTCTCCATTACGGCCAAAGAAAGCTGTTACTGTCCGAGGTAGAGTTTTTTGTCGCGATCCTCCAACGCATCAAAACGCAAGGCGAGCGTGCCGGCAGTAAAAAAGTTCTCATTGTATATGCCGGTGCCGCCTGTGGTCTTCACTTGCCATTCCTCTTCTCATTATTCGGCGACTTTCAGTTTGTTCTGATTGACCCCGCACCCTTCTGTAGTCAGGTCCGCGAGATTGCCGCGACGGAAGGGAGCTGCGTGTTGGAGTTAATCGAGGGTATGTGCACACCGGAGTTGTGCCTGCGCATCCGCCGCTCGTACTGTGACACGCATCAGCTGTATCTCGTGAGCGACATCCGGTCCGGCGTACCGACCGGAATGAGCAAGAACCAGGAGCACACGGAGATGATTCAGCAAGACAACGCTGCGCAGCGGGAGTGGTGCTTCTCTCTCGAGGTGGAGGCAGCCATGCTGAAGTTTCATCCTCCCTACCCAGCGGCGCAAGACCCCAAGTCCACCATGTACAACGCAGCCGACACCACCGCGGAGAACTACGTGTACCTGAGCGGGACGCAGTTGCTGGGTGTTTGGGCGCCAAAGTCATCGTCGGAGGTGCGTCTTGTGGTGGTTGGACCTTTTACGAAAGGCTACCAGCCACCGAGCAGGTCGTACGCTTGCACCACGCATGAGGAGCAGTGCTACGCCTACAACATGGAAAACCGCTACGAAAAAGACTGCCACGCCGAGCGCTCCATCCTTCAGTCGTACCTCGACTTGTTCCCTGGCACATACGCGTCTGCGGAGCAGCTGTCGAGGACGTTGAGTGAGCGCCTAGAATACCCATTCTTCCGCCCGCTGGAACCGGGCTTCACCGAGCAGCACGCGCGGTGGGTCTCGCTCCTCTACTCCACAGGGAAACCGGCTGCGCTGAAGTTTTTCGAGCCGCTGAAGGAGGAGATGTCTGTCCAGCGCGTGGCAAAGCTAGTGATGGATTACAAAGATTCCGCTGAGATCCCGACAGGGGTGCAGATCAGTGGCGTGGAGCTCACGCGTGACTTCTGGGTAGCGCTGGCGGAGGCGGACTTTGGTGTGTACTGCTTCCCATTTTTTCGCTGGAGCTGGAAGAAGCGCCTGCAGCAGCAGAAAAAACCTGGAGGGAGTCAACAGAGATTTGCCGGCAAGAAGCGCCACCCCAACGAAAGCTGAAGAGCAAGTGGATCGCAACGTACCGCTTTTGTTGCGACACAGATCTTTGTGTTTGATGTTGGCGAGGGCGAGAGGGGGTGTTTCGCTGTTGTCGTTTTTTCCATGTGCCGCTCACCCCGTGCGCAGCAGCTTTTTGTGTTGAAAACAAAACCGTTAGAATTAAACTCCTTCATAAAAGACAAAGAAATGAGACGTCACATGTGATCTTTCATGCCTCTTCCTCTGCGTTCATTGATGAGTACAGGTGGTGAGGAGTAGATCGATTAAATGTTCCACATAACTGTGCACTAGCAGCACCTGGCATCTCTTTCTGTTTCGTACACGAAACCGTCGCGAGTTCTACCTGCGACGCGCTGCACCACCTCCTCATCTTCTGTTTCCTCTTCTTGACTTCTTGACGGGTGTTTTTGAAGGTGCAATTGCGTTGTATTTGAAGGAGGAACACAAAGCGCGCATTCAGTAATCGCTTTGATCTGGCTTCCTTTCTTTTACTATTTGCCTCAGTTCTACTGTTCATTTCAGCCGATAATCTTTTCTCGTTTTCTAGTCTTCTCATTTTCTCTGTTTGTGCTTGACAATGAAAATTACTGTCAACATTGAGCTGGCTCACTCGGAGCTTAACCGGGCACCGCAGATCCAGGCGGCGCTCGCCGAGCTCAGTCCTAGCGCTGTAGTGCGTTTTAAAACGGACACGACCGCCTTATCTGACCGCATTAAGAAGGCGATTCAGACGAAGCAGTACGACGCGGTAGTCAACGAGCTTGTTGAGCGCCTGTCGTATCCGGTCACCTTTGACGCTAGCTTGGAGGTGATGTGCACCGTGGCGCTGTTTAGTAAGGGCCGCGCCGACAGTGGGGAGAGCGTCGCCCCCTTCATCGATGTGGTGCCGCGGCTGCCGGAGGAGGCGCAGAGTCGGGCAAAGGAGGCGATCGTGCAGCGCGCCGTTGCGTTCCTGTCGAAGCCGCGCCGCCTCGACTGCAGCCGGATTTCCCTCCTCGTGTACGCGGAGGCCATTGCCGTAATGGTAAAGAAGGAGCTGCTGAGCATTCGCAATGTAATTGGCACCGTTGTGCAGATGATTGAGAGCGAGACGTCGAGGACGGCCGGTATGACGTGTTTAGGAAAGCTGGTGGAGATTGCCTACGAGGCCACGCGCAACTGCGATCCGGTGTCGCTGAGTGCGCTTCGCGCGGCTGTGCGCTATGCCCAGTCCAACGACATATTCCTCTACGACGTCGAGTACATCATGGAGGCGTTTGGCTGGTCGTCCTGCAAGCCGGCGCTGAGTCTTCGTCGCTCCACCTCCCACCACGAGAATCCCATCCTAACCCTCGCCTACTGCGGTGGGGCGAACTGCCGCGAGGTGGTCGTCACCTCGTCGTCCGACGGCACCATCGGGACGTGGGACGGCGTGGGTGTGCTGCTGCAAAATGTACTGCTCTCACGCCACTACGCCTCCTGCGTGGACTTGACCAACCGCGGGCACACCTTAATTGTGGGGGCGGTGGGCCGCTACTCCAACACACCACCGGCAGTCATCTTCTACAACGAGGACGGCAACCGCAAGGCGCAGTGGCAGGAGTGCGGTGGTACGGAGCCGGATGATGCTAGCTTCCTCTCGTGCCTCAAATGTCTCAAGGACCCCTCCGGCTCGCGCTACTGCGTGGGTGTACGCACGTCGAGCGCCAACCCGCTTTTGTTGTATGATGGGTCTCGCGTGACGCAGCGTTACTTCGACCACTCCGACATCATCACAGCCATCCATGTCCCAAGCGACCGCGACAACGTTGTTGTCACCGGCTCACGTGACTGCTCCACGCTCTTGTACGACCTGCGTGATCCACGCAACGTGAGCTCGATGGCGCACCATAACAACACCGTTTCGTGCATCACGAGCTGCGACAACTACCTGTTCACCGCGGGACTGGATAAGCGCCTCGTCGTCGCGGACCTCCGCATGCTTCGTGGCTCCACCGCGAACCGCGACATGGACAGCGCCGTTCTCAGTGTCTCCGTGAACAGCTCCCTGCAGTGCGCCGTGTCGACACTGACGGGGGTGTACGTAATCAACTTCGCCAACGGTACGAACGTCCCGACCTCGTCGCACGCCGACTGCGGCGGCAGCTCTCTGCGGTTCAACACCGTCTGCTGGAACAACGCGGGCAACATCCTCTACGGCGGTGGCGAGGGGCGTACGCTGGACTTGTTTGCCCCCACTTATGACGGAAACGTGTTTGAAGCTTAAGCTATTGCTTTCGTGTGTTCCGGCGTGCGGTGCGCTACCGAAGTTTGGCACCGCAATCACATTGACGTGGGTGCTCTTGTTTCTTCACGCTCCCCTTCCACTTTTAATTTTTCGTTCAGCGCTTCGCGTTAATGAAAAATGAGGAAGTGTGTGGATGGTGCGGATAATCGAAAGGAGAGGATCGTTGCCGTGCCGAGAGTGGCGCGATGCAGTCGACGTAACTGCCTTCGACACCGTTGATAAATATTTGTGCTGTGTCCGCAGGCACACGTGTTCGTGAGTGTTTCGCTAAATCTATTGTGCAGAATAATTGTGTGGCACGCAGCGAAGACAGCAAACGTGAAAGGAAGATCGACTCTCTTTATTTTTTTTTTCTTTCAACATTCCGATGGTGGTTCATTACAGTAATCATGTGAGCTGCGTGGTTTGCCGCGAGTTTCACGACGGAGAAACAACTCCGCAGTGCTGCGTTTATATACAGTAACTACACTTTTTATGATTAAACCTATTATATGCTTTCATGACGAATACTTTTAATTTGGTTGGTGAAGGGACTGCGTTCACCGTTTCTTTTTCTGTGTCCTTTTTTGTTTCAATGGTGTGCATTTGTTTTCGTGTTGTAAGATAAAAATGCTGTAGCACTTTCAAAGTACCAATGTACCGTTGTGCAGATTGCCTGACTGATAGCTGTGAATTTGGTCGTCGTGATCTCCTTTTCACGTACTTGCGGCCCGTGAATCTCACAGGATGAAGCTGCCATGTCAGACCCAATCTACTGATGGATAGCAGGATGAGTGGGACGACGATGCGCTACTGCTTTTGCTTCTCAGCCATTCTTCGTCACAAGCACTGACTTTGAAAATGGGGGAAGAGTGTGTATTATGTGACGGCAAAGCGCTGCGTGAGGGTGCGAAAGTTCAGCAAGCGCGTTGCCGTTTCTGGACCGGAGACACCGCCATCCCAAAAGGTGTTTTCTGTTTTTCACGACGAACTGCACCTTCTCTTTTTGCATCTTTTACCTGCCTTTTGTTCTTCGTGAACCTACGTTGCTGTTGGTCGCGTCACCCATACTTAGAAACTTACATGGATATATTAAACACACCAGCATAACTTTTCACTAAGCGACCGCTTTCGCATACCATGGACGACGGAACTCGTATCTCGGAGGAGGTGGAGAGGTTTCTCCGTGCGGCGCGCGCGCGTGACACGGCGGACTGCAGTCGGATGCTGAAGGAGAAACCCGAGCTGATCAACTCCGTCGAGGCTGGCGGCTACAGCGCGCTTCACTTCGCGGCCTTCAACGGCGATGTCGAAATGATGCGGCTGCTGCTGGAGCACAAGGCGGACCTCAACCTCGAAAACTTAGACGGCAACACACCTCTCGTCATGGCTGTCAAAGGCAACCAGCAGGAGTTAATTCGCATGCTTGTCAACGCCGGCGCCGACGTGAACCGCGAGTCCGCCTCGGGCAGCACGGCGGCGCACTACGCGGCCTCGATGGCCTACCTCGACTGCCTGCGTTTGCTGGTGGAGCTGGGCGCGAAGACGGTGTACGCGGCTAGCGAGGCCGGCACGCTGCTGCACTGGGCCTGCCAATCGGGCGACGTGAACTGCGTTGGTGCCATGATTTACGAGTTCAAGGTTCCAGTGAACGCCGTGGACAAGCACGGTGGCACGGCCCTCTTCACGGCGCTGTTTGTGAAGAAGGTGGAGGTGGTCGAGTTTCTGGTGGAGCACGGAGCCTCCGTCAACGTCACCATCGCAGCAGACGGCACGACGCCGCTGCACATCGCCGTCGAGCACGCCAACGCGGAGTGCGTGCGGCTGCTGTACAGCTGCGGCGCTGACGCGGACGCAAAAAACAACGACGGCGTGTCGCCGCGCGATCTGGCGAAGACGGTCAACGGCTCCAACTCTGCCAAGGAGCTGGAGAAGCCGCAGGTGCCAAAGGAGAAGCGCGTAGATGAGGCCGCGCGCTTCAAGAATCAGGGCAACAAAGTCTTCCAGCTCGGTGAGAACGTCAAGGCGGCGAAGTTCTATACGCTCGCCATCCACCTCGACGGCACCAACCACGTGTACTACAGCAACCGTGCCGCCTGCTACTTCAACCAGCACTTCTACACAGGCGCGTACTGGGACTCGCTCCGCTGTATCTCACTGGACCCCAACTGGCCAAAGGGCTACCTGCGCAAGGCGGCCACCGAGCTCGCGCTGAAGAAGTACACTGATGCGCTGACCACCGCGTCACAGGGTCTGAAGCTAGACCCCTCTAACAAGGATCTTCAGCAAGTCAAGGACGAGGCTTTCAAGCAGCTGAAGAAGTAAGTGATGGGATATTTTTCTCTTTTGACTTCAACTCTACCCATTCCACGGGAAGCTGCGTGTGTGCTCATTGGTCATTCTTCTTTTCTCTCTGTCACTCTTTAGCCCAGATGCGCTTTTAGTAGCGCAAACGACGAAAGGAGACCGTCGAGGAGCAGATGTCGAGCGGTACGAGCGAGGCAAAGGAAGAAAAGTCTCTCTGTCCTTCAGTAGGTTTTTTTCTTGTACTACATGAGGTGTGTTACTGTAATTTCCCGTTCTGTCGGAGCCACAGAAAACAGAAGACTCGGGAACTGTGATGTTTTAACGGCAAAGCACCTCTGTTCTTCCTTGTCCCAAGGCGAACCCAGTGCTTTGCTTGGCTCGTGTTTCTTTGTTGGCGTTGTGAGACTCCAATGGTACGTGCCACGTGTGGCCTCGGCACCGTCTCCTGTATTTGGGGCTTGTTTCCCATGAGCTGTAATTAACCTGTGAAAGTCGAAGTAACACAAAAGCAAGAAAAACGAAAGAAAGCCGCAACCGTGGATAAGAAGGACTTGACAGAGTCGTATCTTCTTTCTGTCTTTCTTTAGTAGCTGTCTTTCTTACTGACGCATTTTGTGCGTTTCCATGGTGTGTGTGACTGCTTTTGCGCTTCACGTGCTTGCGGGAAAACGCCCACATTATTACTCACGGTGTTGAGCTCCAGTTTTCAGCAAGTTGTCGAGGGTGGGGTGCTTTCCTCACCTACGCAGGCGCCTCTTTCGTTGTTCGTGATCTCTTTTTTCTCTGCTCTTCCGTATCATCGTGCTGTCCCTCCCTTCTACCTTCTACACCTTGCGTTTTGTTGGTGACAATACGGTGGTTTTATTTTCCCTGCAGTTTTCCTGTCCAAGTACCTTGTTTTCGCGCTCTCCTAATCGCTACATTTCGCGCTCGGTTATTTGGTCATCGCACCTTTTTTCTCTTCTCCCCTCCCTCATCCGACCCGCCAAGATGTCTGTTGCTGTGGCAACGCTGACGACCTACATGGCCGCGACGGACTCGCGCGATAAGATGATCAAAGGCGCTGGTTGTTTCTTCAAGATGCTGGGCGCGCTGAACGCGAACCCGAACTTCATTAAGACTGGCTCCGCCATGTCGGATGCCCGGTGCATCATCCGTATGCTGTCGTGGCTCGGCAACGTGCAGAAGATCAGCGACGCAATGGAGAAGCGCATCGTGCAACCGCGTGACGTGGTCTACGTCCTGCGCGTGCTCTTCGATGGCATCTTCAGCCTTCTCGACAATGTCGTGTTTGCCGGCCGCTTCTTCAATAAGCAGTGCCCCAAGCTGACCCAGATGTCCTACATCTCCCGCGCGTCGCTCTTCTGGGGCTACGTGGCGGCGGTCATCCTCGACGTCACGGACCTCGCCAAGGACCCGAAGATGCCGAACCGCGGCGACCGCGTCCTCGTGCTGACACGCAACACGTGTGACATGGTCTCCGCCATTGGCAACGTGTCCAGCATCGACATTGGTGCCGCCAACGTCGCCGGCCTTGGTCTCCTCAGCGCCATCATCGCCACGCGGGAGCAGATCAACGCGGCGTACATCAAGACGACCGGAAAGTCGACGGGTGCGGCCCCTGCCAAGGCGGTGTCCCCAGCTCCCGCAGCACAGTCCGCGCCTGCAGCCCAGGGCAAGAAGTGAGTGCCCATTACCATCAAAAAAACAGCGCAGCTGTACATGCAGAGTATCGGACGTGGAGCGTTGAGAGGAGAGACGACGGGCGGATGGGCACGTTTCTCCTCTCGGCGCCGTTGAAGGCAGGGTGGAGGAGAAAGTACAAAGGGACGCGGCAATGGGCACTCGAAGTGTCTAACGACTGACCGTCTGCGCGTGAAGAACGCCGCTGTTCACGCATGCCTTACGTACCTAAAGTGTGGGCCACTTCTGTTCTCATCCACGGGCTTACTTTCAGCGGCAGGGTGCGCACGTGGGCTCTTCTCTTCCTCTTCCTTTTATATGTCGGCCCTAAAAGCTTCTCTCCATCGTTGCCGCCGATGCCCTCACAACGAAGGAAAAGGAGCACGTGCCTTCTTCAAAAAGTATTCAAAACAAATACTCTCATTTTTCCCTTATTATTCTGGACGTGCGGCCTCAACTGTTTGCTCAGAAAAGTAACGTTCGCAGTTCCGCAGCTCGCGCATATCCTTGTCGGGTTTATATGGAGTGGAGGACCCACATCGTGCAGAACTGACTTTTCTCGATTGCCGCCACTGATATTTTACCGTAAAAGAGATTCGCAAATCGGTGTTTTCTTCTCCGAATTGATGCTTTTGCAGACGCCGTGTACGCCGCAGCACACGACACGCCAACAGTGTTATCCAACGTCTTGTTTGTATTTGGAAAGAACCAAACACCGGTGTTAAAAGAAACTGTGCTTAAGAAAATGTAAATGCTGAAGAGTGAACGCAACAAAACCTCCAAGTCGTTACCAAGAAAGAAAAAAGATGTCTTAGTTCCCCCGACGAAGGTTGTTGTGAGGCTGAGGAAGACCTTTATGGGTGTCGCGCATCTCTCTCTCTCTACGTTTGAATAGTTTCTCGCTGAGGTCGTGCAACTGCGCATTGCTTCCGCCGTGCCTTCTGTTTTCTGATTGTCGGCGGGCGATGACACTCCAGCGTCGGCCATGGGGGGAGGGGGAGGGGAAGAGTAAACGCGTATATGTGCTGTACTTTCTTCAAACAAAGAGAATGTTATCAAGAGAGAACAATGCTGGGGTGTTGGGCTGTGTTCTGATAGATTTACTTGCGTTGAGGGCGTTGCCCCAAGGCGCACGTGTCTCATTGTGAATGTCGTCTGCTTCTAGACCCGTCTGAAACCTTCTTTACACAACAAAAATACCTTTTCCAGGGAGCCTTCACTCACATTCTTCGATTTCTGGGAAAAAAGCCGCCTCCACAACGTCTCCGCTTTATCAAAGCAAAGCTTGTCGTTGCCGGTTTTCAACTGTACGTCTCATAAGCGCTTCGCCTACAAGAAGCAACAAGTGATAGTCTAAGAGAATTCAGCACTTTTTCTTGTAACTTCTTTCTGGCACGATGGCCACCCTTGAAAAGCTGCTGCAATCTAGCTCGCTGAGCGCGCAGTGCAAGTCAGACCTGCGTAGCCACGTGTCGGCGGTGAACGAGGAGTCGAAGCGGCTGCCGAAGCAGCCGCCAACGGAAGCGGACGCCGACCTGCCGAGCGCGACACAGATGCCCACAGACAATTCTTTTAAACGGCGACTCAATGATGCGGACATGGAAGCCAGTAAGGAGCGCAGCACGCGCTACGTCTCACGCAAGCAGGACAACGAGGAGATGGTGGCAACCCTCTCCGCCATGAGTGCCAACCCAAGCGGTTCGTACTACAAGAAGTGCTCCACCCGTTTTGTGTGCGATGACGGCACGCGTCGGGATCCGTTCCAGGCATCGCGCAGCCGCGGCGAATTGTCCGGCAAAGACAACGACTTCGTGCACCGCTACGCAGAGGCTCTCACCAAGTCCTCGATCGAGCGGCCTGCACCGTCTGACGACGCCTCCGTCACTGCCACCGAGGCGTACAAGGCGGCCTTCCGCGAGTACACGGGCAGGGAGCCGTCCGCGAAGGACTTGGCGGAGGTCGACCGTCTGACGTTTGCCTTCGACGAGAACGGCGGCGTGGGCGTCACTCAGAAGCCACACAGCTGTTACCCGCACATGCACATCTCCTCCACCAAGACGCCCACGACCCGCTGCACCAACCAGGTGTACCAGCCAGAAGCGCCTGCGGTGCGCGCGGCCCGCAGCCAGTTCCCCGGCCCGATCCCTACGTGGTCCACCACCAAGCGCTCCCCTGCTGTGGCCACCAATGGCACCTACCAGGCTGACCATCAAGTGCCCATGAGCATTAAGCGTGCTGCCCTGGATACCATGGTCGGCTCCAAGTAAAGCGCATGGTCTCCTTCGTGACAGGGGTGCCTGCTGCAAGGGGTATTAGTAGCGCTCTTTCCCTTCACCTAAACTATCTGCGTTATTTCCTGTCTTGTTTGTTTGTTTTCATGTACATACGTTGGGCGTTGCGCGTCGATGTGTAGAGACCTACCGTCTTTCTGTTTTGCCTCGTGCTCCGTTGCGTTTAGCGGTTTTTGTTTCTCTTCCCTCACATGTACTATTTGAGATGTACCGCTGATGCAACTCTCTCTCTCTTCCGTTAATTCCTGTACAAGCGTGCTCTGAGAACTGTTTCATTTTGGTAATTACTGTTTTTATTCACCTCTTTAGAGCAGTAAGGTTTACAACATATACACAGAGCTGCCACACCCAGGGAGGGGAGCAGGAGCGCGGGTTTGCGCCGCTGCTCGCGGGCCGGGTAGTTCCTGTTTGTTTGCTTTACAGGAGGTAGCTTTGTCTCGCATGAAGTCTATTTATACACTCATGGACAGATATTCCTGAAGTGAAGTCGGTGTGAAGCGTTTTGCGTGTTGAAGCGGCAGGCCGTTCCTGCCTGAACAGACGTTGTCCGTTGATCTTTGAAGACGTCTCTTCGTACGTGTTTCCGCCGCTTCTTTCTCCTCTTTCCTCACGAGGAAAGTGTGTCCTTCGTAGAGCTTGCCCCCTCCCCGGAAGCGCAGGATACCGCTTTGCGGCTCAATCTCCTGCCACCGGGTCACAACGCAAAGCCGCCGGCCCGTCCTGCTTACAGTATTAAAGAATTATAGAGGAACGGATTCGGCGAACGGCAGGCCACTCGCCGCATTTACAGAGAAAAGGAGAGTTGCCCCCGCTGGAACTCATTCCTACGTCCTTTTTATTGAAACAACATCCCTTAGAAATCAGAGACAGATCGAAGGGCAGAACTGCAATGGAGCGCACGGCCGACAACCGCATTCACACCACCGAGTGGGAGGATGTGCAGTACAAATACGGCAACCGTGTAGGGAAGTACGAAACCCACGAACTCGAGATACTAGCGCAGAAGATCGCTGACAAGAATCAAAACACATGTTTAGTGGCCTACGACCCCCACGCGGAAAAAGTGGCGGACAAGCTCGAGCGAGGTGGCTACGACTGCGAGGAGGGGAGCGGGAAGGACGTGGCGGCCGTGGAGGACTCCGATGACGAAGACGACGCCCTCGCCGCGATTCGGAGGCGGCGAATTTTGGAGTTGCAGCGGCAGAAGGCGGCGGACCGCTTTGGTGTGCTACGGCACATCCCCGGTGCCGACTACGTGACGGAGGTTACAGAGGCCTCCGCGACGTGTTGGGTAGTTGCGGTACTGATTCGGCCCGGCAACAGTGACTGCGAGGCACTGCTGGCGGTCCTGCGTACAGTCGCGCAGCGCCACAAGGCGCTTAAGTTCGTCTCGATGATCTCCACCGATGCAATTCCCAACTTCCCTGATCGACATTTGCCGTGTGTGCTTCTCTACAACAGCAAGGAGCTGAAAAAGCAGATCACGAACCTTGACGAGTGGATGCAGAAGAAGCATCTGAACGTGGGAACGGCGGAATTGTTGTTGTCGCGATGCGGCGTGTTGCCTCGAGGCGAGGACGGCGAGGCCGAAAGCGAGCGGGAGGAGGACCCTTAAGAACGATACTGCACTTTTATCATCGTTCGTTCGACTCCTCCGCTTGAGATGGGCGTGTGACATGCTTTTGTTGTTGCTGTAGTCGAGGTTTTGATGTTTCTACCGCTCGCTTTTCGAGCTGCCACTTGAGAACAGGATGCGTGGGAAGCGCGATGACGAAGGGTGGACTTTTTTTAAGGGTAGCTTCCGATTGCGCTTCACCGTGGCAGCGGTTTGATTCCGGCGTGCCCTCTTCCTTCTCAGCTCCACAGGCACACGGTGAGCCCGCGTTGTGAATATGTTTGTTACTTGTAGCGGCGTGTCCGCTCTCTTCTTGTTCGACTCAGTGGGCCCTTGATCTTCTCTCCCTCCCTCCCCTCCCTTCTCTTCTGAAGGGGAAACAAACCGGTGCGTCAAGTTCCACCAGGCGGAAGGAGGAACCGAAGCGGTTTGCTTCAAAGAATCGTCTGCTGCGGTGTTCATGCTGTCATAGCACGTTTACCGCAATTTTCCACACACACACACACAAAGCAACCGCTACTGTTGAGTCTCACACTGCCGTGCCATGTCTATTGATGGCCGTCTCATCGCCGATGTGCAGCGCCTTCGCCGGATCAACGGCGTACCGCTTTTCTTCCTCGTGTCCGGGAGCAAAGGGTCTGGCAAAAGTACCTCGCTGAAGGCCTTCGCTGATGGCCTCGCAGCCTCGAGTGCTGTTGAAGAATGCGACAGCGTTTCGGCGCTGCTGCGACGCGCGAGTGACGGAGAGGATGGCGGAGAGGCGTTCACGGTGTGCCGTCTAACATACCTTATGATGGCAGAAGGGGTCTTCCAAGCATCCAAATCGCTCGCCTCTGCGCAGCAACTCCGTCCATTCACGGTGCTGGTGGTCGATGACGTCGATATTCTCTGGATGCTCTGCAGCGCCAATCGCATCTTGGGTCACCTTCAGCGTCTTTTGGACTTGGGCCTTTCCAGTCCTTCGTGCGCAGTGGTGGCGAGCGCTCTCAGCCTTGACGCCGTGCCGTCGTGGCTGCTGGGGCGGAAGCTGCCCGTTGTACACCCACTGAGGGAGCTGACCGAGGCGGGCATGCGCCGACTGCTTCGGACGGTGCCGCAGCCTCTCTTTAAAACGTACGGGGAAACCGTTCTCAGCATGCAGACGCTCTCCACCTCCCGCACCATGCTCCTCTTTAACGCCTGCATGACGCTCCACAGTGCGACGAAGGGGGCAGCGCCAAAAGAGTTGAGCGCTCTGGCGAAAGAGAACAGTGCGTTCCTGCACCATCGGTGGCCACCGACGGAAAACACGCAGGGGCCTTCGCGCCATCTCTACGGTCTTCATGATGTTCGACATCGCATGCACACGCTTCTCTCCGTCTTTGTGGCGCACAACAGCGCTGACAGCGGAGGGAAGCTGATGTCGGCGCTTCCTTCCTCCACTGGCGTGTTGTTGCACGGCCCGTCCGGTTGTGGCAAGTCGAGCCTGGCGCAACAGCTGGCGGCTGACTTCCCCGCCGTCCCCTTCTTCTTCGTGGAGTGCACGATGCTCTTCTCGAAGTACCTCGGTGAGAGCGAGGAGCAGCTGCGAGAGGTGTACCGCCGTGCCCGCACACGTGCACCGGCGGTGGTGATTCTGGAAGACATCGACGTGATTGCGCAGTCGCGCGGGGCTCTGACGCGCGCAGATGGCGGCAGCGGTGGCGGCGGCAGTGCCGGCAATTTGGACGTTACGAAGCGTATGCTGGCTGGTCTGCTCTGCGAGTTGGACGGCGTCACGGACAACAGCGGCGTGCTGACGATCGGCGTGACGAACGCGCCACGGGTGCTGGACGCGGCGGTGCTGCGACAGGGTCGTCTGGAGACAATTCTGTACGTTCCACCGCTGACGCACGTTGGCGCTGCGGAGATGTGCCGTGAGTTTTTTCAGCAATTTGACGGCAGTGAGGCGATGCGAACGCAGTGCAGCGAAGTGGTCGCCTCGCAGGCTGTTGGCTGCTCCGCTGCTGCTCTCCAGTACGTCCTTCGGAAAGTGTTCGAGCAGGCGGTACAGCAGAACGGTTGGGCACGCGCAGAAAGGAGCTGCGAGGGTGGTCTGCCGCTGCCGCGCCCCGACGATCTGCACGGCCTTCTTTTGGAGCACTGTGCTGTGCTGACCCACGTGCATCCCTCACCCTTCGAGTAAGTGCCAGCTCCACTGACCGTTTGCAGGTAAGCAGTAAGATTGTTGAGTGGCGAGCAAAAGTAATGGAAGCAGGCGTCATACGGCGATTCTGCTACGTGACGAGTGTCCCCCGTGTTTAACGAGAAGTAAGGGAAAACTTCGATGAACGCCCAATCCGATGTAGGCGCATACAATTTCTGTGTTACCTGCAGTTGTAGCGTTGCCCTCTCAACGACGCGCCCCCTCATATCAACAGCGATGCAGCAGCAACGTAATGACGTCGACTGCTTTCTCTCCTTCTTGATCTTTCTCCGTTCCTCTTTCACCCGCGCCTTTCTTACCCTCCTCTTACCCCCCCCCCTCCTCTCAACGGCCCACTTCACGCGCTGTGCAGTATTGTGTTGTTTGGTGCACGCGGGCACGTACACAAAACGCAGCGAGGGTAGAAGTGTGTGGTCACTCTCCTTTCCTCTCTTCTCTCCCCCTTTGGTGCAGTTGACGAGCTCCGTCTGCTGCTGGGCGAGCAAACTCCTTTTTCTTGTTTCACCGAAAAGAATATTTTCATTAGCTTCTTTTTTTCTGTTCCTGTATTGTGCTGACGACAGTCAAGCCATTTCTTTTCTACTTCCGCTTCCACAAACGCTGTACGGGTGTCTTCGAAGCAAACAGCAAAATAAGAAACTACCGTACCCGACGTAAGGCGGAGGTGCCGCATTGACACACGCTGACTCCCCCACTGCGTCTGTGGCGGTATTTTTCTTCTCCCTCCCTTTCTCTTTTCCCCGCGACGGCTGTCATAAGAGGCACCGCCTCTGCGCCTTTTCTTTTCCTTTCGGTTTCCTGTTTGTTAAAGTAGACGTGTGTGTTTTGGCATTCCGTCGTCAAGTGGCCTTTCCTGGCATCTGTGAGGGCTTCCAATGGACTACAGGTCCCCTTTTGAGCTGCGCCAGCAGTTGATCGAAGAGGCGCGAGCCGCGCAGGCTACGTCGCCAACCAAAAAGTCGAAGTCAAAGACAAAGAATGCTCCCAGCACGCGTGTAGAGTCCTGCGCGGCGCCGCCGCCGAGAGAAGATGCGTCGTTAGAGAACCTTGCCGGCTTCATGCCGTCCACCGCGCTGCCTGACGACCCGACGGCGCTTGTCCGCGAAGTCCCTGGTGCGGACAACATTGAGGCGTTAAATGCAGCTCTCGAGCGCGAAGAGGCGGTGCAGCGCTACGTCGAGAAGGAGAAGCTCTCTGTGGAAGACTCGGCGAAGTACATCATGGCGAACGGCAGCACGGGGCAGCGCATCTCCTTCTTTGGCCACGTGCGTGAGAAGCTGTTAGAGCTGCCGCCGAAGCGCATCTCCAAGGTGCTCGAGATACTGCTGGACTCGATGTGGGCACAGGACCCGGAGCTGCAGTGCCACGCGCCAGACGCTCTGTTGAACTTTGTAGGACTTCTGGACGGCAATACCGCGAGTGAGGTGTACGACGCGACCAAGACGATGCTGTCGGTGCAGATGCAGGAGGTTCGCGTATCGTGGAGCCGTCTGATGCTGGGCCTCGTCGACTACCTCCCACTAAGTGTGTTGCAGGGCGATTTAATCGCGCTCGCCGTGAGCAAGTCCGACCACGCCCAGCCGCAGGACCAGCGGGAGTTGAGCTGCCAGCTTCTCGGACGGGTATGTCCGCAGCTGTCGGTGTCCAAGGCCGAGGAGTTAGTACTTCCGCGGGCGTTGGCACTCTGCCAGGATACGAACGTGAGTGTGCGGCAGAACATGTGTCAGCAGCTCTGCACCATCGCACACGCCTTGGGCGTCGAGAAGGCCAAGGCGCTCGTTGCGCCGGACCTGTTTGAGCTGCTTAGCGATGAGGAGCAGGCGGTGTCTCGCGCTGCCTTCTCGTGTCTCATCGACCTCGTCGAGTTCTTCGGCCCCGCCTATCGTCGCGAGAAACTATTTCCCATCATCAAAACATTCATTTCCAACCCGCCCAGCGAAGTGGTCGGGTTGCTGGTCGGCGAGTTCGGCCGCTTCCTCGACGCCATCAAAACCGACATCACCGACGACGACGACGTCGCCCTTTTTGTGGAGTTTTTCTGCAACGCCGCCACCCGCTCCGGGGAGGAGGCGCGGCGACACTGCGCCTTCAACTTCCCGGCCGTGGTTGCCTCGCTGCCCCGCAGCGTCTTCGCCACCGACCTGAGCAAGGCCCTCGCCTTCCTCTCCACTGACCCCTGCGTGGGTGCTCGTCGCAGCGTGGCGGCTGGCCTGCACGCGCTTCTCCCGCTGCTGCCGGCCTCCGCCGTGGACTCGCTGGAGAAGCCTTTTCTCCACCTCATCCGGGACCACGATTCCACGGTGCGGACGGCGCTGATGACTCACATTCACGCCTTGCTCGATTACTTCCGCAAAGGGATCATCGGGGCAGCTCGTTCGTCCTTCTTCGCCAAGGTCCTCGACGCGGTGCTGTCGTGGGTGGCGGTGCCGCTGGTCAACTGGCACACGATGCACCACGTTGTTGACATTGTCGACCGCTACATCGACGTCTTCGAAGAGAGGGCCTTAATGGAACAGGTCCTTCCCTTGCTGTGGTCGTACGTGAAGACCGGTGCGACCGTTCTCAAGGTTCCGTGCGCCACCTTGCTGATGCACATCATCGCTGGCGTCGAGACGCCATCCGTACAGGCGCACGTGTTCAGCAAACTGAACGCCGATTTTGCTCGAGCTAGCTCGTGCTACGCGCGGCAGGCGTATCTCCTCTTTGTGAAGGCCGCCTTCGCGTTCTTCTCGCTGCGCTGCATCCGCGAGCGAATGCTGGAGTGCTGCTTGGAGCTGCAGCGCGACACGGTGGCGACGGTGCGGATGGCGCTGGCCCGGTGCCTCCCGCTGCTCTCACGTGCGCTGCGCACCGCCACGCCGGCCGGCGCGCTGGAGGACGAGTTTGCGATGATGGTGGAGCGGCTGTGCGAGGATGCCGAGGAGGAGGTGCGTGAGACCGCGCAGTCGTACCTGAGGACGGCAAATGGAAAGCGGCGTGGCGACCATTCGCCCCTGCACAGCTGCAAGCTGAATGAGGCAGAGGAGGAGGAGGATCGACGGCGTGAGGCGTCAGAGCTGCCCATGCTCGAGCACGCGAAGGAGACTGACAAGGCGGAGCGTCGCGCCAAACTGCGTGATCTGCTGAAGAGTGAGCGGGAGAAGGACTACGGTGAGCTGCCGTCACCGGGGAAGGTACGCAAGGCCGTGACGGGCCCCGCGATTGCGTCGCCGGTGGCGAACCGGAAAGGAGGGACACGAACGCCTGTTACGGCATCCACGGTGACGCTGCCGCGCCTCAACGTCGCCAGGTACGCCGCGGCGTCGGCGCCAAAGGTTAGCGTGAACCGGAAGCGAACTTAGCTGGGGTTATCTTTGACGACTTCGTCACCTTTCGATGTGTTCTGTGCAACGTGTCGCCGAGGTGGAGTGCTGTCACACGTCAACAGGTCGCGAATAGATCGTGACCGCGGCGTTCTTTCTCCTCACCCACGTTTTCTTCTTCAACCGTAATGAATGGAGGGAGTGTGTTTTTAGCTTGCATGTTTGTGTGTTTCGTTTCGTTCGTTCTCTTCCTTTGTAGAGTTGGGTGCTTGGTGCCGTTACATGTAAGTTAGACTGGCGACGTTTGACGTTTTTTCTTTCCTTTTGCAGATCACCGATATTTCCGACCGTGTGCAGCTGTACATTACATTTCTTTGCTACTTTGGCTTCTCATGGCACGCTTGAACCTGCCTTGTTGCGTAGATTCTTTTATTGTTCACCTCTGACATCTATGTAACGGTACGCTGAATCGCTTTGATAAAAGTAACACACGTTTACCAAGGGTTGCCGCACCGGGCTGGCTGGGAATGTCCCTGTCTCTGGCGCGGGTATCAAACGGCTTTTTCACTTGTTCTTTCCTCGTACCGGCGTGCACCCACTTCTCTCTCCCGTAGCGCGACTTTCGACGGAGCGAACTGCCGCACCGTTATCAGTGTGAGTCGAACCATCATTTCCTTTTGGGATGCGTGCGGGCGATCCAAGCTGGTTCGCGTGCTTCAACAGCGAATGCCGATCACCTTCAGCGTTGCTTTATTCTCTGCATTTCTGCGAGCACATTTAAATCCACGAGTCATCACGCTTGTTCTCTCGCTCTCACGTCTCATTTTTTCCTTCGCACACATCCTTCTCCATCGTCAGGTCAAACAATCAGGACGGACGCCCGTTAAGCGGATCAAGAAGGCTTCACGCCCTATTTGGATACTCGCGCCCCACTTCTCCCTTTTCCAGCCGTGCAGCCCTGGTATATCATCCAAAAGCTGCTTCGTATGTTTCGTGAGCGAGTCGATACACCCTCGCATCGGTTGGAGTTTCTTTGGGGCAGCTCTCATCCACGCGGATGTCCGGCAGCGACTGGGACTCGGACTCGGACGTGTCCGACTCGCACGAGATTGCCTCGGCGATGAACATGTGCTTCGTGGAGCACCTTGCGCAGCAGCACGCGCCGCGGGTAACGCAGCGGCGCCGCAGCCGATCGCCGGCGGGGCCGGAGGCAAATCGAAGCGTCCGGGAGGTCGTCGACGCTGATGGGACGCCGCGCACGCAGCCCCGCCTTGACGTAGTCGCCATGATCGGCAACGCCCTCAAAAAGGGAGACGTGCGTGGACTGCCAGCGGAGATGTCGGTGGAGCAGTTGTCGGCGCAAATCGTTGAGGCGCTTCGCCGGTCCTCCGGCGGCGGCGAGGTGGCACGGGCGGTGACGCAGGCTCTTGCGGATCCCCTCAATACGGATCTTCGCAACGCAGTTCTGAAAGGGGAGATGAGTCCCGAGAAGCTGGTCACGCTAGACGAACTCAGCCTTCTCAACCCAAAGGAGCGCGCGATTCGAGAGAAGGCGCGGCTGGACCGGCTGAATCAGCACTCGGTGGATTACCTGGAGAAGCTGAGTCTCACCGTCACACACATGTACACCTGCCCGGTCTGCGGATCGCAGGACTGCTTCGCCAACTTCCGCTCCACCGATTTTGTGAAGTGGCAGGGCGATGATCAGACGCCTACGCTGCTGCGGTGCTGCAAGTGCGCGCATTCTTTTCGGCAATGATGGCCCCAACTTATGTGCCGACAGTGTGGTTTCTTGCGCTTTCTGTTCCGTATAAGTTGGCCAGTGGCTGCGAAGGAGCTCTGTCTCCCTGACAGCGAGGATGAACCGTTGGCTGCCGCACGCTTTGGCAATTACATGCGCTTTCCTCTTCTCTTTTGTTGTTCTTATATTCAAGCTTTTTTTCTCTTCCTTATCGCTTTGCTGGGGCGCTCCTCACAATCCTACGTGACGCTTTCGTACTGTGCTGCTTTATCACGTGCTCGAGGTGTTTTGCAGGCTTTTATGGCAGCACCGTCTTCTCGTTAGTGTTGCATCGTGCATCCGCTGTGTCTTGGTGTCGCGCGGCTTTGCTTCGCTCCCTTCACGTTTCGCTGCGCTAGTGACGACGCTATTGCTCCTGAGTGCTGTGCTGCTACGGCGGCTTTCTGCTAATCAACGACATCCAATCATGCGTCCTGCGACGAAGCCGCTCAGAAACAGAAGGATTACGAATGCGTCGAGAAAAGAAAGAGAAGCGGCTGGGGATCGTAGAAGGCTGTCGATGCAGCATTTTGTCTTCTACTACTATGCGTACACAGCTGCCGCGAGGTGTATTTCCTTTTAAGAACAGTGCGGGACCGACTACCTTTTATGCTTCGCGCTCTTCGGGCATGACGCTGTGTACCATCCGCTACGATACACGTCGTTGCTTTCCATCCGTCTCTCTTCTGGACCTATTTGTACCGCTTCTCTTTCCGATTTGTTAAACCCGCCTGACCACTTCGTTCGCTCTGTCCTGGTCGCTCCCTTTGGCTTCGTGAAGGGAAACAAGTGTCTCGCTTCGCTTCCGTGCTTTGCTCCGTTCTCTCCGCACGCTTCACTTCTCCTTCCGGCGGCACGCACCGCACGCACCACGGTACTCTAGCATTTCTCCATTACACCTCTGCACGCAGCGCTCTCTCCGTCTTCACAGCCGCCTTTCGATTTGCTCGCTCTCTACTGAACTCCTCTGCCCTTCCCTTCTCGCTGGGCACACATACGACGTTGGTTTCGCCTTCCCCTGTCTGTCAGCCACTAGTTGGACGGGCGGCATGGCCGACGCGCCAACTTCTCCAACGGCGCCCAGCACAGCCGAGAAGATGCCCACTTCTTCTGCAACAGCAGCACCCGTCGTCACGGAAGGGGTTGCGACGGCGCCAGATGCACCAAATGCGGTGACACCGCCGGGCCTCCCCGACGCGGCGACGACATCGGTGACACCGCCGGTGAACACGCTGAAGCGGCCGCGGGCTGTGCAGCCGGTGACGCACTTTCTCAGCCCTGCCTCCGCTAATACGCCGTCCTTCGCGAGCACGGCGTCGACCGCGCCTCCCACGTCGACACTCGCCGATCACGGGGATGAAAACGGCGCCGATGAGGTGCCCGTACCGCCCAAGCAGGTGCGCATCGAGGGCCCCAACGGCTCTCCCCCCACGCCCCGCTCTCCCTACGCCGGCCTGCCGCGCAAGATCCCACGAAAAACGCCCGTCTCCACACCCGCCTCCTCGTTGGGCACGCCCACCCTCGTCTCGCCCGTGCAGCTTTCCTCATCACTGACGACGCCAACGCCGTCACCGGCTACCAGCGTTAGTGCCGCCGCGGCGAAGCTGGCTGCACTGCGCCAGCGTTGGGCCAATCTGCTGCGGGGCGCTCTCATGAAGGAGCGTCAGCCGCACGAAACGGAGGCGGTGATGGCGCTAGCCATGCGCATCGTGGAGGCGCTTCCGGGCGACTTGGAGGAGACGAAGGACGGTTTTCAGACCCTTCTCTTTAGCTTGAAGGATGAGAAGAACGGCGAGCTACGCCGCATGGTGGTGGAAGGCGAGCTGCTTGTGGAAAAGCTAGTGCAGATGGACGACCGCGAGCTGGCCAATCCGGAGGTGAGGAAGAAGATTGAGGAGAAGATGGAGGACCGCGCCAAGGACACAAATATGAGCGAGCTGGCCAAGGCGATGCGAACGAGCAACTCCACGCTGTTCAAGTGTATGACGTGCGGGGCGCGGGACACGTCGTGGTATCAGCGCCAGACCCGCTCCGGTGATGAGCCGATGACGGTGATCATCACGTGCAACCGGTGCAACACGCAGTGGCGAAAGTACTGAGAACGCACGAGAGCATCGGTGTGGAGGTTGTTGCATGACGTGTGGGCGGGGTGGGCGCGAATCGCAGATCACAGCGCTCTTCCCTTCACATTCTTCCTTTCCCCCCTTTTTTCGCGAGTATGTTATGCGACGGGGGAATCATAGCTTCTGTTTCAACGGAGGATGAGGCCATCTTATCAAAAGAATATGCACAACAGTGTCGAAAAAAGAAAAGGATTGACAGATTGCGATGTGCCCATCATCGCTAAAGCTGATGCAACGCGTCACCTCCGCTTTGCGGAGCGTTGTTCCCCCTCCTTTCCACATCCCCGGAATTCAAGGCGTGCAACTCTTTATCTTTCGTTTCCAATCTCCTCCTAGTCTCTCGAAGCGCTCTTGTCAATGTCGGCATCTTGCTTGTGCTATCCTTCGGTCTTTCTCATACCTTGTCTTTGCTGTTCTCGACTCTTTGGGTTGTTGTTTGTGTGTCCGCCCCCAGGTCTCGACGGAGGAAAACACAACACAGTAGGCGCTTGAATTCAGTTTTCCTATATCTGTATACTATTTCCCCACAGCAGTGCTGCCCTTTGTACGTGCGAGTACTCGGCCCTCCAGCTGAAGTTGTTTGTGCAATCAAACCCATTCATTTTGGCTGTCGGCTTTACTATTCTTCTGTTTTGTTTGTATCATAAGCGTCTAGTCAACGCCTCTCACACGCAATGAAGGTGCACATCAAGTGGTTTCTTACGGGCAAGGATACGGTGATTGAGGACAGTGATGAGATTCTCTCGCCCAGCTCGACCATTGCGGAGCTGAAGGGACTCATTCAGATTCGCTTCGGATTCTCCTCGAAGGAGCTGCTGCTCATGCGGGATCACCTGCTGGAGAACTCCGTCACGCTGCGCAGCCTCGGCATTACGGGCTCGCCGTCTGACCCCGTGCTGACGGCCCACGTTGTGCGGGAGTCGGAGCTGGAGGCGAGCAACCTCGACCAGGACGACACGAGCCTCGACGACAACCTGCAGGAGTTCTCGCACGCCGACTTCATTCTCGCCATGAAGATGCTGGGCAAGGAGGTCGCCGTCACGGACGATCGACTCGTCGCGATGCGCCTCAACGCCCCCCGCCAGCGGCCCGCGTTCCTAAACGCACGCAAGGAGGGCGAGGGGGCGGAGGCGGCCGCCAACGGAACGCCGAAGCCGCCAACGGGGATGCCGGGCTTCGGGGGCAACGTGGCCGTCTACGACCCCAAGAAGACCGAGGTCTACCAAATCCTCGCCAACGTGCATTACGGCCCGCGCAAGGAGGGGGTGGACTCCGACTACGCCATCACCTACCCGGGCGTCGAGGAGCCGTTCCCGTTCTGGGACATGCGCACCCCCGACGTCTTCAGCCACCTGGAGGTGCAGTGCTCGCCGGGTGAATTGTGTGTCGAGCTCTTCTACTTTGGTGAGTTCGCGGCGGTGAAGGATCCAGAGAGCTTCCTGGCATTGGTGCGCCAGAGCCTGGAGTCGAAGGCCGGCGTTCGCCCGCGCACCCCGCTGCCGCTGCGGGAGGCGGGTTGCATGTACCCGTTGATTGCCTGCCCCGTTGTCCTGCACGAAATGGACGCGATGGAGCTCGGCGACATCTTCTTTGAGGAATTTGGCAAAGTAAGTGTCAAACGCCCCGTCATGAACACCAACGATGATGCGGCGGCGGTCGGTGGCGGGTTGGTCGGCTGTGGGCCCCAGTAGTCAAACCACACCCTTCACCCGCACACTCACGCGAACGTCCTCTCTTTTCTTTTTTTCCTTCTCCTGATTTCTTCCGTCGTCGACTTCTCCCTCCGCGTCTGTGCGCGAGCCGCTGCGAAGTGCCGGAAGGAAAACGCGGTATCAAAAAGATTTTTAGCAGACGATCATAAAATGAGTTGCAACAGTCAACTTCACCAACGCTCTTTTTTGTAGTAGCAACTCAGTAGTGATGCTTTGTCTTCTGTTTTAGCTCGTCGTTATCATGACGATTGAAAAGATGTATCATATACTTAGGTGTTTTCTTTTTGGTGAAGGAAACATGGCGCAGAAGGCCTGCCCCTCTCCTTCTCCCTCCCCCTCCCCTCCTCTTCAGTGCTGCGCTCTCAAAGAGAAACTATCCTCAAGGAGTAATAGGAGCAAGAGTTCCCCAGCAGTCGTGGTCTTTGGAGAGCGAGGCAATACTGTTATTGTTTTTTTTTTTGCTGTCAATAAAAGACCCTCTTATTTGTTAATACGTTATCTCTGGTGTGTTGAAATTTTTTCTTGTTTTCTCTTAATCATTTTACTCTCACTTCCTTATTGCGTTGCTGGCGCTGTTCGCGTGCAGTTTTTGCGCATTTCGTCGCAGCAATTTACCTGAACGAGCGCCATCCACCTCCCTCCCTTCTTTCTTTGCCTGAGGTAATTAGCGGGAAGAACACGATCGCTGTTCATTCGATAAAGGGGGAAAGGTCGCAAGGAGCAAGTGACGCCCGTATTTCAAATATATCTGTTCACAATACGAGGCACTTGCCTTCTCACAAAGCAAATAATAATAATAATAATAATACTAAGCTACGCCAGCAACGGAGGGAGAAGACGCGCAGAAGACGCCACCCGCGCACCAGAAGCAGCCGTTTAATGACAATGGCACAGCTTTGATATATGGCTGTGTTGACAGTTTTCTCCTCTTCGTCTAACGGTGGCAGCTTTTCAGATTTCTGTAGTCGATGCATAAAACGTGTAGGGGCGGTGGGGTGGGGGACGTGGGTTAATCTTTGCTGTGTGCCCATCAACACCGCTAAAATGTTCGGTAGACGTGTAGCACCCTTCACAACCCCCTTTTTTTACTGTTGTTGGTGTCTATCGCCATGAGAGTCCCTGAAAGAGTGACGATCTCCCCCATGGATTCGAGATGCGCGGCTCTGACTTCTTCTGCCGATCTCTTGAGAACATGGTTAACCGGGCGTTTTGCTCTCTCTGCATCCGTCTTTCTCGTCTTCTTCTTCTATTTCCTGCCTCACCCCGCTTCGTCAACGCACGCTACATCTTGTTGCGCAAAAGATTCCGTATATACATTCCGAGCAGGTCTTTCTCCTTCAATGAAAAAATGGACGGCGAGTCGTCTGGACTGCACCGTGAGCGCTGCCAAACTAGCTTCAAGCGGGAGCGCTCGCACTCTCTTTACACCGAGAAGCGGACCCTCGGCCCCTCCTTTCCGCCGCCAGGCAGCGCGTTTCCCGCCCACGACGGCGTCGACGACGGCTCCGTGAATGAGCGAGTGGAATCGCAGGAAAGCACACCGACGCACTCTCCCCGCACCGTCCTGTTTGAGCTCATCCCTCTCTCCGCCTCTCCTGCAACCGCCTCTTCAGAAAAAAAGAAGTTTGGCATCGAGGGGATTCGCATTGGTCGAGACCCAAGCTGTTCCGATTTTGTGTTGAACTCCGCGGCTGTCTCGCGGCTGCACTGCGTGCTCTCCGTGTTGGGCGATGAAGTCTTCGTGCACGATAACAGCTTTAACGGCACCTTCATCAATGGGAAACGAGTGGGACGCGGGCGGTGCTCGGTGCTGCACCCACGCGACACGATCTCGTTCATGAACCCAACGTGCGCCGGCGCCGCCCTCTACTCCTTCGAGTTCGCACCGCTGCCTGGCCAGACGTCGCCGCTATTCCCGGCGATCGAGGGGATGCAGCGGTACGAGTTGGGTCCTGTGGTCGGTCAGGGCAGTTTCGCGGCGGTGCGCCTCGCTACCGATCGAGAGACGGGCGAGGCGGTCGCCGTGAAGCTCATTGAGCGGCGGCGGTTGTGCTCCGAGGCAGCCGCGGCGTCGCTCCACACGGAAATTGAGATGATGCGTGGCATGGACCACCCGAACATTGTGAAGGTGCTGGACGCCTTCGAGGGCGGCGGCTGTGTGGCGCTCGTGATGGAGTACGTGCGCGGCGGTGACCTCTTTGACTACGTCGTGGGACGCGGACGCAACCCCTTCACCGAGGCGGAGGCGCGGCACCTGTTCGTGCAGCTTCTGGAGGCGCTTCTATACATTCACCGCCGCAACATCGTCCACTGCGACGTGAAGCCGGAGAACGTGCTCGTGGACTACGCGGGCAAGGAGACGGCGTGGCGGCTCGCCGCTCCTGCGTCAGGGTCGGCAAGCACGTCGAACCGCACAGCGGGGCTGTCTGACCCGGACACGCGTGCGGGTGCGGCGCTGTCTGCGCTGGAGGACCACCAGAGCGAGGCGACGGCGCTCTCGCCCTTCGAGGTGCAGTTGAAGCTGACCGACTTCGGCGTCGCGAAGTACGCCGGAGGGGCTGGCGAGGACGCCGAAGAGACAGCGGAAGAGGGGGGCGGGCTGGGCGGCACACCAGTCTACGCTGCGCCGGAGCTCGCCTACTACCCTCAACCGGATGTGCAGGTGGAGGAGGAGGAGGGGGACGGGCCCCGTCGCGCTCTTGCACCGCCGCCGCCGGTGAAGGTCACGTCCGCCGTGGACGTCTGGTCGCTGGGGGTGCTGCTGTACATTCTGTGCTCCGGCACGGTGCCGAAGCCCCCGCCGCTCGGTGCCTCCGTCGTGCTGCATCGATGCATGCAGCACCTCTCTGCGTCGTGCACGGACTTGATATCGCGCATGATGGTGACTGACCCGGCGGGGCGCGCCACGCTGGCGGAGGTCTGCCTCCACCCGTGGTTGAGCGGCATCGAGCTGCGCGGTGGCGTGCGGGGCAGCGACGACGACAAGGACATGTTGTCCGCCACCGCGATGGTGTCGCCGCGCTTTTTCCGACCGGTGAAGTCAACACCGGCGGCGGCACGCGCGAAGCGAGCAACCTGCTTGACGGCGGAGAAGAACGCAGCGGAGGAGGATCAACACCTGCCCGGGTCACCGTCGACACCGACGATCGCGTAACTGCGGGCGACCATGGAGCGCCGTTCACATCCATTATTTTCCACGTCTTCGCAGTGTCTCGTGAGACACCGTTTCAAGCGTACAAGCCCCAGCTGCTTCTCTTCGTCGCTCGTGAACCACAGCGGAGAAAGACATCCCTTCGCATTTAACGCGTTCCTTTATGATTTTCCACAACTAGTTGAGCATCGCTGTCACAACGATGGAACGGCCTGCGTTGCGCGTCCTCGCAGTTCGTTGGGCCTTCATTCATGCTCCTCCGTGTGGATTGGATTTGTTTTACTCTTCTCGGTTGCTGCGATGATGTTGCCTCTCCACTTCTCTCTCGTTGCGTTGTGTTGTCCTTGTCCTCTTCTTCTTATTCGAAAACTCACAGACGTCGCATTTTCCAGGCCAGGTGCGTGTCGGACAACATCGGCAGCACAGCCGTCACTCAACGGAACGGCGCTCACTTTTCTTCGTGGTAGACACCGTAAACTAACTGCCAGAAATAATTATTTCAAAGGGAAATACGGGCAATGGAGCCAAACACGGACGTCGTGTGCACCGGCGAGGCGCCAGCAGCTGTGGCGTCTTCTCAGCAGTCTTCCACTGGCGAGGACGCAGCGCAGTCCTATCAAGAGACACAGCGCTTCTGTACGTGGCGCAAGCACACACGCAACCTCTACCAGCAACTCTTCCACATTGACCTTGTGTGGGAGAGCCCCGTGGCACAGTTCATGCCCTACGTCAGCACCAAGGCGGGACTGACCATGCACACCATCCTCAGCGGCACCCGCACCGGCGGGCAGGAGCAGAACTACCTGCAGATGCTGTCTGCCACCGTGCCACACGACACGCAGTCCCTCGACAGGTCGAATGCGGCCTACTCGGAGGCCACCGGGGAGGTAGGCGGCTACGGCATGGCACCGCACGCGTGCGGCCTCAACGTGGAGCGGCGCATCCTGCACGATGGAGACGTACTGGCGGCGCGCTACATGCCGGCGAATCCGCTGCTGTTGGCCTCGTCGTCCAGCAACGGCAGCCTCTACGTGTTTGACTGGTCGAGAGTGTCGTTGGGTCGCTTCCCCAACGACCCTCCGCGGCCGCGAGCGCCGCTGCCGCCCAACGAGCTCAGCACCGAGGCGACGGAGGAGGAGCGAGCGCAGTACCACAAGCGCATGCGTGCGCTGAACGTGGTGGCCACCGAGCAGGACAGGTGGGACCGTCGAACCGGTGACGGGCAGCACGTTCTCACCTTGAGCGGCGGCAGCGGCGTTGCGGACAATGTGTGCTGGAGCACCAGCGAGGAGGGCGTGCTGGCCTCTGGCTCCACCGGACGCGTGTGCGTGTGGAAGGTGGCGAACTTGTCGAAGGAGGACAGCCGTCAGGTGGAACCCAGCAGCGTGTTTTCGCTGGAAGACGAGGAGGCTCGCGTGACGCACGTCGATTTCTCGTGGAAGCTGCCGGGGACGTTCCTAACGGCGTCCACCTCCGGCGCGGTGCACTTCAGCGATACACGGCGGGCACACTCGACGGAGATATTCTCTCTCCGCCACCCTGCCACGTCGCTCGCCCTCTCCCCGCTGGACGGCAACTCGCTCCTGATCGGTGATAGGCAGGGCAGTGTGTTCTTCTTTGACCTGCGGAACAGCAGCCAGCCGGTGCTGGTGGACCGCCTGCACAGCGGCGAGGTGACCACTCTGGAGTGGTGCCCCCACTCCCGTCACCTGTTCGCCTCGGGTGGCCACGATGGGGTGGTGGGCATCTACAACTGCACCCGGCAGAAGACGCTCTTTAAACACTGCGGGCACACAGACGGCATCATGGATATCGGGTGGAATTGGCAGGAGGACGGGGCGGGGCAGCTCGTGTCGACGGACAGCAACGCCGTCATGCTGTGGCGTCCGCGGGACTTTTTCTTCTGTGCGTAGAGGAGGAGAAGGGGAAAAACAGCCGGACGAAGCGGCGTGCGTGTTTTCTGTGATGTGTGGCCGCTTCTTCTTGTGTTGTATTGGGAGGGAGGGGGGGGGGAGGGATGGATGACGGTGTTGGATTGACCATAGAAGTTACACGTGTGGTGCATACGCATAGAGGTAATAAAAGGCTGTTCCATTAAATGTACTAATAGTTGCAGAAGAGCAGTATGATGTTATTCTTTTGATTCGTTGTGCTTTGGGCAGGCGGCAGTTCTCACAGACAGTGCGGCACAGTCATTTCACCTCGGTTTGGTGGGGCGAGTTGCGAGTGGCAGCGAGACGCACTTCTGGTCCCACGACGCGGTGGTGTTGTGAAGCGTGCCATCTTCAGCCGTCTCAATGGAGCATCAGCGTATTCGAAATGCCCAACTTCCTCGTATCGCTTCGCTCTTCTGGAATTCACTTAACAATATATATATATATATATATATGTGTTTTTACTTATGTACAATCGCAATATACCTGTTTTGCCTCCCTTTCCGCTAGTAGAACGTTAAAGATCGCTGAAAGAATTCTTATGGCGGACAGTGACATTCAATCAGAGTGGTCGGAGCTGCCGCTCGATACTCGCATCCTAGAGGCACTGAAGGATTTGGGGTGGACGAAGCCGACGGCGGTGCAGAGCGCGTGCGTGCCGCTCGCGTTGAAAGGAAAGGACATTTCCATTCAGTCTCGCACCGGTTCTGGAAAAACCGGCGCCTTCGTCATTCCCGCCGTGCAACGCCTTATCACGGAGCGGGAGCAGCGCGGCGCCCAACACGCGCCATCGAACCCGTCCGTCCTCATCCTCGTGCCGTCGGTGGAGTTGTGCGAGCAGACGACGGAGGCGGCGAGTGAAATCGCAAAGTACGTCCAGCCGCGCTTCGTCGTCGATAATTTGGCCAGCGGCGGCGGCGTGACCGCCAGTAGAGTGCAGGCGGCGCACATCGTCGTCTCCACGGCGGCATTGCTGGCGAAGGTGTGCAATCAAGGCGCTATCACCGCCGCGGTGTTGCAGCACGTGCGCTTCTTCGTGCTGGACGAGGCCGACGTTGTCGCCTCCGTGGCGGAACGCTCTCTGCGCACCGTGCAGTCTCTGCTGCCGCCGAGCATGCAGGTCATCTTAGCCTCCGCGACGCTCACGAAAGGTGTGGCGGCAATGAAAGGGCAGCTGCTGCGGCACCCCGTCAACGTCGTGCTGACCTCCGAGGACGTACGCGACGAGGTGCGGAGTAAGAAAGCGGGAGCCGCCGCACCAGCGGAAGCGCAGCGTGGGCCCGTCGTGGAGTCGCGCATCATCGTGAAGGACCCGCTCAAGACCACCCTCCATCAGTATTACCTGGTTGCCACCGACGAGTGTCACAGCCACACCCTGCTCTTCGGGCTCTACCGCATGGCACTGATCCAAGGCAAAACGCTCATCTTCGTGAACGACGACGAACAGACGTACCGGCTGCAGAACTTCTTAGAGCAGCTCGGCGTGGCCACGCTGGCCTACGACGCCAATCTGCCCATCAACGTCCGCCTCGACACGCTGAAGCGATTCCAGAGCGGCGCCGTCTCGACGCTCGTGTGCACCGACGGCACGTTGGAGAGCGCGGCGCAGCTGCAGATGTCGCTGGAGGAGGAGTCGCAGAGCAGCGTGGCGGCGGTGGCGGAGACGTCGAAGAAGTCGTCCTCGCGGCGTCGCTCGCGCCACAACGACGAGGCCCCGTCGGCGCTGCACCGCGGCATCGACTTCGCCCACGTGCGCAACGTCATTTTGTTTGACGGCGTGGAGGCGACGGACCCGATTGCGCTCTCGCGCTACACCCACCGCATTGGCCGCGCCGGCCGCGCCGGGGAGGAGGGCGTGTCCATCGCTATCTTCAGCGTGCCGCAGGCCCGCAAGTATCTCCAGCCTCTGCGTGCGTACTGCACCGAGCGAGGCGAGTCCATTGGCCCTTTTCGCCAGATGCTGCGGGCAACGGTGGCGAAGTTGCAGTACCGCGTCGACAGCGTGCTGGGCAACATCACCCGCACGTCGACGCGCAAGATGCGTGTCGCCTCCGTCGCCTCCGAGCTCAGCCGCAGCTCCTACCTGGCCAACCATCTCTCACAGAAGGACACAGATGCCTTGAAGCGCGTCATGCGGCGCTCGTCGAAGAAGGTGAAGGTGGAGCGAAACATTCTCGACGTGCCTTACTACATGAAGCTGTCAACGATTGATGACGCCGGCGAGTACCGCAAGCGTGTGCATGCGAACCAGACGCAGTCGAACCTCCTCCGCAAAGCAGCCAAGAAGGCCACCGTCGATCCACTGAAAGCCGTCGTCTCAAAGCTCCGCTCGTCGAAGCGCAGGAGCTAGGGTGCATCAGAGCGCCTTATGAACTCCATGGGTATGTCGTGCGCAACAAGGTGTGTCGCTTGTACTGTGCGTTGAGAGTTGCATGCTGTGGGAGTAAATGAAGCAGAAGCGGTACCGCCAATAGGCGAGTGGCACGCCATTTGTTTTTTTCTTCTTATTCCTCCTTTGTTCGATTAAATGACTTTAACTTACGTTTGTAATTAAGAAATGTACGCAAATACATTCTCAATAGGAGAGGAACAACCGCACCCTGAGGCACACAGGCGCGCTGACTTCAAGGATGTGCACACACACACACACACCTTCTTTTTGTGTTTTTGTGAAGCGCTGATCTCATATTATCCGGGACGTTGTGCGTGCCGAGTGAGCCAAACTGCGGCGGCAAGGCGCATGTGCGGTATTACGGTTCTGAAGTGAAATCCAGAGCACCTACGCACCGCACAGAGGAACTGCGCATGGCGACAGCCGTCGGCGCCGCTCCAGCAGGTGGACGTTGACACATCGGCTTTTGACTGCGGACGTTGCGTGGCGTTCGACCCCATTTTTTCTCCAACTTTTATCTGCTTCTTCTCATTTAAAGTGTTTTGTTTAGTTATACCGCTGCTGCTGGTCGTGCTGTTGCTTTACCGACTTTCTGCCTCGTCACCCTTGTGAAGGCGCCGCGTACGTTGTGGTTTGGGCTGGGGAGGCTCTGCCACGCCTCTCTTTCAGTATCGATGGGAGCGGCCTGTTTCGACACGCACACGCGCATACATACACCTTGACGATCGCCACTGTCTGTGTGGGTCGCCTCCACTATTAAAATATAGTACCTTCGCTTCCTTCGGTTCTCGAAGCTTTTGCCTTCACATTTTGTGTTCTCTCTTCTCGAATTCCACGTTTACCGGCACTGCTGCTCTGTGCGTCGCGTCGCCGTAGTTGACGTGCGGTGCAGTTTTTTATGCGCTTCGTTGCCGGAGCAGCTCGAAAGCAAAACATTTATTTGCGTTGGTCGTGGCACCTCTGCCGGGCACGATGACAACGGACACGTCACCGGTGAACCACTACCTGCTCTTTGACCGCGCAGATGAATTCGATAGCGACGCCAAGGTGGACTACGCACTGCGGCACCACCGTCTCTTCACCTCAAAAGGCGGCGGGGCCGCCGCGGTGCCGGCGTCGCTGAGCGTAGAGCTAGATCGTCGCATGCTCATTCGAACGTTCGAGGAGCTAAAGAGAGGGGTATGCTACGGCGACCGCACCTTCCCGGCCACACCGAGCACTGGCAACACCTTCAACACAAACATCAGCGCCTCCTCCTCGCCGGATTACTTCATATCCCCACAATTTGAATCCCAGGGCGACGGCGACGTTTCCAACGCGTTCTTCGACGGCACCGACGACCTCGACGCCAAGCCGTGGGACAACACGACGAGTAGCCAGTCGAACTACTGGAACTGGCCGATGGAGGTGCTCTACCAGTCTTACCATTTATGGATTGCGCTGGATTACGGCCGAGACGTCTTCAGCATTACGCGCAACGGCGTCGTGCTCGTCGACCGCATCCCCACCGTCGTCGCCACCCTCCTGCAGGTCGTCGAGACGACGCTCTTCGCACGTGAGCAGGACATGCAGCAAATACGCCTCTTTGTGGAGGCGAACATCGCTGATGAGCAAACCCGCACTCGCCTGCTGCGGCAGGTGTGGGACCCGACGGTGTATGTCAGCATCGTCTTGTTGAACGTGCCCCAAGAAGTCGAGCAGGCAGTGCCGTTCGAGGCCGCCCCACCAGAGACACACGCAAAGACATGCGGCGGCGGAAATAGCAGTAGCAACAGCAGCGGCGGCGGCGCCCCTTGCATGCGCCCGCGGCAGCCGCAGCACCCGGCGATCATCATGTACCCGCCGGAGCACCGCCGCTTCACCGCTCTGGAGACCGCCGGCGACGATGCCTCTCGCTGCTCCGCCGTCACGCTGCTCTCCCACTGCGACGCCCGCGTGCTCTTGGACGATGGCAGCTTTATGGACCGCCTGCGCGACCTGTTGACGCGCTACGAGAACGCTTATCGAGAGCACAGAAGCCCGCAGGAGTGGCCGCAGTCGTCGCTGAGCGCGTCGATCGAGTACTTAACACGTGCGATGCCGGACGCCTCCGACGAGTGCAACACCATCGTCTTTGTCAGCGACGTCGGCACCATGTCCTCGTCGGACACCCTCACGTTTCTAGAGAGCATGGTGCGCCGCAAGAGCTTAATCGTGTCCCTCGTGGCGCTCAATCGCATCCTCATCTTTGACTCGCCGGAGCTGAGTCCGCTGGCACGTTTTCTGTCGGCGGTCGGCGGCTTCGCGGTGCACGTGGATTACTGGCTGGCGCTGGGGGCACACCGGCTGAACAGCGAGTGGTGTCACAAGTTCGAGGGTGCGCGCTGCCTTGCGCAGCAGGTATTTGTGCACCTCATCAATCGCTTCCCTGTCGCCAGCCCAGGCGCCACGCGGCGCGACCTTCTCGCCGATGCACTGTGCGAACCTGTGGCGTTGTACGACGGCGACCACGATCTGCCCGACTTCGTGGCGGAGGCGACGATGGTGGAGCTGCTGAGCACGACCGCCGCCTTGCGCTTCAACCAGGGCTGGAGCGTGCTCATCGACTACCACAACGAGACGAGTGCGGCCTCCCATCTGGCCGCGCGCTACGATCACGACTTCCACTGTGGCGCCATCAGCCTCCATTACGAGATGAACATCAACCGACCCGCGGTGTACCGCCGGCTGCTCGTCTCCGGCACCAAGGCTCTCGTCGACCACTTCTGCAAGAAGCAATGGGACGAGAACTCCACGAGCGTCGTCAGCGAGGGGAGCGGGCACTGGCTGGCCTACTTGACGCTGCTCCGACTGCAGGTGCACCTCTGGATGAAGGCGGAGCAGGTGCTCATGCGCATGGTGAACACGTCGCCGCTTCCGAAAACCATCGGCCCCATACCGGACTTGCAGCGCTTCTCTGGCGCAGAAGGCGTGCTGTCAGAGTGGTTTAACACCGCCATGGCCGTCTCCATAGGTGTCTTCTTCCGCTTTGAGTATCTGCCGCCTAGCACGTTGGTCGCACACAGCCGCGCGGCGAGCTTAAGCGGAGCCGCGACGGAGTCCGCTGCTCGCGCATGCCTGCGTTCTGCCATGCTGCGCCGTCACTGTTTGGTGGGTCGTGAGGAGGAGCTGACGTACCTGCGGGTAGTGAGGGCCTCCTCCGCCTCCGACAGCTGTCCGCTTGTGAAGGGAGGCGGCGGCATCGTCACTCCGTCGGCATCTGCCGCCTTTTCTTTGGTGCAGTTCTTTCCTTTGTACAACACCGCTGCGGGCAACGACTTTGGACTGGCAGGTGGCTTTGAGTGTCGTGTGAGCTGCGTGCTGTGCGACCGCGAGCAGCAGCGGGCGGTGGTGCAGGCCGTGTTGACAGACATCTTTGAGACAGTGAAAGAGCGCAATGCGGGGACTGCGCGGAAGGAGAAGTACCTGCTTGTTCGCGCCTCCCACCGCACGGAAAACGAAGAAGCACTACAGCTCGTCAAGGCGAGCTTAAGCCAGCGGCGCATGCGTATGCTGACGAGCTACACAGAGGGCATCATTCGCTCCTGCGGCGGTGACCGCAGCGGCAATGGTGAGTCACGCGACGGCTCCACCACGCACTCCGCACTGCTCGAGCAGTGTTATCGCTGCCCGATGCTCACCTTTCCTTGGTCGCTGCTGAACGCGTTGTGTTTCCGCTGGATTTTGGGCTGCAGTGAGTACTACCCCTACCTCACGGAGGAGGCTTTCGGCTTCTTTGTGTCACGTCGCCTGCACGCCGGCTTCGTGCTTGTGGTGTACTACACGACCTCCTTGAAGGCGGTTCTCATGAGGCGCATTGGCAACCCCGAGACGCAGATGGACTTGTGCGTCTTCGACGTACTGGAGGCCCTCCCCGCCACCGCCGCACCGTCTGCGGCCTCACCCATTTTCATTCGACGACTCGTCACTCCTTTCAAACGGGCGCGCTCCTCTGTCTGGGCGTACACGCACGACATCCAGGAAGATCTCCACATCGCCACGGCACTCTTCACCTGCAAAGCGTTCTCGAGCAACCAGCCAGGAGAGCGCCGCACTCTGCCGCGTCAGATGCGCGAGCGCGGCTACACCCCCGTCACCGCACGCGTGGAGTCTCTTCTCCACTACTTGCACTCAAAATACACCGAGGTGGTGGAGCTGCGCTCACCGCCGTCGCTGGGCGTGGATGGGTGCGTTCAGCTTCGGGACCGGCTGTTGAACATTGTGAGCTGCGTCGGTGACCGCAGCACCGTCGTCGCCGCGCGTGCCCTCCACGCCGACTACGCGCAGCTCCTCTCCTCCGGCAAGGCGGTGGTGGACCCGGAAACCAACGTGTACATCTCCGTCATAAGCCCTATGCGCTACAACACCATACTGTGTGTGCTGATGCTCGAGTCGGACACCGACGACGGCACAAGGCAGCACACCGTGAAGGTGGCCCTCGCCGCCCTGGACCAGCAGCTGCTGGAGCACACCCTCGCCCAGCAATACCTTGCCAGCCCGAGCGCGTGCAGCGCCCAGACGATGACGAGTGCAGCGGCAGCGGCGATGGCAAAGTCCGTCCCGCCGGAGTGCGTGGCCGACCGCGCCGTTGTGCTTTCGCTGCGGCACCTCCTAACCGTCTTCACATCCGTCTACTGCGCACGTGAGCTGCTGCGACTCATACGGATCGCACCGGACGAAGAGGCCTCGGCGCCGGTGTCTGAACTCGCCGACACCTACCGCCACCTGGGCAACTACGCCGCCGAGATCGACGCGACACACCTTCTCCACGTCGTGCTGTGGCGCTACGGTGCCGGAATGAGCGCCGGCTTCAGCGGCAAAATGCAAGAAGTGCTGATGGACGTTGTGGCGGCGCACCAGCGGAGTTTTCCAACACACCCGACGCTGTGGCTGCCGCTCTCGAAGCGGGAGCGGTCCGCCCTGCGTGCCACGCTCGAAGGGGTGTCTGTGGGCGACAGCGACGGAGAGGGAGGGGAGTATGACGACGACGACGGCGACGGCGACGACGGCACGGAGGAGGACCGCGACGACGACGGCGACGGCGGCGAGCGCAGCGGCCACGTCCGTCTGGACCTGCTGCCGGTGGCGGTGAAGGTCTGCGCGGTGTTGCAGGCGTCCTCTGTCCGCAATGCCGACGGCGACGAGGCCGAGGCGCCTGGGCAATGCTTGTGGATCTCCTCGGCCTCGGCTTCTTCGGCTGCCTCTAACAACGCACTCCGGGAGAACACGCTGCGCGACAGCACGCCGTGGTTCGTGCCCTCTGCCGCAATGCCAGCAGAGACCTGCACCCTGAGCGACGCGACGGTGGGGGCGCTGACCGACAGGAACGCGCCCCCGACTCGCCTCCTCCTCCGCGTCTTCCTTAAAACGGTGCCCATCGACTTGCTGGAGCTATGCAAGGACGAGTCTTTCTGTCCACCGCAGTCTGCCGTGCGTCGCACGCTGCGGCTGCTGTTTTATCGCTTTACCGCTGAGGAAGGGCCGGTGATGGTCACCGCCGCCAACGCCGCGTCGAAGCCGCTATCGTCGTCATCCGCACCCGCATCGGCGCCTTCGCACATCACACCGAGTCATCGTGGCACCGCCGAGGAGGCCGCCGGCTCCGCCCTCGACCGGCTCTTCGCCCAGCCCGCCGCCGCGCCGTGGGACCGCCGTCGCTGCGACGACGTCTTTCGCGACTGCAATGACTTTGGGTCGCTGCCGGAGTACGTGGAGAGGTCGATGCGCGGCATTACGAGTCGGCTGGCGTGGCGCATTGCGACCTATTGTCTGCAGAGTGCGTGCTGCTGCACGTCCTTTACACGCTTGCAGTCTCTCGTGATGACGGGCCGACACGGCGGCAGCGACGATGTCGACTCTGTTGCTTCGTCAGCAAACAAAGATGCCAGTGCAAGTGCGCTAAGGCAGCGAGATGCGATGCTTTCCCACGCCGCTTCGCTGGCCACGCAAAACGTGCGCGACGACACCGGACTTCGTGACCTCCTGCGTGTGGTGGTGACACCCGCACTGCTCAGCTCCCGCCGCTTCATCTTCTCCACCTTCCCCATCGAGTTTACGCAGCACGCGACGACGTTTCGCAGCGTGGACCCGGTGGCGGCCGCGCAGGACGTCTTTCGTCGCTGCGTCGACGAGGACTGGATGTGGGTGCTGCCCACCACCCACTTTGCGTACATCGTGGTGCCGAACCGGCTGTACTTTGGAAAGCGCTGGGTGCTGGTGCATGTCGAGATGCAGCTGAACCACACCATTAACCGCGCCAGCATCCTGTGCTACGACGCGGACGACAACGCGCGGCAGGAGACGATGCGGGCCTACAGCAAACGCCTCCGCGCCCACGTCTATAACAAAATCACACAGGTCAGCCAGCTGCACTTGCTGAAGCAGCTGCGTGACACGCAGAACGCGAGCGGGGAGCTGATTCCGCCCGCGTGGGGGGATCAGTTCAGCCAGGGCAGCCCCTCCAGCGGCGGCGGCTACCGGGGCAGCAGCAGCAGCGGGGGCAGCGTGAAAGGAACTTCCGCACTGAACGACGACGATGCCCCGTTGCCGGCGCACGCGGGGCGGGCCTCGTCGTTCTATCTCCGGGGATGCAACGTGTTGGAGGTTCCCATCTACTACAAACTGCAGCATCAGTGCAAGAAGATCCTCTCGCGGATTCAGACTAACAGCTCACGGCTGGAGCTCATCACCATCTACAACCGCGACCAGTGCTTTGTGGTGGCTGATGACGAGGAGGGTGACACCTTTCATTACGTCCGACTGGTGTTTGTGAAGGATCTGGCGAACACCGTCTCCGTCGCAACGCGCTCGCCGCTACTGACGTCGTCGGAGCGGTGTCCGCAGCTGGTGGTGCAACTGTTCAGCGCCACAAGCAACGCAAAGGTGCAGCGGCCACTGCAGAAGCTGCAGGACTTCTGTTATTTCCTCGCGGTTCAGGAGCTGCAGGGGCACCTCAACTACGTGCAGCACAAAATGATCTCCTTCAACGACCTCGTCTTTCTGCAGAATCAACGGTTGGAGTCGGTGTTGGTGGATCTGCGCACCATCTTCAACCATTCGCCAACCTCGAGCGCGTCAGACGGTCAAGCAGCAGCCTCGTTCTCCTCCTCCTCTGCTTCCAATGCGCGCGAGCGGGCCCGGCAGGCGGAGATGGCTCTGTCGCTGCTCTTTCTCAACCTGCGCGAGTACAAGTTCAAGCCCTTTGGTATTCAGGACGAGCCGACGCACGCGACGAGCAACTTCGTGGAGCACTACAACCTGGAGAAGAGTCTCAAGTTGGAGTCGACAAAGGAGGCGGGGTCGAATGGAAACGGTGGAGGTGCGGACGGAGGTGGCGGTGGTGCGAGTGGTGTGGGCGGCAACGGCACGCGCATACGCATCTGGCGCTTTGTCAAGATTGTCGAGGGCCCGACGGATGTGCTTGTGTCCTGCTGCCTCCTTGTCAACCCCGCCCACCCCGACGTGATCGTGCTGGATCGCTACCTGACCAAAATCCCCGCGGAGCGGTACATTAACGGTGACTCTGAAAACACAATCCTCGCCCACCTCAGCCACTGCGTGGAGGAGACGATGGCGCAGCTGCGTTTCTTCGCTTTTACCGCGCCCGGGCAGCCCGCCTACCCCCTCGTCCGCTCCACCTTGCGCACCACCACGAGTGACCTCTTACACTTTAGTCCCGCCGCCTTTTCGAAGGACTCCTCGGTGCTGCGCTTCCATCACTTCCCGCTCGACAACGTCAATCCGACCGTTTTGCCGATGCTGGTGGACCGCCTGTGTGGGGCGCTGGCGAACTACGCACCGACGTGCTTCACCTACGCGGCTGGCCATGGTATCGCCAAAGGCGTGGTCCACGTGCCGGGATTTTCGTGGCAGTGGGTCGAGGGCATTCAGAACGACTCCTTGGCGGACCACCTAGAGCTGTACATAACGTGTGGGTACACCGTGATGGACTCACCCGAATCGACAAGCGGGCTGCCCCCCACGCGGGTGGTACCGTACGTGGTCCCGGGCGTGCCCATCACCGCCGTCACCACCGGCGAGTCACAGATGTCGCTGCTGGGCGAGTATCAGCTCTGCGAGGGCGGCTGCCCGCTGCTGGACTACCGCATCCTCGTGTCCATCTCGCTCACGGACGGCCTCTCCCTCGCCATCTTCAACCTGCGCGACACGGATTACATCGTGCGCCTGCTGGGCTACGTGGTGCAGGAGATGGCGGAGAAGTCGGCGCTGATGGAGGACGTGCTGCTGCAGCGCCTGGGCTACGCCATTCCCTCCTCCTTTAACGAGGCCGACCTCGCGCGGAACTGCTGCGGCGATGACACAAACGTCATCCGCTCGAAGGCGCTGCGCATCAGCTCCGACGTGTACCGGCGGCGCGTGAACAACGTGCGCTTCCGCGTACGACCCGACGCGGCGCACGACGAGCCGCTGGTGGTTATCCTGGAAGGGCTGTACAACCGCGGCCTCATTGTCAACTACGACTTTGCGGTGGAGGACGCGATGAAGGTGCTGTACGACGAGTGCCCGCAATACACACTGCCGGAGTGCGTGCGCATCCTCGATGGCCTCATCGCGACTCGCCTGCTGACTGAAGATCCACAAAGCGTCTTGAAGCCGCAGATGTCGATTCTCGCTTCGTTGCCGCAGAGCGAGCAGCTCAAGTCGGAGGCGCGGACGTGTCGGCTGACGGAGACGACGGGGGTGCCGGCGGACGCGCTCATCGCCTGCGGCTACCACCGCCACATCTTGGCGGCGCACATCATCGTGGAGGCGCAGAACGCGCGATCGGGCGTGGCAGAGGTGCTAGCGAGGTGCGACGCGGTCTGGCGAGCTGGGCCGCAAAACAACGTACTGGAGCTTGCGAAGGCCATTGTGATGCTGCAGCTGAAGAGCAAAGAGGTGTTTGGCGCGCGTGTGGCGGATTTCTCGCTGCGGCGGGAGCGGTGGCGGCACGAGGACGATGTGTTGGACCCGACGTTGCCGACTCAGACCCAGCAGAACATGAGTTACTCCCGCTCCGTCGACGCCTCGCTGCAGATGTACATGGAGCACCTCCGCCAGCTCTACCCGTCCATGTGCGTCATCGACCTGGATCCCAACGACCCTCTCACCACCTCCGACGACGTGCTGCTGAACCGCCTGCGGTGCCGCTACGGAAAGGTGACGAACGAAGCCGGCGATGTGGTGCTCTTCAGCCCCCACCTGTACTACGCCGTCATTCCGTTTGTGGACCTCCTGCGCTGCCCCGACTTTTACGCGCGTTACCACCTGTTGGTGGAGGCTTTGGGCGAGGAGGTGGTGCAGTCCCCCATCACCACCGGCGGCCTCTTTATTATCGAGGTGGGCTTCCAGGTAGTGCACTACGCGCTGGACTTCTTCGTCATCAGTGGGAACGACGTGTCGCCCGGGGTGACGGCGAAGGTGGCCGCCGACTTCAAGCAGACGCTGCTCTTCGAAAGCGTGCTCTACGACGCGGCGGTGCGCGGTCTGGCGCAGTGCATGCGTGCCCACTCCGTCGTGCTGTCTGGTCAGCAGAAGACGCACACGGCGGTGGCGAACTTAGTCAAGTACCACCCCTTCCCGCCCATGTATTGCGGGGACATCGTCGCGGCGTACACTATCACAGACCCGCGGGTGATGCGCCTGAAGAACTTAACGCCGGGTGGGACGGCGAACAACGGCGACCTGCACGTGGGCGCTGACGGCGTGCTGTACCTCTCCCCGCAGAAGCACAACCTGCTGCAGCGCGAGCAGACGAACGAGATGTACACGTACTGTGGCCTCATTGTCTGGGAGCGGGCACAGCTCTTCGTCCTGCTGACGAACACGCGCGACGTGAACAAGGCGTGCCGCGGGCCGAACCGGGACCTCTCGCAGCTCGTCCTCACGGCGAAGAACTTGCTGCTGAGCCAGCTGCTCGACAGCACGCAGCAAGAGCGGCTCGACGTGGCGTGGGCGAAGTTTCTCTACGGCGGCCGTCTCACCCCCACCTGGCGCGGCAACTCGGAGCGAGAGTGGCCGAGCTACGACGAGTTCGAGCTGCTGCGGGGGCACTCGCACAAGATTGTGCTGCACTCCTACGTGCCGGTGCTGCAGATGATCTTGGAGCCGATGGAGTGGACCGGCGACTCGCGGCGGCTGCGGGCGGTGTGTGGGCAGCTCTTTCCAGAGCACGTTCTGTTCGTCATTGGGCGTCAGCGGGGGTCGCGCGAGGGGCAGGTGGACACCGCCGCCGCCACGCCGCACACGCGCCACGGCGACCACCATTCCCCAGCCAGCCTCAACGCCCTTCTTCTCGCCCACGGCTCCGCAACCGGGCCGCCCACCGTTGGCGGCTACGATGTGCACCGCCTTTTCATGTCGCGCTGCGTCAGCGGTTGGTTCGTTGTCACCTTCGCATCTGGCAAGGGTGACGAGAGCGGGTGCTTTCTCGCGATGGAGTGCTTCTCGGACCCGCGCCGGCCGTTTGGCGCCAGCATCGTTGTCGAGGAACTCAGCCTCTACTGCAAGCCGTCGCGTACGCCGCAGCAGCACAGCGTCATGACCTTTCTCAGCGAGGAGGAACAAATGCTAGCTGAGCGCTTTGTGCGGTTGATCAACAGCGCTGTGTGGTCGAGCATCGTGCCGTGCACTTCTCAGTTTATGGTCTAAGGCGGGGCAGCTGGAAACTGATGAGCATTGCAGGTTAATCCGTTTACTATTTTCATTATTTCGAATTATTATTATTCATTGGCCTTGTGTTGTGTGGTACTCGGCTCAGGCGGTTTCCCTCAGCTTTCAACTGCATCGACTGCTCCGTCGAATGTCAGCAACACCGTTGTAAGTGGTTGATTTGTTTTCTTACTGGCCGCGAAAGAGTCGTGCTCTTTTGTGTTGGAGGCGGCGGCGCCGCCTTCTATCGCCACGCCTTCTTTGGGCCTTCACAAGGCGGAGACGACGGCGCTTTTTGCGTTGGCGGCGGCGATGACACGGCACTTTCACTTTGCTCTTTCCCCCGTCTCCATCTCTGTCGCGTCTTCCGGCCTTTTCCCGCTGCATCAAATATCACGGCGAAGTAAGACGTCTGTTGCTTCTTTCCTTTCCTCTTTACACGGACTGCTATCCCTCCTCGCCACGCAGCGATGCCCAGCGACGGTTCTCCTGTTGACCGGCGCAACGACGTGCGGCGGAGCGGCGGGAGCAAAGCGCACGACACCGACCCGGTCACCGGCCGGTCTGTCTCTTCATCGAATGAAGGTGCGTCGGAGGAACCCAACGATCATGGACTCACCTACTCGGAGTGCGAGGCGGTGCAGAAGAAAGGCAGCATGGCGCGCATCTCCGTCACGGCAGGCGATGGCGGTGTGCTGGTGCGGTGGGACTCCAACACGGGCGACGTCCTCGTTGCCCCGACCGCCGTCACCGTCGCTGTCGCCGGGGACTGGGTGAGAGCCGCCAGAATTGTGGCGGAAGGAAACGCACGCGCGGTGCGGTTGATCATCCTAAACGCTTCCTTTCGCGTGTACGTGGATGGGCAGCGTCTGACACGTGTGGGGTCGCCGGTCTTGGTGCGTCCTTCGCAGAAGGTTACCTTCGCCGCCGACCCCACCGTGTACTCGCTCGCTGCTGCCTCCGCATCGCCGTGCGCCGAGGCTGCCGCTGCTGCAGGGGGGATGCGGTGCTACGGTCATCGACCGGTCTTGCTACCGGTAAAGATGCGCGGGCAGCAGGCGAAGCCGCACGCACCGTCCGCGTCACCGCTCCCGCGTGTGCCGTCAGCTGAAGCGCAGCAGACGGCCTTTCTGTCTCTCTCGGGCACCTCTATCGCCAGCACGGGCGATGTCGCCGCTCAACCTCCGCTCGGTGGGCGCGACGCGTGGATGACCGGCGAACTCGTCCTTCCGATGGGGCCAGCGGAGCCGCACCTTCTTCGGAGGCATTCCTCTGTGCGCATCAAGACGAATGCGGAGCAGCAGGACTGCCATCATGACACTCACGAACCGGATGTCTCTCCTCACGGTGCTGCGCAGACTTCCGTAGCGGACAGCACCGCGTCCAGTGCTGCCGCATGCGGAACTGCCGAGGTGCTTTACGTCAGTGGGGCAGGGGCGGAGGGGCCGACGGGCGTCACCGACTTGCTGACGGAGGCGAGCCCGGACGGGGAGAGACGCACGTCAGACGTGATCGAGTCGAAGCTGAACGCAAGCAGAAACGGGCACACCACGAATGGTAAAGACAGGTTGGGTGCATCCCCGCTGCGGTCACACCACGACGTGCGGAAGAGGACTGCTCCCTCAGCCCCGGTGGTACAAAAGGGGCGGCAGCGGCAGCAAACGGCGCAGCTCCTCCATGCGTTTTTTACGTGGGGGCAGGTCGCCACGGTGGCCTCGCCAGACTGGAAGACGCTGTACGGCCTTTGGAGCGACGACCCAAATAGAGTCCCTACAGAGACATCGGACTCGGAGAGCTCCAGCGACGCCTTTGCCGCAGCGATGCAGTCACGCCGGAAGTGCCGAAAGCAGAGCACGCCGCCTCGCGCAGAACGACCGAATCGACAGAGGACAGTCCAAAACGGACTGGCGGCTCGTGCTGCTCCGGTCAGAGGGCGGCCGACACCCCCAGCGGCCGCGGCGGCTGCCGATGCTCACCGTTTTACCATTGGGAGCTATTGTGCACGCTGGCTCCGCGGTGTGGACGGCCCCGTCTTCATCACACCGGACAGGCGCACGACACGCCGTAATCCCACGCACAGCGCGATCGCGCCGGGTGACTGGATGAACAGAATGGGGAGTGCGTTGAAGGAGAAGCTGCGGCTCAAGCAGCGTGTGGCGGCGGTGCCGTTTGTCGTGGAGACGTTCGGCGGCACCCATCGCTACCGCCCGCTGGCGACCAAGTCTGCCGTGGTCTCTCGAGACTCGGGCGACGACGGGGGAGGCGAGCTCGATCGAAGACGAGAAGCGGTTTTCGAGTTCACAGAACAGACGAGAAAGGGGTGCGTGGAGGAGGGCCCGTGGGGCTATCCTCCTGTCGCACGTGAACTTGTCACGCGGCACACAGGCGCTGTCCTCCACAGTGCGATGCGCTTTTTGCCGGAGAGCACGACGGGGGCGAGAAAGGCAAGCTTTCTGCACGATGCGCTGTGCCGCACGTACGATGCCGCGACGGATCAATTTACCTACCTGTCCTTCCCGGGCCTACCCGATCTTCTCTACACCGCGTTTATGGCGGTCAGCGAAGAGCTCATGGCCACGCTCGAGGCCGGCCGGCCAGTGCGGCGGCTGGCTTCCCCGCTTCTCTGCGGTGGCGATCTCTTTGGCAGCTTCAAAGACTTACTACAGGTACTCGGCAGCGTGGCCCACTTTACCCACTGGTCCATGATGCACCACCCCCTGGTGCTGCTGGGCAACTACGTGGACCTGGGTTGGCACAGCGTGGAGGTGATGCTGCTGCTGTGCAGTTGGGCCTGCCTGCAGCCATCGAAGGTGCACCTCCTGCGCGGCCCGCATGAGGACCCGCTGGTAAACGGCGACTACAGGCGGCTGGGCAAGCGCTGCTTGCGGTACAAGTGTCGACAGCGCTTCGGCGCACGCAAGGGCGTAGCGCTGTGGGCGCGCTTTAACCGTATTTTCGCTTTGCTGCCCATCGCGGCGGTAGTGGACGGCAACGTGTTTGTCGTGCACGGCGGCGTGCCGAGGCTGCTGCCCTCCCCCGTGGAAGGCGACGCGGAAGCGCATGAAGGTCGATGCAACAGCGGAAAAGACGCTGTAGGACATCGCATGCGGGCACGGCCGGGAGGAGCTCTCTACAGTAACTCGTCGGGGGTGCCCACGCCCACCACCACGGCGACGGAGTCTGCGTGGAACACGTCCTCGCGCCACGCCGACCCACCGTGGAACTCCTCCGTCTTCTCGTTGGCGTCGCCCAGCCTTGGTGGCTCGTGGCGGCCACCAAGCGCGGTACAGATTTTTCCTGCATCAGCTGAAGACGTTTACTGCGGCTCCGCGACAGACGGCCACGAGGTGCAGCGGGGTGGAGCGAAGGGCGTGCACGGCGGCGCTCCTCGTCATCACGCAAAGCGAAGCGTCCCTGCTGGACGCTGCGGCCGTTCTGCCGCCGTCGCCGGTGGCCCTGCTTCTGGAGCGACCGAAGAGAAGAGGATGGCGCTGCAGCCCACCACCGCGACCTCTGACGTGGACGCATTTGTGGAGCGCAGGAACACCTCGTCGTTCTCCGATGGCGAGGGTTCCGCCGAGACCACGCCGCAGTCCTCTAACACACCGTTCAAAGTCGTTTCTGGTGTGGCCGCTTCCGGCTACGCTCCCCTCACTGGGCCGCCCACGGAGGACTTCTCTTACTTTGAGGCCTGTGCTCGCGCCCGCAGCAGTCGAGCGCACACCCCGCTGGTGCATCTCTGCAGCGGCAGCTACGCAGCAACGGCGCTGTCGAATGACGCACCGTCAGCGTTGGTGTTTGATACAACGGTCTCCGAGGTGGCCGCGAGAGTGAGGGAGGACTCTGCTGCGGAAACATCAACGTCGACGGCTGAAGCCATAACGGCCACTACGTCATCCGCAACCGCTATCGCCGCTCGCAGAGACCCGCACAGGGCGGAGTCATCGTCCGCTGAGGATGCGGCTGTCAAGCAGCAACGCCATCCGCCCGACACACCGCAGACGCAACGCGGGGCGCCGACGGAGGCCGACTTTGAGAAGCTGCTGCTGTCGGCGAGCATGCGTGACTTCAGCTTCCCGAGCCTCCAGCCAGACAAGAAGCCGCCTGACAGCAACAGCGAACTGGGCGAGTGTGAGTCGATGAACGACGAAAGGGACGCACGTCGCTGCCGACTGATTCGCGAGCTCATCTGGAATCGCCCCCGTGATGCCGCATCGAAGCTGTGCGAGACCGCGGAGGAGGTGACAGTCGTGAAGGGTGTTGTGCAACCGCGCTGGTGGTCGCCGCGAGAGGTGTGGTGCTGCTGCGCATGTCCATCGGCAACTGGGGCGCACCGCTGCTGCGGCATCTTTGGCAGCGGGGGGCTGGTACACTTTCTACATCGCTTTAGCTTCTCCCTGCTGGTGCGTGGCGCTCCGGAGGACACGTCCAACATGCACGGCGCGCTGCTCGCTGAAGAAGGTCGTCTGCTCTCCTTGCTGACGTGTACGCGACTCTGCAAGAGGCTTACGCAGGCGGCTGCCTGTGTGTTGCTGCCCACTACTTTTCAGCTGGCCACGTGGGGCGCACAGGAGCTGGCGGGCTCATTCGAGCAAGTATCGTTCCGTGACCCTGCTCAATTTCATGGCCCACGTGAAGAGAGGGAGCAGTCTCGCTGCTTCATACACGAACAGGTTGACGCACGCATGAAGGATGAAGAGCAAGTCGAGCCACATGATCGGTGGGGTGTTGTCTCCGCCTGCGCTGAAGTCCAGCGCCAGCGGATCCTGAAGAAGCGCGTTGAAAGGGAGCAATAAGTTTTCGCCTGTTTACCTTTTTCCTTGTCTTTCCTGCGAACGCCAAAAATATCCTTTGGCGCCTTTTTTCCCCCTTTTTTTGAAGCCCAACTCGATTGTTAATGCAGTGTTTGTCAACGACTGCAACAAAGTCTCACGTTTTGTGTTTTGTAGCCACAGCACTCACCCCTCCCTCCCCCCTCTCCGTACTCAATCTTCCTTGATTCTTCTCAGAAAAGCAGACCTCGCGCTTGTGTGCAGCGATCCACTTCTCCCTTCACTCTCTCGCACCTTCTACCCCGCTGCTTCAAACGCCAGATAGGATTGATTGGCTTTTCGTTTTGCCGTATATATAAGTACATATATATACCGTTTCCGCAGTCACGTCAAGCAGTGAAGGCTTTTTCCTTTGCTTTCTCTTCGTTTTGTTTCTTTTGCGTACTGCTACGCACACGCGCCTCCTCTATCGCGCTTCATGGAGCCGTGTGGGATGTAAGGGATGAGTCCCTCCTGAAAAAAAAAAAAACACCACGAATGGGCTCGCACACGTCCGTGCACGTTCGCCTTGATCAGCGTCACTCTACCGCATAAACTTTCTCCCTCCCTCTCCCCCCTCCTTCTCCCCATCCCCACCTTTATTCTTGCAAGTTGTCATACGCTGGCAGAAAGCTCACCATCTTCTTCGCCACTACTGCGTTGCGCCTCCTCTCTTTCTTTTCTTTTTTTAAAGGAGTCGTCTCGCACCACAGCACAGAGAAGAACGGGTAGAGCACACCGAGTTACGTCCTACAGTACGACCTCGCAGAGACGCACACGGCAACAATGAGCTCACGGGTCTCGCCGCGCACCTCCTTCCTCGCGCACCGCCAGTCTCACCAGCCCTCCGTCAGCAATGCCCCCCGTAAGCCGAGCATGGGCAAGGACATCGCCGCGGCTGCCGGAGCCGTGAACGGTACTGCCGCGGCGAACGCGCCGGAGGCCAACAAACCCGCAGCGGAGGCCGTGGTGGAGCGCATTCTGAAGGCGGCCGACCCCCATGTCATGTCCGCGCCCGTTTACTACGACTACAAGAAGGAGTCGCGCACCTACAAGTGTTTCCCAAGCACGCGACAGGTGTCGATGCTCTTCTCTACTAACGGCAACACGATCGCCAGGGACTCCGCGGAGGCCATCCAACAAGAAGAGGACTCGCAGCGGCGCATTCAGGAGGTCGAGGCGGCCGCGGCGGCAGAGACAAACCCCGACCTGATCGACGAGGGCGTCTCGACGCGCATCCTGAAGAACCAGTTCAACTATAGTGACCGCGGCAGCCAGACCATGAATCAGCCGCTGAAGGAGCGCAGCGTCATGACGGACCCGCCGCCGTCCTCCACCTTCAGCGGGCTAGCGACGGCCTGGGCGATCTACGACGCCTACGAGGGCGAGCGGATGGAGACGGAGAAGGCGGCCGCGGCGCATCGGCGCTCCGTACAGGCCGCCCGCGCCGGCAAGGATGAAGAGACCGCGCTGGCCTTCGCTGCCGCCGCTACAGGCATCCGTGCCGAGGACGACATCGGTCCGAAGGGGGTGGAGGAGCTGCTGGCCTCGCGTGCGTTCCGCGACGCCCTGCAGGTGATGGAGCGGATGGTGAACCAAAACGACTGCCACGACATCATCGACGACTTCAAGTACTGGGAGGACCAAAGCGACCAGTTCAAGGAGGACGGCACACTGCTGCCGCTGTGGCAGTTCTACACGGAGAAGACGCGCAAGCGCTCCGTCACGGCGATCGCACTGAACGGCCGCTACTCCGATCTCTTCGCGGTCGGCTACGGCAGCTACGACTTCCAAAAGCCGAGCAAAGGCACCGTGCACTGCTTCACGCTGAAGAACGCCGTGCCGACCGGCTCCGGCGCGGCGCTGCCCGCCCACCCCGAGTTCTCCATTTACTTAGACTGCGGTGTGCTTTGCCTCGCCTTTCACCCGCGGGAGCCGGCGTTGCTGGCCTGCGGTCTCTACGACGGCAGCGTCTGCGTCTTCGACATGCGGGTGAGCTCTAGCGAGAGCGAGGGGGCCAGTCACGGCCGCCCACTGTACCGCGCCAACGTGCGCACCGGGAAGCACACGGACCCGGTGTGGCAGATCCTGTGGGTGGAGAGCATGACGGAGTTCTCTTTCTACTCCATCAGCACCGACGGCCGTGTGACGAACTGGACGTTGAACAAGAAGGAGCTGACGTCGCGCAATGCGCTGAAGCTGAGCACCGGCGTGTGCACCTCCGACCCGGAGCAGACGCTGCTCGGCGAGCTCGGTGGCATGTCCTTTGACCACTCGCCCATCCACGACAAGACCGTCATCGGCACGCAGGAAGGCAACTTGCTGCTCTGCACCATGACGCACAACGGGCAGTGCGTGGAGCGGTATGAGGGGCACAGCATGGCGATCTACACGACCCGCTGGAGCCCCTTCCACCCGGACGTCTTTCTCACCTGCTCCGCCGACTGGACGGTGAAGCTGTGGATGAAGGGCTCACCGTCTCCGCTGGTCGTCTTCGACCTGGGCGACGCGGTGGGCGACGTGGCCTGGGCGCCCTACAGCTCCACCGTCTTCGCAGCTGTGACGGCCGGTGGCAAGGTGTGCGTCTTCGACGTGGCGCAGAACAAAACGGAGCCGCTGTGTGCGCAGACCGTCGTCAAGAACGCAAAGCTGACCCACGTCGTCTTCAGCGAGGCCGATCCGATCCTCTTCGTTGGTGACACGCGCGGCACGGTGCTGACGTTGAAGCTGTCGCCCAACCTACGCAAGGTGTCGAAGCCTGCGAAGGGAGAGCCGACGGATGCGGACCACCATAAGATGGAGATGCAGAAGCTGAACCACCTGATAGAGGTTACACTGAAGGACCGGGCGTTGTTGGCAGCGTAGTTGGAGCTCCTCCTCGTACGTCTTCTTTTTCCCATGCTTTGAGGTTGCGCGGAGGCTTTTCTTGTTCTTGTTTTTCTCTTTGTAGCAATTGACTTTTGGTGTTGTTCCCCCAGATGACGTCTCTGCGTGCGCGAGTGTGAGTGGCATCGGTGCTGCTCTGTGTCGCGGACAATGCTTTCTCGCCTCCGTGCGGCGCAGCACCTTCTCATAAAAGACGCTTCGGCGTTTTCCTTGAAGGAAGGAAGGAAACGGCTTGCAACAGAACGGAGCTGCGTGCGGAGCGTTTCGACGGTGGCCTCAGCAGTCTCCGTGGTGTTTGCTCGCTGTCTGGATACACCGTTTCGCTGTTCCACGCTCACGCACCCACCCACACGTTTTCTGACGTCGTCGTATCTCCTTTAAGCACTCGGAGTCTTTTGTTGGTGTTATTGTCGTTTGCTTTGCTTGATGCCTGTGTGCCTGCGCATCAGCAACACATATCCTCCGTGATGCATCAGGTGTGTGTGTGTGTGTGTCTGTGGGTGTGCATCTCCAGCTACGGTAAATCTCCCCCGTTATTAAACGTTTTTTCGATGTACTTTTGTGATGTATACTGTATTTCTTCAAGCCCTGTGTTGCAGCGCGTGGTTGAGATGTCGGCCACGACGTACGCAGATGATGATACAAATCCCCCCAAAAAGGAAGAAGAGGAGGAGGAAGCGGATCAACGCAAGAGAGATCGCTGTGTGACGCCTTACTGCGAGTATTGGAAGGCGTGCCCTTTTTTTTTAAACTTCGCGCGAAGTAAAGGGAGCGAAGTGAAATGCGAGCGGTTGGAGTATTCTGCCCTTGTAATACTCCGGACTTGTCGGAGACAGTTTCGCCACGCCTTCCGAAAGAGAGCGAGAGGGAGCTCATACACCCACCTTTGGCTGCGGTGTGCGGAATGGGTAACGAGCGTTGCCTGCAAGTATTCTCCTTTACCGTCTATTGATAAAGGAAAAGGTCACCTTCAGCTCATCAGGACTCAAGAGTTGGGTGGATCGGCGGTTTGTGTTCTTCTCGTCCTGTAGGCTCCTGCACGCTTCGTGTTCAACGTATCTTCTTGTCTTCACCTACGCTTTTCTTTTTCTTTTTTTCTTTGGCTGTTCCGTGAACCGCGGTACGCACCTCTGCATCTGGCTCCACTGGCACCGCTGCCTATCTAACCTCCGCAGCGTCGTTTCACGGTGAAAACAGCGCGGCACAGGTTTTCTTTTCCTCTCACGCGGCACGCATAGTCCGCTTCCTTTTCCCCGCTGTTGCAGGACCTTTTTGTGTGTCTTCTATCTTCGCTTTATCGGCAGATCAGACTCGTGCGCGTTCTCTCTCGCGAGGCGCTATACATTATTGTTTTGAAACCGACGTGGCAACCCGCGGGTTTTCAAGCAATACGCTATCTGCTCAACAGGCACATACAGACATAGATTCTATTTCCCTTCGCACTCTTCTTTGTTTTCCTTTCTCAGTGCTCTAGAGACACACGCCGGCAAAGACGCACGCAGACGGAACACCCCACACACCGCGCATACACCTGTCGCTTTCCTCTGCGGAGTTCGCTGTGACTGTGCGACTCGATTATATATTTTTCTGTGTTGCTTTCTCGTTTGCTCGTTGGCCGCAAACACGCGAAGGCACTGCGAAGGCTGACAAGTCACACCATAGATTCACACCAGCGCTGCTACTGCCCTTTCCATCGTCCTCACAAGAAGCAGCAGCTTCCTCTCCTCATCCCACAGCACATCCATCTCTCTTTTATCTATTCCTTTAATTGCTGTTCCGAGCTTTGTTCCCCCTTTTTTTACCTTTCTTTCACCGTTGCACGACGTCATAGATTTGCGGAGGAGAAGAAGAGTGGCTGCTGTGGCATCTCATCTCGCACTTTCCTTTGATCATTTCAAACTGGCATCTCCCTCAGCGCTCCTTCACAGCGAAGCCGGAAGAGCCGCTCACCCGCTCGCGCCTGTCTTCCCACCCTCACGTTTTCCTTCGCGCAGCACCGCAACAGACAGCCACAGCGACAGCGACAGTCAACCGCGTTCGGTATCTCAAGCAGCACAGTGGAAGAGGCGTCTTTCAACGCGCAACGCAGATCCGATACGTACACGCGTTGAATACTTGAAGAAAAAAGTATCGAGAGGGGAACCTCCGCCTACAGAACACAAAGGTGATTTCCCGTTCTCCTTTTTTTTAGCATCTGGAAGAGTGCGGCTTTGGAAACATCGTTCTTTTCCGGGGCCCTTCTCATCCTCGCAGAAAGAAGAGCAGCAACTATACGAACGGGGGAGAGAGCGCGTAGTCTCCGTGCTGAACAGTCAATGAGTGCGTCTCTGCAGGCTCGTCGCAGCTCCTCCCAGGCTCGCCTCACCCACTCCTCTTCGCTCTCCACCATCACCCGCGTGTGGAACGACCGCCTGCGCAGCACGGCGAACTCGTCATCTCGCGAGTTGGTGGACACGTGCGACGTGATCGAGGTGACCCCGTCGCCGAAGCGCGAGTCGCGGCTGCACCGGGCGTCGCTGCTGAACCCCGCCTCCAACCGCTTCGACGCGGCGGCGACCGATGGTGACACCGACGGCGGCCTCACCGACAGCCCGGCTGCGGCGGTGCGTCTACGTGCATCGTCGGTGCGCTGCAGCGTAACGCGCGTGCTAGATAGCACCCGCAGCCTCAGCAGCAGCCGCAGCACGGGTGGTCGGCAGTCGTTGGATGTGAAAGGCTCGCTGCTGGAGGCGCAGACGAAGGGGCAGACAGCCGCCACCACCCCACGCCGCTCCGTCGATCCAAACGAGGAAGTCGTCCTCACCATCGCGAAGCCGCTCTTCCCCAATACGCTGCTGACTGAAGTGCAGGACGAGAGCCGGCTGCTGACTCTCGTCTTGGACCTCGACGAGACCCTCGTCAGCAACCGCGACGCCCGTCAGTCGGAGGCGGTACTGCGCCCTTACTGCCTGCACGTGCTGAACGCGCTGCGCCACATGAAGGAGTTGGAGATTGTGCTGTGGACGGCCTCGACGAAGGAGACGGCCTCACCGGTGGTGGAGCAGCTGCACCAGACGGGCATCATCTTTGACGACGTCATCTACCGCAACAACGTGTGGTTTACGCAGCCGATTCACACGAAGAACTTAAAGCTGCTGGGGCGCGATATGGACCGCGTTCTGATTGTCGACAACTCCGTCGGCTGCTGCAAGATGCACCCGCGAAACTCGTTGCTCGTCGAGGATTTCCACGGCGCGCGCCGTCGCACCGATGCGGCGTTGGTGAACGTGTACTACGTCGTGGATGCCTTGCTGCGCATGCTGCGTGAGCGGGGCACGCCCGTCTGTGAAGGTCTGCGGTGCCTGATGGCGGAAGGGCAGCTTTGTCACACGGTGAGCTACGAGCTGCCGGAGTTCTTCAAGAGCATCCCGCTGGCGGAGGTACCGGAGCTGAAGCGGCCTCCGATTGGCCGCTTTGTGCGCGCGAACACGGCCCCACCGAACACTTCGATTATGCAGCACTGGGTGTATTAGCACGCAAGTAGAGAACGGATGGTGGCACCGGGCCGCTGCCCTTTCATTTACTACTTTAATACAGCGGCTGGTGTTTTAATACAGTTATGCATGCCTCGGATCCAAAGAAGCAGCAGCACCGCACGCGGCGGCCTCCTCCTGCCTTGTGTGGAAAGGAGCGGAGGCGTCGATTGCATCATCAACACCAACGCAAAAAGAAGAGTAGCATCAAGTACATCGGCGACGGGGATAGTCGGTGCGGTCACACGACACGACAAAGAAGTTCAACTTATCTTCATACATACACACACACACACGTATGCACACGCCTGCAGTTATTTTCTGTTTCTCCATTTTAAGTATCGCACAACAAGACGGGCTCTCAATGTGCGCCCTCTTCACCATACAATCATAGATGAAAGCTTGGTGGCGAAAGTCTATCGTCTGTTGTTGTTGCTGGTCGGAAAGAGGAAAAAGAATAATTAGAGTCGAAGGGCAGTGCACAGTACTCAGAACTAAACGAGAAGTCCATGAGCAAAAACGCGAAGCAAGTTTGTGGTGAGGTCAGCTGCGCGTTTCCTGCCTAGCTAGATTTTCTTTTAAATCCTTTTCCTACTCCTTTTACTCGTCGCGGCTGTCGTGGTTTGCGGACGGAGAGTACTGTCATTTTTCCACTTCTTCGTGTGCTGCGTTTGTTCTTGCCTCTTTTTCTCTCCACTTCAATTCGACAGCAAAAGCGCGAGACGGGCATCCCCGGTGCCGCCTCTTCTCGCCGTGTTTGTTTCCTCTTCTTCCTTCAGTACGCAAGAACTTGTCCCTGTTGTGTGTGTGTGTGTGTCCGCACAGCTTTGTTTGCTGACGTTGTCGATAGATTCTTTTTTCCCTCTTTTCTTTGCTGCTTTTGTGTTGTTGAGGTGAGCAAGAGCGCAATTTCACGTCACTTCGTAGGGTCGTCGCTGCTCGGCAACTTCCACCTCGACTCGAGAAACACAGCCTCCATCGCTGCGACGCGTGTGTGGCGTCGGACTGTGTTCTCGCTTCTTCTTTTGTATTTCGCATGTTAGTGCGTGTCACGGTGGAGCTGCGTGAACGCTGGAAGCCTCGCTTTTCTGCTAATGTCTTTTGTTCCACTCTCATTTTTTTGTATTTCTGGAGGGTTTTTGAAGGACTTCGGGGATCCATTTGGCTTCATTTTTTTTGTAAATCAGCAGCGCTGTACGTGGATCCACGCTGCAGCCTTCGGTGTGGCATGTACGTGTCAACGAGAGCGGCAGGTGAGCAGCGAGGAGGAGGAGGAGAAGGAATGGAGCCATGAACATGTGTGCGAGTGTGCGTGGCAGAGAATAAGGCGGAGCAGGAAAGCGTGACTTCGGCATTTCTAGGTGCTTCGATGCGCATTTATTTCGTTACTGCGTGCCGCTTTGGTCACCTCCTGTACCGCTGCAGTGACGTCAGCGCCAATTCTCCTTTTTGCCTTGCTCAGCTCGCTTCTGTTGACCTTGTATCTTTTACCTTCTCTCTCTCCTCTCTTTATTCTGATGATATCGGCACATGCGCTGTGCTTCAGAGTTTCTCGTTGGGGCTTTGCTTTGTTTTCTCTTTCTTTCGTTCTCTTTCGGTTTTAGACGCACCTCTTTTTTCATCGTGTTGGGGTCGCTTATCACGTTTCGTGGTACCTCCGGTTTATGTGGTGATTCGTGCAACACCGCAGCAAGAAGCAAAACAGCAAAGAAACAACGGGGGGAACGAATGCCTGACGGAATCGGCCAGATGTGCCTCTCGCTTCATCTGGCGCCGCGCCGGAGCCACGTCGGACGGGAGGCGTTCACGGGTTGCTCGTACCCTAATGTATCATTTTCTTGATCGGCGGTGAGCACGGTGACCTGGACTGTTTAAGACCGGCTTTGTGCCGCCTCGCCGAGTGCTGCGCCGCAGCTCCATGGAGCGAAGCATCGTTTAGTGCGGTTCCGTGATCAAGTCGCGTCCATCTTGTTCTTTCCTCCCCTCCTGACCTCCATCACATGCATTACGCACACGCACATGCGCCTCATTCTTTCACACACTTTCTTCCTTTCAACACAAACCGACTTCATTGTTGATGGTGTTTCGTGTTCCGCTCCGTTTCGTGCATCCGCACCTTCGCAGTTCTCCTCTTCTTTTTGTCTCTCTTGCGTTGCACGACGCCGGCCCCGCGCGTTACCAACCGCAAACACACGCAATCGACATAGGACGAGGGAATTGCAAGCGCACACGCACGCCAAGCGTTCTTCTTTCTTATCTCGCCCCTCCGACTCCCCCTGTCGAGTCGCATTTGTCTTCTTCGAAGTAATTTGTTTTGTTCTCGTGAGGAAACTGTTTCTGGAGGCGCCGCGCTAACCGAAGTGACTTCATGAACGCACACGTTTGAAAAATTGCTGCCTTTCTTGCTACTGGGCCTTTTTTTTTCCTTAATCTGCGCCTTCGTTATTCGAGTCTTCTGCGACGTCGGTCGCGGCTACGTGGCACTCGACCGCGTACTGCGTTGTTTTAGATTATTATTATTATTAGTGCGTTGCAACAGTGAACGGAGTTTTCATCCTGAGCCTGTTACGGGACACGAGAAACTTCTGTCGCGCTCTTCTTTTTCGCGAGGTGCACGGTTTTTGCATGTCCTAGCGGCTACACAACGCGCGATTTCACGTAGAGGAAGAAAAACGGACGAGACACGACGAGAGCCACCGCCAAGGAGTACCTTACAAGGTCAACAACGCCGACAACAACAAGATGCCGCGCGGTGTTTCCAAAAGCTCGCAGAGCAGCGCCGCTCGGGCGATGGTGGACTCCATGGGCGCCCCCGCAGGCCTCAGCTCGTTTCTCGGCGGCTTCAGCACCGGCACCGACAGCGCCACTGCGGCCAAAAGTGAAGGCGCGTACGTCGTGCACCTCAAACTGCTGAACAAGACAAGCGAGGTCACCAAGCAGAAGGCATTTGAGAAGCTGCTGGAGCTGATGGAGACGACGCCGCTGGAGGTGTTGCTGCAGTACGCGGAGGCAACGGCAGAGACCATCATTCAGCACGCACAGCACCCGAAACCGGCCATCCGCGCGTACAGCTTTCGCCTCCTGCAGGCTCTCATGAGTCGTGGCACAGAGCTCAAGAGGACGATCGCCCCGGAATTGAAGGTGCTGGCGGGTCTGTGGGTGATGGGGATGTCGGACATGGAGCAGGCAGTGTCCCGTGCGGCCGCTGCCGCCTTTGACGCCGCTTTCGCTGCGGATAAAAAGTTGCGCATGCTGTTTCAGTTCATGGACGCCATTGTAGAGACGCTGCGCACCGCCGTCGCGGAGGTGATGGCGGCAAAGAAGCCGCTGCAGGACGACGCGCTGGACCCGAATGCGAACAAACTCTATTCGGCCTTGAAGTCGATGGGCTACATGATCAAGCAGGTGAGCGCGTCGCAGCCGACAGTGCTGAGGTTTGTGCAGGACGCAGAGACGTTTGGCGCGCTGATCCCGTCGCGCAGCCCGGCGAAGTCGTACCTGCTGCTGAAGACGCCGCTGGCCCGGTCGGCAGTGCTCGCGTTGCTGCGGGACGTCGTGGCTATTTGCCCGGCGACACCGAAGATACACGCGTTGGTGTCGCAGGCGTTGCTGGGGTCCATTCTGGACCCCAACGTCGCGGTGGCTTCCCGCACGTGGGAGCTGCTGCTGTTCTGGTGCAAGACGAATGTGGCCGATGTGGTGGGTAACATGAAGCCCGGCTTTCTCGATGACGTCGTGAACAGCTTCATGGACTGCCAGCAGGCGGAGCTGGCGGATGTCATCTACCCCTGCCTCTTTCCGCTGCTGACCTCGCTCTCGAAGGACAGCCGCTGCGATGGCATGCTGGACGAGTTCTGTGCCGCGTTGGTGGAAAGGCTGCATCTTGTCACGGAGACGCCGAACGTGAGTGCGCGTGACTTGGACGTGCTTCTCAGCGCGCTGCTCGAGTGCTGGGAGCTGCACTGCGTGCGCAAGAAGAACGCCGCGGCCACGGCAGACAGCGTGGAGCTCTTCACGGTAATCTGTTACAATCTTGTGCAGCTGACGCAGAGCGATGCGAAGGCAGCGCGGTACCAAAAGACGGCCATTCAAACCGTCGCCAAGAGTTTGTTGAAGACGGGTGGTCGGTGCGAGGACATCTTTAGGCAGTGTGTGGAGGTGGTGGCGGGCCAGTCCACCGCGGCCTTCCGCGTGCTGCCGGACGCCCCTGCCGCAGCGGAGCAGCGCAGCTTCGATCGCTTTCAGGGCCGCCTCTTCGGACGGCTCTGCGCCTCGATCGCCGGTGGGTCGCCGTCGCCCAACCCCGCAAATCCCATCACCACCACCGCTCTGTCCGACGCCGGCAACAGCGCGGCACGGGGCAAGGGGGTGGTGCTTGAGGCATCCAACGCCTGGCTTCTCCAGCAGGTTTCTTCTTCGTCCTCCTCCTCCACGTCCTCCTCTTCTATCGCTCAGGGAGACCACGAACTCCGCTACGAGCAACTCGCCAGCTTCTTCGAGGAGACGCAGGGAACCTCTTTCTGTCCCTCCAACGACGTGGCGGATAAGCTTCTAGCGGCGCTGAGCGAACACCTGCGCGCCGCCCCGGCGGACCAGCCGCCACAGCAGAACGAGGGTGCGCCGGGCGAGGAAGAGAAGTTGCCGTCCGCGTCATCATCGTCGGCAGCACGGACGTCTGCGCTCGCGACGTTGGTCACCGTGGCACTGGAGTGGAAGCACCGCCCCGCCGTACAGGCACTCGTGGAGGCGACTAGCTCCACCCACGAGCACTCCCTTAAGGAGGCGGCACTGAAGCACATGCTGCAGGACCCCATGAAGCTGTTCGACGTCTTCAAGAGCGCCGTCGGCCGGCTGGATGCGGAACAGGTGGAGCGATGTGTGCTGCAGTACACGGCGAGAGGTGTATGCCTGAGCGGAGAGCAGCGCGAGATGGTAAAGAAGGCGCTGCGAGCAGGGCTGAAGAACATTTTGGATCAACTGACGGAGCAGGCGGAGTCCGATTCCGCGGAGGGGGAGAAGGACGCTCAGGACAGCGAGATCAACAGCGATGACAACGACGACGACTCCAGTCCTTCGTCGAGTGAGACGTCGTCTTCCTCCCCCAGCGGCTCCTCTTCGTTCAGCACGGATGGGGACGGCAGTTCCGTCGCTTCCTCATCGTCCGCCAACGCCGCGCATGTGGAAAATCGTGCCCCTGAAGTGGAGCGCACACTTCTGCGGTGGGCCGCGCTGCTGCGCCAAGGCAGCGACTTCGCCGACCTCATCGCCCTCTCCAAAGAGGACTTCGTGGCCACGCTGTTGACGCGGTTGACGTACATCACCATTGCCCTCGCCCCACGCGTCTACCCGGAGCAGTACCTCTCTGTCAAGGCAATTCGCCTGGCTCTGGAGGCGCAGCAACAGTATTTGGTGTCCACCGCAACTGGAGGAGCGGAGAGCGATAGTGACGGCGGAAGCAGCGGCAGCAAGGCGGAGGACTTGGTGATGCTCGCCCTCGACGCGAAGAGGCACGGCCTCAGCACGGGCGAAGCCGCCTCCTTCACGGAGCGCATGACGGACCTCCTCGAGAGCTACGCCGTTACACGAGAGGAGCGCGACGCGGTGGCCATGGCCACCTTGCGGTCAACGCTGGACCAGAGCGACGACCTGCCCCTGTGTTTCTTTGCCGCTCATCAGCTGTTTCAAGTCGCGCCTTTCGCCTCTACGGCCTACCTGCAGTCCTTCGTCACGGCGGAGTCGGTGTGGCAGGAAACGGCAATGGCGGCGGACATCGCCGGCCTCGTCTCGAATGAGACGGCGCTCACTCTCTACGACGGCTATCTTTCCCTGGACGTCGTGCGTCCTCGCTTCACGACGGTGGTGCGCACCGGGCAGCTCATTCGGCTGATGGACGCTGTGAACGGCCCGGGGGCGGCGGGGGCGGTCGCCGCGGCAGATCCGAAGGCGGTCGCGCACCTCTTCTGCGAGCTGGTGCGCGTTGCCGCGGGTAGAGAGGCCCTCGCCGAGGCCGCCTGCCACACCCTCTTTGTGAAGGTCTTCCCTGCGATGTTCGCGTGCTTCGATGTGGCGGCGGTGGCGGTGGAGGTCGCCGCTCAGCTGACCTCCACGGAGCCGTCCGGCGGCGGTCCCGTCTTTCCGTACCTTCTCCCGACGTTGGCGGCGGTGCTGCGGGACATCGCGACGGCCGAAGACACCGTCTTTCTGCGCCGTGCGATGCGACTGGTGAGTGCGGTCGCGAGCGCGGCCGTGGCGGCGCTGTTTTCACCGCAGGGCGCCCGCGGCATCGCCGGTCCCCTCGCGCTGGCCTACACGACGTTCTTCGCCGTCGTGGACGAGGCGGCGGATATGCTGCGCTTCAACATCGCCGCGCAGATCCCGCCGGAGCGGGAGCGGTTGCTGCTGGAGGCGAGCTGCCAGCTGCCGGCCTGGGACCTGACGACGGCGAAGCTGTCGCTGGTCGTGGTGCGTCATTTGGCCTCGCTGCCGGCGATGGCGGACAGCACCGTGCGCAGCATTATGCAATACGCCGCGAATCAGACGCCGCTGGCGGGGTTGGAGCTGCTCGCGGAACTCGCGTGCACCCGCATTCCCACGCCGGAGGTGTACAGCGAGCTGACACGCGCCATCGTCGACGCTCTCTGCCGCTCACACCGTCTGCGCAACCTACCCCCCAACGGACGGCTGCAGAAGGAGGGCAGCGGCGGCTCGCTGGTGGGCGGGGCCCCGGTGGCCCTCACGACCCTGCGCCGCGTTGCCATGGCTGCCGTGCTCGCGCGGCGCGGTGTTATTCTGCACAGTCGCATGGACAGCGTCCTGCGCAGCACGGTGAACTTGGTTGTCTTCGATGTTGTGTGTGAGGCGGTCTCGCGACTGCGCACGACGAAGGAGACGGAGGTGGCCTCGCTGGCGAAGCTGATCGCCTTCACATCGCGCTTTATGGGGGACCTGCTGACCGGCGATGTGATGGCGCTGCGGGCCTCGGAGATCAGCGTGGCGAGGATCGCGTCGGTCTTGAGCTTCGCCTACGCCTGGCTGTTCGCCACGAACATTGCGAAACTGGAGCTGCTGGGGCTGTCGACGGTGGCGGGCGTGATGCGGAGCGTGTGTTTGCTGGCGAACCTCACCCTCATGCGCTCCACCGTGTCGCTACAGGCGTCCATGCAGACTATCATGCAGCGCTCCTCGCTAAAGCCGCTGCGGGGGGAGTACTCAACCGCCGAGCCGGCCAAGGTGGCACAGTTCCGCCAGCAGAACGCGGTGCTCATGAAGACGCACAAGCAGAAGATGCTGCTCTTTCCCTACCTGCTGTCGTGGTGTGTTTACTTGACGACGCCGCCGCCGGCCGCGAGCGACGAGGCGCCCGCCAGCAGCAACGTGGCGCGGGACAAGGAGTGGCAGAAGCAGGTCTACGCTTTGCTGGACCTCCTCTTCACGCTGATGCTCACACCGCTGGAGAAGAACATGCGGCAACTCGATGAGACCTTTATCGGGGCGTCGGTGCATCCGTCTCCCTCGGCGGACACAAGCGCGACCGGCCGGCTAGGCTTCGAGGTGGTGGCTCTCACACGCGTCGACGCCAGTGATCCAATGGCGCAACTGGCTCGCGGTGCCTTTGCCGTTTTCACGCAGCTGCTGCACGGCTCTACGCTGTCCTTGACGAAGAGTTGGTTGGAGACGATTGAGCGCAAAGGGCGGGCGCTCTTTTACGACTCGGTGGGGCAGCACATCTCTGCTATTCTGATCCAGGAGAGCTTCATGTCTGTGCTGGGCCACAGCCCGGACGGCGGCAGCACCTTCACGGTGGGCGAGGGCTGCAATGTGGAGCTGAACGTGGTGCAGCAGCTGATCGACCTCACCTACGAAATGGAGGACGCGAAGGTCGCCGTGCGCATTTCGTTTCCCTCCGCCTTTCCGCTGCGCCCGCCGGTGGTCGAGTACGAGAGCGGCCGCGAGTGCGGCGTGTCGATGAAGAAGTGGCGGGCCTGGATGCTGAGGATGTCCGTTGTTTTGTTCGGTGGCTCGGCGAACGTGTGGGAGTGCATCGACCTGTTCCACCAGAACCTGGAGGCGCACTTCCGCGGCATCGAGCCGTGCCCCATCTGCTTCGCCGTGGTGAGTGCGGTGAACCACAAGCTGCCGGATGTGCGCTGCTCGGTGTGTCACAACTCCGCGTTCCACTCCAACTGCCTCTACACGTGGTGGGCGAGTGGTTTCAACAACGTGTGTCCGCTGTGCCGCTCTCCGTGGATTGCGGAGTAATGTTATCTGTGAAGTGTTATTTGCTACTTGTTGTTGTCGGTGGTGCGTTGATACGGCTGGCCTTGGTTCCTTCTGCGACGCGTGCGGCGTTGTCCGTCAGCGAAACTTATGTAATTTTAACTATAATCTCTTTTGTGCATCTACGTGTTTCTTTGTTTGTTTCTGTTTACTTGGACGCATCTTTCTTCAGTGTTGTTGTGGCGGAGCAACAATAAATGTCGATACAATAAGATGAAGTGCTCCATGACGAAGTTGATCGTCGTGGAAGAGAAATATCAGCGCCGCGCAGCTGCTGGGAGACGAGACGCGAACAATGAAAGCAAAACGACTGTCTCTCTCTCTCTTTTATTTTATATTTTGAGGCAGTGCCTCGTCGGTGCTCCCCAAACAGAAGAGCGGCTGCTCGTACCTGCCAATTCTCCTTCTTCAACTTTCGTTTTCTCCTGCTTCGCTTCGCGGCAAGGAGGAGAACCACCGTGCAGAACCCGTTAACACACACACACACACACGCATACACAAGCATAGACTACCCCTATAGATCACTACACACCGCTCAATAGACAGCCCATCGCTTCGACATAGCAAAAACACTCAACCAGGGCAACACACCCATGAAACCGTACATCTGGCCCTCCGACGACGAGGCACCGCCTGTCTCCGCGCGCCGCACCTTTCCTCGCCAATCCCGCGCCAACCGCGGCACCCTGAACCTCTTCGCCCCTGACCCAGCAGATCCCGCCGAACTCCCCGCCGGCAGCGCCCACCAACGCGGCGCCCCGTCCCCCATCACCGGGCAGCGCAGCCTTCATTACGGCAACCACAATCGGGAGTCCACCGCGACGAGGGAGTTCCCCACGAATGGGCTGCGCCGCGTTCCGCTGCCGTCGCGCTGCGAGACGCCGCACGGCATCCGCCACGTCCGCGACGCCGCCGGCGCTGGGCAAAGCGTGCAAGTTGTGAACATCACAGCCGCCTACCGAGACCCAGCGCAGATGGCTCCGCTAAAGACCGGGGTGCGGTGCGTGCCGCTGAAGGCCGCCTCCGACGAGGTGGGGGCCGCCCTGGCGTACGCCGGCACCCGGCAGCAGCTCTCCGCACGCGTGCTGAACGCACCGGTCGGCAAGGTGGCGCAGCCGTCCCCCTTCACGGTTGATTACTCCCCGCAGGCGAAGTTTGCGCAGGCGGTGCGCGATCACGCCCAGCAGCGAGCCCGCGGTGTCGCGGAGTTCTACGTTCAACTCACGCGCAACGCCGTCGGTGGCGTGACGAGCAGCACGCCGAAGCCGACGGTTGTGCCGTGGACGCTGGATGGGACGCCGCCGCGGCGGGTGCTGACGCTGGGCCGGTGCTGCGACCAACTCGTCGCGCTCACCTCCATGCCGATTGCGTTGCGCGACCTTGCGGGGCTTCTGTGGGGCTCCAATGCAGATCGTGAGAACAGCGATGCGGAGGAAGGAGCGGCGGCGCCGTTAGAAGACAAGGAGGTGTCGTTTCGAGATTTCGCAGCGACTTTTGCCCAAAACTCAAGCGACGGCCGTCTCGCGCAGATGAAGATATAGCAACGGCTCCGCCGACTTAACTGGCCGGTGCCGTGATACGAGGACGTGCTTCTTCTTCCTGTGTAGATAGATTCTCGACTTCATAGATGAGACGCCCTGCAAGCGCAAGGTTTTTGTTGTTACTCTTCTTATTATCGTTGGCACGCACACACGCAGGTACAAGTGCGGTGTGCATCTTAAAGGGGTTTGGTGCTGTGGAAGTGCTGCATCCTTTGCTCGGTGGTTGAGCACGTCAGTTTTTTTTCTTGCTTTTGACTACCACAACCGGCTGGGGACGCTGGCTCGAAATGCAACGAGTACGAAGCAACATATGATTGACGTGAACGGAAATAATAACGCTAATAACACGTATTGGGGTGCGGAGAAGGCCGACTTCTTTGTGCCGGCGGAGGTGGACCTCACGGCACGACGATTGCAGCACCCGCCCTCCCGCACGCGTCGTCGTTTCTACGGTCTATCGCACGTCTCAAGTGGTTTCTCAAGAACATTTGATTGAGTGCTGCGAGGAGAAGAGGGGCTCCCCTCCCTCATGCGTCTTCGCGGCTCCCGGCACACTGCATGGTGTGAATGGTTTTTGGTTTTCCATGCTTTATTATTCGCTCCTTCTTTTTTAACCTGCAAACCGCTGCTGTCTCCACATCATCACCATTCTTCTGAACGTAGCGTAAACACCCACACACACATCCATACACGCCCATCTCCTTCTACCCAAACCCCAATCTCACACCTCTCATTCTCTCGCGCCACCGATCCTCTTCTCCTTCCCATTGATTACTCGCATTCCTCCCTGTGTAATCTCCCGCTTGTCTTTTTGCAAGCCTTTGCTGTTGCTGTCCGCCCCTCCGCTCATCACGTCCCCCTTCCACCCCGCATCTTTGCAGGACTTCTCCCACGCACCCACAAACACGCAGCGGACGATATCGACCTGTGTCGCTTCACAATCGATATTCGTTTCTTTCATTTCGCTGACCAACCGTGTTTGTGCTGTCCGTTGCGGTAGAAAGCCGTCCTCACTGCCCACTTCCTCTCTCTCACTCAAGAAAGAAAGAAAAAACAAAGCCAGAGCACCAAGTCGGGCATTGCATACTGATGACCGCCGTTGCGGCGCCTGTCACGCACGCCGCCGGTACCTCTCTCCCCATGGTGGCCCAGACCGCCACCGTTGATCTGTACAGCCTCGTCCAGCAGGACCCGCTGCACATCGACCTCTCCCTCCACCCGACCGCCCTGTTCGACCACGACAACCTGCAGTGCTTGACAACGCACCTGCTGCAGTTCGGCGCTGTTGAGAGTCTCGACCTCTCGAACGCGACTGCGGAGACCGAATTGCTGGAACAGCTGATTCGCACCGCCGAGGCGGGAGGAGTGGAACGGGTAGCGCACCTCAGCCTGCGCGGCGCACAACTGCACCCGCTGCAACTCGACCACCTGCTGAAGGTACTCAAGACCCGCGCCCCACAGCTGACCTCGCTCGATGTCAGCGACAACAGCCTTGGTGACGCTGCCGTGGAGGCGCTGGTGAAGTGGGTGCCCGCGTCGTTGCAATCGCTGCGGGTCTCCTCCAACTCGTTCTCTGCCGCGGCCGTCACGCAGCTCCTTCAGGCGTTGACAGCGGCGAGGCTTCCGTGCCTCACCACACTGGAGCTGAGCGGCAACAAGTTTGACGCCAAGACGTGCCGGGCCCTCAGTGTGCTGCTGACCGCAACGGAGGCCCGCACATCGCTCAAGACGCTCTGCCTCGCCCACTGCGGCCTGGAGGCGGCGAACGCGTCGTGCGTGGCGGAGGCGCTGCACACGTCCGCCCTGGAGCTGCTGGACGTGTCGGACAACGACTGCCTTTTGTGCTTCGTCTTTCCGGCGGAGCCGTCGAGGCCTGTTGGGTTTCCCGCCTCGCTGCGCGTCCTCTCCGTCGCGGACAACGCGTGCAAGCGCACCGCCGTCGCCGGCGTCGCCCAGGCGCTGCGTGGCTGCCGCGAACGGCTTGAAGGGCTCTTTCTGTCGCACACGCTGATGGGCGATGCCGCCTTCGCTGCCTTCGCATCCGGTGTGGGCAGCCTGCCGGCCCTGCGTGTGATGGACCTCTCCCACTGCGGACTCACCTACCGCAGCGGAAAGGTGCTCGCGCAGCAGCTGCCGATGTCGACGCAGCTGGAGGAGCTGCGGCTGGCGGACAACATGTTGGAGGTGGAGGGCGTGATGGACTTCGCCAGCGGGCTGGAGCGGATGTGCCGGCTGACGCACCTCGACCTCGGCTCCTGCTACCTCGGCAACTGCGGCGCCGTCGCCGTCGTGACCAGCATGCTGCGCAGCTGCGCCCCGCTGGAGTGCCTCGACCTCTCCGACAACGGCATCAATGACGCTGGCTTCCGCGATGTGTGCAACCTCCTCTCGCGGCTGACCTGCCCGAAGCTGCGCCGCTTCGTCGTGTCGAAGAACGCGTGCACCACGTGCACGCAGCGCAGTCTGGTGGAGATGATGCACGGCCGCCAGTCCACGTGCCACGTCGTGGCGGACGAGACACCGCTGGAGGAGGTGGCGAGCAGCAGCAGCTGCTGTGGCAGCAATCCTTCATCGACCTTGGCCAGCATGACGAACTCCATCTTGGAGTGAGTTTGTTTGGGGAGGCAGGGATGAAGTGCATGCGACGGAGAGGAGCACCACGCACGGCATCCACGCAACCCTGCTGCTGAAGGGAATAAAGCATTTCGTCCAACGGTTGTTGACCCACAAAGTCGCCTGTTTTCTTGTATTATTAGTTCTCCTTGCTTTATCTCATGTATTTATTTTTCGTTTACTCGTGAGCAGACGCAATGAGCGCCGTGAAGGGAGGCGTGCTTTGTGAAAAGAAAATGGAAAGACGAACCGGCGGGGCGGCGAGGGTGCGCTCAAATAGACGTCCTTTGCGCTCCATTTGCCCTCTGCGAAGGTGTGTTTTCCTCGTCTGTCTTCTTCTCTGATTTTGTTTCTCTGGGTTTGGCTGGCTGTTTTACTCGCACGACAATTATTTTTGCGTTTTTCTTCTTGTGTTGTTGTTGGTTGTGGCGTTCTCGACGCCCAACTCGTTTCGGAAGTGCTCCTTCCGATTCATCCGTTTACGGTTTCCTCTTTCGCTCTCTCCGCATGTTGGTGTTGATTTCCCCCCTCTGCGTAGTACGACGGTCAAAGCAGTGGAAGTAGAAACCCTTGTATTTTGGATCGCTTCAGCGAAGCACACACACACCCACACAGGAAGGTGTTGGTGCTTACCGGCCCACGTGTAGGGGGAGGGGGGGGGAGGGCCTCTTGGGCAAGAGTGTTAACCATCTATATGCATAAGCACATACTCCACAAAGTACAATAACCACCGATATATATATATATATATATATATATAAAACTGCTTCTTGGTTTTACGTCTAATCTCGTAACACGACTCTGCACACGGCGTACGGACAGAGGCGTTTCTCCTCCTCTCTTTCTTTTCCCCGCTTTTTTTTGTTTTATTTGTTTCTTCACAGGATCTCCACCGTCTGCAGCGCTCTGGTCATCTGCCCTCAAAACGCGCTGATCTCTACGGCCGCCCTTGCGACGGCCGCCTTTTTGAGACGACGACGACGACGATGTATCGTTGACGCAAGAGAGAAAACAAAAACCCTTCTGTCTTAGTGCGTGCAGTGTACAAATAGCGAAGAAAAAAGTTAACGAAATTTATGTATGTAATTTAACGCACACGCGCAGCAGGTTAAAGAAAGAAATATAAAAGGCGGTGTGTTGCTGACGGTTAATCAAACATTATCTGCACGCCTAGAAGAAGACGTCGGAGGGTTTGAAACGTTATCCTCTCTCTTGACTATTTTGTTTTCTCTTCCTCTTTAACAAGGTACGAGGCACATCTTTATTTTGATTTCTGGCTTTTAATGTTTGATTCAGTAAACGGAAGATCTTCTTTATATATATACATATATATATATATATATGTTTTTTCGCAGCCGAGTGTCACGCCAAACGGAACATCCGGTCGTGAGGTGACAAGGCTGTTAGCCAGGGGAGAAGTAGTCAAAAAGGAAAACACTCCCTCACTGCGGAGGAGCAGAAGAGCACGCCTGAGTGCACAGAAGGCGTTCTCTTTTCTTACTTTCTCCCGCGTTGACGTCGATGCGGGAAAGACTTTTCTTCTTTCTCTTTTCTCGTTCTCTCTCTTGTGGTTTTTGTGTTTTTCCATTTCGTCCGTTCTTCAGGTCGTCATCGTCATTTCCTTTTTTAATTGTGTTTGTACATAAGAGAGGCTTTAGAAACAATTCGATTGGTGAACGCAGCAGCTTCTTTTTCAACTTCATCTTTTTGTTTTAACGACCATCTTCGTTTATCTCGTTTAAACCATCTCCGTTTTCTGCCTTAGCTTTCTTTTCTTCTCTCTCTCTCCCTTTCGTGTTCTCGATTTACGCCTCCTTCTGTTGTCAATATGGAAGCTCTTATACACGTTAGATAGGTCTCGTCTGTAGTAGGGTTTTTTTTCCTCCTTTCTGTTTTTATCTCTCGACTCCAATGCTTACCTTCGGATCGTCGTGATTGTTTCTCTTTTCTCTGTGGTTTCGCATTATTGTTTTTACACGATCGTTTCATCTCCTTTCTCGTCTTTCGCTCTCTATTATTCTTTCTTCTTCTTCTTTTTTTTCCTTTGGCTTTACGTTTTACGCCCTACAACCGTGCTGATAATCATTTAAGCATGTATTACTCCTTTGATTTGCTTCTCTCCTCGTCTCTTCTCCCTCTCTCAGTGCTCTATCCCCTCCTCTGGGGTGTTATACATATCTAAACGTCTTGTTTTTCTTTCTCCTGCGTTTTCGAACACACGCAGCGCTCCGTTGATCATGAGCATCCACTCCTAAGCCCAAAGTCCCAGCAAAGAAAGACACAAGATGAAAGAGAACGGCACGTTGAATTCACAGTGCTGAGAGAGTCGTGTGTTGATGAGGGGGCAGTGGCTTTGGAAAAGAAGAGCGTCGCAGGCGGTGGTTCCTCGACGACACATAAACAAAGCCTTGTGCTCCGTTGCCGCACACCCTATCAATATTTGTTTTTTATTTTGTGATTTCTCTTGCTGGAAGATAAGTCTGTGTGTGTGTGTGCATTTAAGTTTTTTTTAACAGGCCACTTATGTTTTAACGAAACACGCACGAAGCGCTCTCACGGTGGCGCCGTTGTTTTGTCTTTCACTGATTGAATTGGAGAGAGGAGGAGAGGGGTATTGCGAAGTGCTGCAGAAGTACAGCCACATCTTGGCTGCTTGTGCTCACTGTTTTCATTCTAAACGAATCTGCGCCATTTTTTTGTGTTTTTCGCTGTGGAGGATTTCTGCCCTGCTGAAACTTGTGTTTCTCGGCATTCTCCGCAATGTGTTTTCGCCCTTCTGCAGTGTGTTTCCACGCTAGTGGGCAGACAACCCTTTTACGTGTTTATTAACGCCACGATAGAAAGCCCCTACGTTCTTTTTTATTCTCTCATGGCGCTGATAGGCAGCGTAAACGGGGTCCGCGTCGCTTTTCCTTTTTCTCACGTCTGCACGACGACGCTATGCTCTTCGTTCTGCTGTTGAGGCTTCCTTTGCGCCACTGTGAGGGTGCTTTCAAAGAGGGAGGCGAAACTGCAGAGAAGTCATTAGGATAGCTTTAGTGTAAACAACAAGGAAACCGGTTTGAGTGCAGCTTATTATCTGGGTGTTCAAATACAGGTGATGGCTTGAAATCTTCTTGTTTTCTTTTCTGCGCTGGTTGTTTGTGAGGTGCGTCTGTGATGGCACCCAGGAGAGAAGTACGATGTGGTCAGCTGGTTTTTCAGAGTTGTTTTTCTCGCCTCCTCTATGCCCGTGTTGGCGCTGAGATTTCCCTTGTGTATGTATAACGGTTCGAGTTGCTTCGGAGCGCTTTACTCCCCATAAATTCATTATTATTTGTCTTCTTGAGTTGTTAGCTGTTATGATTCATCTTTTTTTTTGTCAGCTAGTAAAACCGAAAGCGATGAAGGACTCCTCCATGAAAGCTGTCCGAGCAGCGTGGCAGGGGGAAAGAGGAAATCGTGCAGATGTTCGCCTGATGCGCCCATCAACACCCCAGCCGCTCTCTTTACCTGTGCTGATCGCTCAAGGTACTTTTGCGCGCGTTCAAACATCGCGTTGTACGAAGATAGGCTCTCGATTTGCGTACTATGCAAGTGCTCCTGCTTTTGTTTTTGCGCGGACTTGCAAAGCGGAGGCCGCTGCTCGAAGGCGGTGTTGAAGGGCCCCCGGCGTCCCACTGGAAGACTCTCTATCTCTCGTATACCTTTTCTTTTCCTTTGTGTGAGTGGGTGTGGCGCATTGGCCCCGCCTCACGCGATGCCTGCCGCTTTCACAAACCGTGCAAGAGAAGCTTGAAGGAGGAAAAGAACCTTTGCTTTCTTCGCGAACGACCTCAAAAGATATATATATTTTTTCACTGTGCACGGCAAGATACAATCAGCAGCAGCATGTTTCGTCGTGTCGGCCTTCGACTGGCCGAGTTCCAGTACGTCCCGCTCATCTCCAAAGTGTCGCACAAGGACACCAAGTACCGCCTGCTGTCCAAGGAGCACGTCGCGGTCGTGCAGCCCGGCGCGGGGCTGCCGGAGATGCTGAAGGTAGACCCGGCGGCGCTCACGTTGCTGACCGCCACCGCCTTCGACGACATTGAGCACCTGCTCCGCCCCTCGCACCTCGCCTGCCTGCGTAAAATCTTCGATGACCCAGAGGCGAGCGACAATGACAAGTTTGTCGCGCTGCAGCTGCTGAAGAACGCGAACATCTCCGCCGCGCGTGTGCTGCCCGGCTGCCAGGACACCGGCACGGCCATCATCGCGGGCTACCGCGGCGAGCAGGTGTTCGTCCCCGGCAACGACGAGGAGGCCCTCAGCCGCGGCGTCTTCGACACCTTCCAGCAGCGCAATCTCCGCTACAGCCAAAACGTTCCGCTGACGATGTTCGACGAGAAGAACACCGGCACGAACCTGCCGGCGCAGATCGACCTCTACGCTACCAAAGGAATGGAGTACAGCTTCATGTTCGTGGCGAAGGGGGGCGGCTCGGCCAACAAGTCCTACTTGTTCCAGGAGACGAAGTCGGTGCTGAACCCCAAGTCGCTGCGGAAGTTCCTGCAGGAGAAGCTGGCCATGTTCGGCACGGCCGCCTGCCCGCCCTACCACGTCTCCGTCGTGATCGGCGGCACGAGTGCGGAGACGACGATGAAGACTGTGAAGTACGCCTCGTGCAAGTACTACGACGACCTCATCACCAAGCCGGACGCGACAACGGGCTACGCCTTCCGCGACCTCGAGATGGAGAAGGAGGTGCTGAGCATTTGCCAGCACATCGGGATGGGAGCGCAGTTTGGTGGAAAGTACTACGCCCACGACGCCCGTGTCATTCGTCTGCCGCGCCACGGTGCGTCGTTGCCCATCGGCATCGGTGTCTCCTGCAGCGCTGACCGCCAGGCCCTTGGCAAGATCAACAAGGACGGGATTTGGCTGGAGGAGCTGGAGACGGAGCCGTCCAAGTACATGCCGGAAGTCAAGGAGGCCGAGCTTCTCAAGACACCACCGGTAGAGGTGGACCTGAGCCGGCCCATGTCGGAGGTGCTGAAGGAGCTGTCGAAGTACCCGGTGAAGACGCGGCTGAGTCTGACGGGCACCATCATCGTCGCGCGCGACATCGCCCACGCCCGGATGCGCGAGATGGTGGAGGCGGGCAAGCCGCTGCCGCAGTACATGAAGGACCACCCCGTCTACTACGCAGGGCCGGCGAAGCAGCCGAAAGGGCTGCCTTCTGGCTCCTTTGGTCCCACCACGGCGGGTCGCATGGACCCCTTTGTCGACCTCTTCCAGTCGCTGGGCGGCTCGATGATTATGCTGGCCAAGGGCAACCGTAGCAAGCAAGTGACGGACGCCTGTAAGAAGTACGGCGGCTTCTACCTCGGCAGCATCGGTGGGCCGGCGGCGGTGCTGGCCACGGAGGCGATCAAGAAGGTGGAGTGCGTGGATATGAAGGAGCTGGGCATGGAGGCGGTGTGGAAGATTGAGGTGGTGGGCTTCCCCGCCTTTATCGTGGTGGATGACAAGGGCAACGACTTCTTCAAGCAGCTGTAGATGAATGTGTATGTGCTCGAATCGTCACACACACACACTCACACCAAATGACAAGCTGATAGAGGCCGGGAAACCCATGGGTGCGCTGCTGACGATGCAAGTTGACTGCTGTCCTCGCCGCCTCACGTGTGTTTCTTCCCCGCTCTCACTGCCCGTGTTCAACTTCCCCACACCCACCACTCTCCGCAGCGCACGTTTGCTTTCTTCCTGACGAATGCAGGGAACAACTTCTTGCTGATGCTGCTTCGTCACGGTCGCCCGCGCTTCTCTTTGTCTCTCTTTCGTATTCCCTAGTGTATATACATGCCTTAGCCTTTGTCTTTCTTGGGGTGTGCGGTTATCATTATTATTATTAACTGTTTATCAAAAAAAAATGAAAACGTTTACGCTCGTATGAACCACACACATCTTTTCTTTTCCCCCATAATTATTAATATTTGTTTTTGTCTTCCTCATGTTGTTGATTGTGTTCTCCGTACTTATTAGTAGTTTCGTTGACGTGGATGATGCTGTCGCGGGCGGGGAAGCGGGGTATGGGTCTGGCCAAGGGAGAAACGTGCAAACATGTTTCTGCCGTCGTCGCTTCCTTCGTCGGCTGCTGCGTATTTGCGTGTTGCTGCTGCGCGTCGTGCACGTTGCCAGCGACACAAGTTTGTGCTGATCTGTTCGCTGACCGCCTTTCGTGCTCATTTCTTGTAGTAGGATTTGTCAAGTAGAATAGCAAGCGCGCCCATTACTGGGAGAAATCTTATATACATGCTTTCCTTCTCTGCCTTATTAATTGCTCTCAACGCTATTCTGGTCTTTGCCACAACAGATTTTTATTATTATTCCGCATGAGAACGCATTATACGCATGGCTTTCTATTTTTGAGCGTTTTTTACCACTTAGTACTTAAAGAGGAATGTATGCACCGAAGACAACTTTGTTATCATCAAAAGCTGCAAAACAGAAAACAAAACCCTTTCAACTCCTTAGTCGCCGTGCGGGGCTTCGCTTCTAATCTGAAATATCTTTCTTTCCCGTGCTGTTGCTCCGTAGTGTTGTCTTCTCCTTCTGAAAGGAATTGTCCATGGAGGCCTCGAACCCTCCCTTGGACAGCGCGCTGCCTACGCTGTATTCGGTAGCCAATAGAAAACGCGGACTTTTATCTGCCCAGCTCCACTTCTCATGCTCCTTTTGTTCTCTCCCTCCTGTTTTCTTTATGTATGCTGATCCTGGGTGCTCGTCCAACGCAACATCGTGTCGTTATTGCTGTGCTGATCAGCTTGAGAGCCGATTTGCTTGTACTTTCCCTCACCGCCGTCGTCGCGCTGCGCGTTGTGCGGTGCAAGACTGAAAGGAACACGTGGCACTCCTTGTCTGGAATCGAAAGTGGAGGGGAGCGTGTCGCGCAGGTTTCTCTCTGAAGCCCCTCAACACACCCACGCACGCACGCACGCACACGCACAACACAATTTGTTCATTACACTTAATTAAGTAAATAATAGAAGGCCAAGAAAAGATGCTGCGACTTTTACTGCGGTCGGCGAGTCATCGAGGTGTCTTCGCAGTCTCCTCTGCAGCCGCAGCTGCCACCAACACTCCCGTTCGTGCAGCCGGCACCGTACTCGCCGGTGCGATGCACCAGCCCGGCGAGTCGGGGCAGCAGGCCGGCTCCAGTGCCACCCTCGAGGGCAAGGAGACGTGGGGCCAGTTCAGTGCCAAGATGCGGCACGGCCGGCGGCGCATTCGTGTGATCGACGTGGCGGCCAAGATGTCGTACGAGTACCAAATGCTGAAGAAGATGTGCAAGCGGCGCCCCGCGATGCGGCAGTGGGCCGTGCGAGACGACTTCTGCGACATGAGCCCCGGTGTGGTGGTGATGTCGCCCTCCATGCAGGCCGCCTTTATGAAGGTGTTCCGCCTGAAGGACAAGGGTCTCATCCGGCAGTGCCTGCGCGACATCATCCCGATCATTGAGTACCGCAATCGAGAGGAGCGCCCCCCTGCGATGCGTGACAAGCCCGCCGACATGATCCCGGATGGCGAGCCTGACACGCTGAACCAGAAGAAGCGCGAGCTGTTTGAGCGGAGAGAGACCGGCGAGAACTTCAAGGACCTGCGCCTCTCCGATAGCCGCTCTCAGGCAAAGCTGCGCTTTAAGATCCGCCAGCGCCTCATTAAGTTCCAGCGGCAGCTCGCCACGGCGAATGCGGTGGCCAGCCGCACCGTCATGTACTCCACCGACGACGCCATTGGCTACTTCCTCTTCCGCGGCGCTGCCATGTACGCCGGCATGCACCGCGTGTTCTTCGAGCTGAGTAAGCAACTACCCCACTTCGTGCCCAAGTCGATGCTTGACTTCGGCACCGGCACCGGCACGGCGATCTTAGTGGCGAAGGAGGTGTACGACCCGGGCGCCCTCGCCTACCCTCTCTACCGCTCGATGCGGCAGACCATGACGGGCAACACCAGCGCCCAGTCGCAGCAGCTCCACGAGCTCCGCTACGACCTGAAGCGTCTGAGCCGCAACAACACCGAGAAGAAGAAGGCGCGCTTCATGGCCGTCGCGGCGCTGCTCGAGCGAGGCGAGGTGGACCCGGCGGACCTGCCGGCGGATCTTCGGAAGGAAATCGCGCAGGTGGCTGCCAACGCGGCGGAGAACAAAAAGCGGCGTCTCGTGAGCGAAGCGCATGCACGGCACCGGGAGGTGGTGGACGGGACAGAGTGGGAGGACAACGACCCGCTCGGCGAGCGGCGGAGCACCACGGAGGAGCTGCACGACGTTTTGGAAGGGGAGGAGGCCGACGGTGATCCAGCTGAAGCGGACGCGGCGGCGGCGGCGAAGGAGCGCACGTGGTGGGAGAGGCTGGTGGACTTGGAGGGCGACTCCGCGCATGAGCGGGCGCACCGCCGGCTGCAGCCGCTGCAGGATGTCACCGCGATTGAGCCGAGCCCCGGAATGATGGAGATTGGAACAATGGTGCTGCACGACGATGTGCCGAACGTATCGTGGAAGCGCTACCTTCTACCGGAGGACGAGAGCATCCAACATGACCTGGTGGTGGCCGCCTACTCACTGAGCGAGGTGGCTGACTCGGCGAACCGCAAACGACTCGTGCAGCAGCTCTGGAAAATGACGAAGGGGGTGCTGGTGCTCGTGGAGTTCTCCAACTTGCACAACTTCAACCTTTTAATGGAGGCTCGCGACACCGTGCTGGAGGAGAAGGACGTTGGCTTGTGGGACTGGCAGCCGACGATTGTGGCGCCGTGCCCGCACGAGAAGCGCTGCCCGCTGCGGCACTGCAAGGCCGGTGTGAAGCGCAAGCGCATGCGTCTGTGCACCACCGAGGCGCAGTACCGCGCCACCTTCATTGAGGTCTGGGCCCGGCACCTGCCGCTGAAGGTCGGCATCGAACCCATCTCGTACATGGTCTTCGCGCGCAACGAGCTGGTGCCGGAGCGGGCGGAGCGGCGGGAGGCGCAGGTGAAGGCGGAGCAGGCGGCGAGTGTGCTGCGGCGGGACGCGAAGCAGCGCCACCTCTACGAGGCCTCGCTCGGTGTGAAAGACGTCGTGTTTGATCGCCTGAGCGACGAGGCCTTGCACCGTCCGTCGACGGGCGCACCGGCCAAGTTGGCGAGTGACACATCAACACCCGGGCAGCCGTCCGCCACCCTTTCCTCGGCCCTGCAACGAGGCGCGGTCGGCACCGGCGAGGTCGGCTACATCCCCACCGATGTCCCGCGCCTGGTGCAGACGTCGGGGCGGCACTACAACAAACTCATCTACCCGCTGCAGTTTCCACCCGCCACGCACACCTTCAACCGCGCCTTCGTCGATGCGGGCTACCAACGCCAGCGCGCCATCACGCCAAACGAGATGTTGGTCGTGCGGGCGGAGTTGGAGGACATGCGCCGGCGTGTCATGCGGGTGAGTCCGGCGTACCTGCGCGTCGTGCGTGACCCAACCTGCCGCGGCAAAATCCAAGCAACGTTTTGCACCGCTGAGGGCGACTTGGTCACTGCGCGGGTGTACCGCCGTTTCTACGGAGACCACAACAACGTCAGCCGGCACACGACGATGCGGTGGCAATACATGGGCGGTTGGAAGCTCTTGAAGCGCATCAGGAGCGGCTCCTTATTTCCCCACGACGTACCCCTCTACGCGGTCAGCCGCCACCCGCAGGTGGACTTCCCGAACACGTTGGTCGATGTGAAGCACTCGCCGGTGGAGAAGACGGCGATGCAGTACAACGACCCGATGACGCTGATGGAGACGCCGGAGGAGGAGCTCACCCGTGATGAAGTGAAGCAGCGCCGCAACATGCTCCGCGACGAGGAGATGAAGAAGAAGGCGGAAGCGAAGCTGGAAGAGATCTTCGGGGCGAAGATCCAAAATGCGGAGTCACTGAGAGGCCACGTCGACTCGCGGCGTCGCATCTCGGCCGAGGAATGGGCGAAGGCGGTGCGCCACGCGCGTCAGAAGACGGTACGGCAGACACAGATGACAATCCCGAACGCGGCGAAGATCCGCACCGCGATGCGCTCGATGGAGGTGAAGCGGCGAAATATCTGGAGGGAGATGAAGCAGAACCGTCGTCGTTGAGCAGCGGAAGTGACAGCGAGTTCACTCGGATTGCGTTGTTCCCCCTTCCCCCTCCCCCTTCCTCCCGTCTCTTTCGATTCGCTTGCTGTACGACAAGTTGTTCTCTGTTGTTGATTTGGTGTTGAGTTACACAATGGATGAATTGGGTTTGATGATTGCTGTCGCCGTGTGCCGCTGTTCAGCCACCGCGGCGTGGTGTTCGGCCTTTGTTTCTCCTCTTGTTGTTCGTGGCGTATTCTTCACATAACTTAAATTCGTATTTTTACGTACTTCTCGCCCCTGCCGCATTCTTTTCTTTTGTAAAAAAAAAATGTGTTTTGAAGGCAACGCCGGAGACACTGTGCGCTGCGCACCGCAGAGAAGGACATCAGCAAGGCTTCTTTTTTCCTACCGGCCGTTTCACGGAGTTCGGCACTTCGGTCTGACGGGAGACGGTGCTTTTGCGGCCACAGTAATCCGGCAAAGGTGGAGAAGTCAAAAAAGCCGCTCCGCTTTCTCACTGGCAAGTCCCATGCTGCGAACGGCATCCGCTGTGTCTCCGCGCTGTTCTGGACTGCTTGTCGTGGATACTGCATGCATTTCAAACCTTTGAAAGGGATGGCATAGCACTTCCTCTGAAACTCTCTTTGATATACAGTTCAATATTATATGTCCCCCAATGTTCTCCTCACGCTTATCACTCAACTCCGTGTGTGTGTTCTACAACGGAAAACAACGGATTACAAAGCCTCTAAAAGGGATTATTATTATTATTATTATATATATAGTATTTTTCCGCGTCCATACTATGCTGTCGCGACTTCTCGCGCAATGGCCACTGCTCGTCTTGGTTCTCTTCTACGCCGCGAGCGTGCTATTGTTCTGCACCTCCATGCTGTCGACCTCTACCGTCATGCGCAACTTCGCGACTGAGCCGTGCACCGGTACCGTCGCCACACCGGTGGATCAGGTGGTGCTCATCTTGATCGACGCGATGCGACCTGACTTCGTCCTCTCCGCGCTGCGGCCCTTCGCGCGGACCGGCGGCCAGTGCGACGTGCACGGCGACCATTCGCTCGCCGCGATCTGGGCAGACAACCGCTACACCGGGCCCACGCTGCACTACATGGAGGAGTCGCTGCGGTCGGAGAGCGACGCTTCCATCGCGTACTTTCTCGTGGCCGACACACCGACGACGACGGCGCAGCGCATCAAGGCGATTGCCACGGGCACGATGCCAGCCTTTCTAGAAGCGGGCTCGAACTTCAACAGCGATGCGATCGAGCTGGACAGCATAATTGGCCAGATGAACGGCAGTGCAGTTTTGCTGGGCGATGACACGTGGGAGAAGCTGTTCCCGAACACACCCACGAAGCGGCACTGGAAGCACGCCGTGGGCGTCCCTTCGTTTGATGTGGCGGACTTTGACACCAACGACGATGCCGTGTTGGGTGAGGTTTACGAAGTGCTGCGCAGGGAGACGCGCGAGGCGGTGGCAGCGGCGGCGACGGTAGCACCACCACCTGCGGGAGAAGCCTTCGATCGCCATGCAGGTCTTGTCGTGGCGCACTTCCTCGGCATCGACCACATTGGCCATCGCGTCGACTCTGACAATCCGTACATGAAGGGGAAAATCAGACAGCTGGACGAGATGCTGCGCAACGTGAGTCAGCTGCTGCGTGAGCGGCCGACTTCGATGCACACGATGCTGCTCGTGATGGGCGACCACGGCATGACGAACAGCGGCGACCACGGCGGCGGCTCGGCGCAGGAGACAGACACGTTCTTGTTCGCACAGTACTTCCCCGGTGCTCGCAGCGCGGCCCCTACGCCTTCCTCTAACTCTACCACCACTGCCTCCTCTACGGCGGCTAACTTGCGGAGGGCGCGACAACTTCTGCAGCAGCGTTGGAGGGATCGCGTTGACGCGGAGTTCGATCGCCTGCGGAGCTGCCGTGCTGCGGCGGGGGTGCCGCTCGACAAACTCGGGGCCACCTATCAAGTGGACGTGACGGCGACGATGGCGGTGCTGCTTGGGCGACCCATCCCATACTCCAGCTTCGGCCGCGTCATCCCTGAAGTCCTGACCTTAGCGAACGCGTCGACGAATGTGGAGGCGGTGGAGCAGTGCAACCTGCGGCAGCTGGAGCGGTACTTTCAAGAGTCTGCGATGAAAATTCCACCTGATGCATCGTGGATGCGGCCCGGGGCGTCCGTGACGCAGCGGCTGGCGGATATGAGCTACTACGCCCGCCGCACACGCACGGATATGCATCGCTCTGGCATGTTCATCGGCTCAACCGGGCTGCTGCTGTGTGCGATGTCGCTCCTGTGGTCCCCCACCATCCGCACCTATCTTTCTCCGCGTCGCAGTGGGTGGTTGATGACGTGGACGGTGCTGGTGTTGGTTTTGCGCCTGTGCAGCGTGTTTTCCAACAGCTTTGTGGTGAACGAAGACTCGGAGCTGCTGGGCCTGCTGTGCTCTCTGTTGCTACTGCTGTCGGTGCCGCGTGTGATGGCGGCTGTGAAGATGACGGGGGCACCGAAAGAGGAGCAGAGTGGGCTGCGGCCCGCCGGCAGCTGCTCTCGCTGCATACATTGGGGGACGTCCTTCTTGGCAGCGCTACGGCGTACCGACGCTGCATTCTTGGGTGTGTTGCTCCTGGGCCTTCGCCTGGCTGTACCGGTACTGCTGCGCTACCGAGCCCACATCACGCACACGGTGGAAACGGAAAGCGCCGTAGATCGCTTCGTCAGCGCGCACGCCGCTCTTCAAATTGAGCGCTCAGGCATCTTTACCGCCAGCGTTTTGTGGGTCGCGCTGTATCCCCGGGCGGTGCCGTGGCCGGTGGTGGGCGGAACGGCGGTGGCTGTCGCCTGTGTCTACCACGTGCCGGTAGCCCACCATACCCTCCCTCTCCTGTGCGCCGTTGTGTGTCCGCATTGGTGCAAAGTTGCTTCCCACTCATCTGCGACCACGAAAGCCCCGCGCACCCTGCCGTGCCGACCGTATCGATACCTTGTGCTGATCCTCTGGCTGAGCTCCCTGTGCAACGGCAAAGTCGCCACGGCGGTGACCACGGCGACCTACGGCGTGGTGCTGCCGCGTCTGTGTCGCGTGTTACGGGCAGCGCCGCTGCTGACGCAGGCAACCGCGCTGCACTTCTTCGCCTTTGTGGTGTTCTTCGCGGAGGGGCATCAGTGCATGCTGAACACGATTGACTGGAATGCGTCCTTTGTGGGCATGCCCTTCTACAACATGTACCTCGGTGCCGTGCTGGTGTTGAGCCGCACCTTCCACGCATTTATGTTGGTGCCGCTGGCCTTGGGTGTGTCGCCGCAGCTAGAGCACAGGCGGCTGCGTCGCTTTACGCCAGCGGAAGAGGCGGTGGCAAGGGCGAAGAGGGTAGATGATACTCCGGTTGGCACCGCGGCACAGCAAACAACCCACGAGAATACCAACCTGCCCGACGACGGTGGAGGCCGAGACGCCACCACGGTTGTCCTCGCGGTGTACCTGTATCTCCTCCTTGTCCAGTCCGCCGTCTCCTGTTTCAACGGGTACATTCAGAAGACGCACCTCATGCTGTTTCCCATTTTCTGTCCAAAGCTGCTCTTTGACGCGGTCATCGCACTGCTGACTTCCGGCGTCGTTCTCGTCTCAGTCACCGTGTTTTAGCCCAATCTGCGGCACGCGACAACCGAAGGGCGGTGTTCTCCCTTCCTGTGCAGTTGTTTCCCTCCTTTCTTTTCCGCTTCCCCTCGTGTGTGTGTGTGTTTGTGTGTGCCTCACCGCGGCTCTTACTCCATGTGAAACGCCCGGCTGTGCTCAGGCGTCGTACTGGACCGTCGAAGGTAATCAAGACAACAGCGGACGAAATGGTTCAATGCAGTGCATCAATCCGGCGTGTTGTGGTCCCACAGCGGATATGCCTCGAGGCTGTGTACTGCGAAAGAAGGAATGAGTTCGTAATTGAGGGAGGTGTGGTGTTCTCCGCCGCTCACTCTCGGCGGCGGTCCTGCGCGTGCTATGCTATTATTCCTCTTTGGCACAGATTTCTTTTTTTCGCATTTAACCCTCTATGTCCTAGAGGGAGGTGATGCGTCTCCTGCTGGTTCTGATAGTCGCCTCATACGTGTCAATACGTGTACTCCTGTGTAATCTTCCTAATCCCTCCCTCTCTTTTCTCGCAGCTCTTCGTGAGGGGCAGGCGAAGTCGTTAGCCCACGCCTCTTTCGACACGTGAATTTTTATTCCAGTGCGCTATTATTATCTCTTTGGTTTCTGTGGTGGTTGTCAGGGCTGCTGTCACGCTTACCGTTTTTACTCCGCTGACGGGCTGCTGTCGTAGCGCATTCACACGCACGCACACGCGCACTTCGACCGAAGCATGGATGCGTATATCCAGGGGTTGTGGCTGCGCTTGCGAGACGTCGCGCAGCGGAGCCGGGCGGCGGCGTTGCCCTCTGACCGCCCCTCCGCCCTCTTCGCCGTGTTCACCTCGGTGTTCAACGGCGGACTGCTGGTGTGGAGCTTTTCGGAGGTGCTGGGCCGAACGTGCAGCAAAAATGCCACCATCTGGATCTCGCTCGGGATGGCGCACTGCTACGTGAACATGATCTTTGCGGTCACCTCCATGATGCACATACGCCGCCGAATCGCGTGTGGCATCCCCGCAGAGGCCTCGCAGGCGAGCGTCTTGTACCGCAGCCCGTTGATGTTGTTCTACGCTTTCTACCTTGTGTGTGAGCTGGTCTGGGTGATCGCGGCGGCGCAGCTCTCTGTCCGCGACACCGGCACCGAGTGTGTGCGGCACATCACTGTGCAGATCTTATTTCTGGTGATGTATTGGCTTCTCGGAATGCTGGTCCTCTTTCAACTTACTTTCATTACGGAGCGCTGGCGGCGTCCGCGGTGGCGCAACTTTGCTGCGATGCGCTGGGACTACTTGCACAACACGCAGCGGCACCGCAATGTGCGCTGGCACGATGAGCACATCGCCGACGGCGGCGATGAACCGGCGGATTTGGACAACGTGGAGCTGCAGCGGGGCGCAGACACGGAGCGAACGTCCACGATGGACTACGCCAGCATGCGGGATGACATGACGGTCGAAAACGACTACACGAGAGAGACGGCCACGGTGCAGCGTCCGCGATCTACGGCGCAGCGGTAGCACGCGGTGTAAACACCGTCAGTGCAGTTGTGTTCCCCCCCCCCCTCCCCTTCTTTATGTTCCTTTTACTTCCTGCTATTGTCGCCGTTTTCGTAGTTGGTTCTCGTTTCAGAGGAAACAGGCGGGTGAGCGAAGGTGATGGTGATGCTGCCCCTTCTCTTTTCACTGTTTCACGGTGACGAAAGAAGTGTCACTGCGTCGCCCGTTATTTGTGTGCTTTCTCCTCCGCCCTTTCAGCACAAAAGGCGCAGTGCGCGACGGTTCGCTCGTGCGCTTCAAGATGCGCATTAGCGTCGATGGGTATGCGAACAGCCATCCAGAAAACGGCGTGTGCGCAGCCCGCAAAGGCTTTTGATCGCCTTTGTAAAGATTGAAGGCGTTAGTAGGTGGAAAACAAGGTGTCACATTCGTCCTATGCTTTTTCGTTGCTTTTCCAATGGTGCCCTCCTGCCACGGTTGTGGAGCCGCTCCAGTTGGCGTGCTGCTCTACCGCGTGCTGCTCAGAAGAAATCGCGACGCAACGGGTCTGACACGTCTTCGGCAAACGCTTGCGTAATTATATATCCCCCCAGCAAAGAAGAATAGAATTATTTAAAGCTTTCGGTGACAGTTTTATGCGTGCAGCGTGCAAACGTGCAGGCGTTTACTGACGCTATTCCTTTTCAGAAAGGTACTGATAATGCAGCCCGTGCAGCGCAGTCCATCGGCACTGTACGTTGCGTCTACCGGTGGCTGCAGCTGCGGCACACGCCTACAAAGTTGCTCTGTTTTCTCCTCCTCTCGTTCCTTTATATTCACCCTTTGCGTTTCTTTTACTCTTCGCTTCGAGCTTCAACGGACAGCAGCCGCACAAGTTTAGGCATCCACAGATCTCTGCTGTTCTTTTTGTAGAGATCCGCAACCTTTTGTCTTCGTCTCAGTAGTCTTATCTCACCACCTCAATAGCAGAGGGATAGAACACAATGAAGCGTCAACGGCGCCGCGACGACGCCGCAGCGGACGAGGAGCACTTCATCTACCATGATGCGAAGAAGACGCGTCAGCTCTTTGACACGAACGGTGATCAACGCGTGGTGCTCGGCAGGCGTTGTGTCCTGCAGCACTCCGCGGTTATTTTAGTGATTGTTCTGCTGGCTGTGCTGCTTGGCTTTAGTTGCTGGTTTTTTCTCAATGATGCATCGTACGACGAAGCCACACTTGCTGGTGCGAGGCCGCCGTTTGCATAGCAGCAGCGATACGTTGTCTTCACAAAGGCAGCCGGTGACAGGGCGGTTCGCATTCCTATGCCCAACAAGTCTCTATTTTTGTTTCTCTCAAGTAAGAATTGGGCCACTCAGTGAAAAGCGAAGTGTGACATCGCCTTGCGTTTCTCCTCCCCGGCGTGTGGACGCACGTGTGTGTATATCGATCCTTTGTTCGTGAGGTGGTTGTCTTGCTCATGTACACCAGGCGCCATATTACTATAATTATTAATATTATTTGCCTCCATGTGTATCACCTCGATTATTATTTTTCCTTCTGTGTCATGTTGCACGTGTGTGTGTGTGCGGGATATGCTTTCTCTGTGGACTGCGGTAGAGGCGCGAAAGCGGTTCAAACAAAGAGGAAGGCCGGCAAACACCGACGCACCAAGCGAGGGCCGCGGTTTACGTTCCAACTTCAGATTGGGAAGTGCCGACAACGGAGCAGCGATATGAAGAAGGCGCTCTTTGGAAACTATTTTCGTCGTCGTACGTTACTTCGGTACATCAACACTTGTCTCATCTGGTCGTGTTGGAGGGGGGGGGGGGTTGGTGACTTCTGCGGACCGCAGCTCTTTTCTCCTTTCCTTTTGAAAGCTTTCACGACAAACATCACTCATTGGAGCTTCTGCGTTCTACCTCCTTGTCTTTTGCTATTAAATCCTTGGACTTCATCACGACAGGCTACGAGACACATGGCAGTGCTTTGAGGATCTCTTTTGAGTTTTTCCGTCCTCGTTGCTCTAGCATGTAGGCGTGGTCGTGTGTGCTGAACACGCATTGATCTACGTTTAGGTCGTGGTCGTGGTGGTGGTGGAGCCTCTTTCGACACTTGTTGGTTATGCCTTAGCCAAGCCGACCTGTGTGTGTGTATATATATATACCTCGCTCCCAATGACTCTGCTTTCCCGAAGAGACAAATCCATCTCTGCGCGTGGCTTTCTTCGTTTCGCACGTCGTCGATGGGCTGCACGGCGCCGACGATGGACGGTGTTTGTTCTCCTCCTCATCCCGACGACTCTCCTTGTGGGGTACTCGGTGTTGCTCTCCTTTTATGGGGACGCGTGGCTGCAGCCGGTGGCGGACGCACAGCTGGCACCGCCGATGCCAGCCCGTGTCTCCCCCTTCCGTGATCTGTGCGATGCCGCTGCTGCGCTCTACGAATCAGCCGACAACGCCACCACCGCACATCGAGGGGCTCAGTCGCGCCGGTTGGCCCGTCTCATGGATCGCTTCCGCCACATCCCAGCGGATGGTGGACCAGCCGGTGTGCGGTGGAGCGCCGCGACCGGACTGCCGCTTTCCTCCGCTGCCACCCGTCGAGGCGGCGAAGGCAAAGAAGAAGACGGCAAGGTGGAAGTAAAGGCGCACTTCGTGACCATTTCAACTCGCATGGACGACTTTGCGCAGGCCACCACGACGGCGGCCACGATGGCGGGCGTGCGACTCAATGTAATCGGGGTAGGATGGAACTGGTTTGCCTTCACCCGTCGCATGGAACTCCTACGCTCGTTCATCGATCAAGACAACGTGGACGAGGATGACGTGCTGGTCAGTGTGGATGCCGACGCCGTTTTCAGTGGCGAGGACCTGTACGACTCTCTCGCCGCCTTTGTCGCCTCCACCGCCGCCAACGCAACGGAGCACGAGACCTATCGCGTGCGCGACATTCGCCTTGGCCGTCGGCAGCCGCCGGTGCTTTTCAGCGCCGAATACAACTGCATGCACGCGCAGGCCTATCCGTCGCGCCATCTCTGCCCCACCGGCTACAACGTTATCGATCAAATGATGTCGACGTGGTCGCAGCAGGCGGGGGTGCCGTTGCCGTCTGCGCACCGCCGCGTCAACCCCTTTCCGTACCTCAATGCGGGGGTGGTGGTGGCACGGGTGTGGGCGATCCGCCGTGTGTGGGCAGCGTCGCAGGCCTTCATGTCCTCTCACACGTTCTATGAGGGAGACGAGTGGTGGTGCGATCAGAGCGTGCTGGGCAGCCTCTACCTGCAGCTGCGGTGGTGGGAGATAAAAAGTTTCGCTTTGGACGCGGCTCCAGCGCAGCTGCTGAGCACGGCGACGCAAGCAGAGTGTCTGTTCCCACCGCTGATGCTGCCGGAACCCCACCGCGGACCGCATGGACTGCCGGGTGGTCTTATCGGCCTCGACGACGCTGGCCGCTTCAGTCTCGTCATCAGCACGCAGATGGATCAAAAGGGCGTCTTTCAGGTCGGCGGCACGCCCATCACGCAATCCACACAGCCAGAGGACGCCCTCGCAACGTACTTGCGTTCCGGTGGACGGGTGGAAGACGGGCTCACCGGGGTACCGCGCTCGGGTCATCGCGTGGAGTTGGTGCCTCGAGCTGGTTTTGACTGCGGTGGGGCAGCCGGGCACAACGCACAGGCAATTCGTCCGCCGGAGTGCGCATACCGCGCCGCGGTGCTCGGCGTACCCGGCTCTGCGGAGGCCGTGACACCCCTCATTTGGCACTTTGCGGGGAAGTACAAGCGGCCTCTTCTCACGCGGTTCCGTGTGGTGTTCCCGTGGTACACGCCGATGCTGTGGAATGCCTCGGTGCGGCTCGCGGTGCTCGCGACGGTGACGGCAGCTCCGCCGACTCGGCTGTGGTACCTCAACGCAACGACAGACCTCCCATTTGCCAACATCGTACACGCCTTATACTCGCACAGCAGTGAAGATGACGCTTCCTTTGAACAGATGTGCGAGCTGTCGCGCGTGCGTGCTGGGCGGACATCGTTAAAAAACGGATGAACAGGAAGGAGAGGAGTGATGGAGGGAAGGACGAATTTGTCTCCTGGTGAACTGCCGTCAGGCCTTCAAAACAAAATCAAAAGAAGGGTTTACCCTGCAGTATTCGGCGGCAAAGGAGCGGGCCTATCTGTGAAGATGGACGTCGTTTTTTTTGTTTTCCTCAGTGTATTAACACTATTGTCTTTTGTTCTACTTCGGTGTCTACAGTTCCTTTACGCGTGTTGCCGCGGGATCGCAACACCATTTCCGCTTCTCAAAAAAAAAAAAACAGATAAAATCGAAACAACGTAGATTAGAAGCCGTCTATTTTCGAAAGGCTGTTCCTCCGGCCCCCCCCCCCCCCCCCTCCCTTCTCGCGTTATCGTGAGGCATCGCGGGACAATGAAACGAAGAACTGCAGCAAGGCCACTTTACTTGCTTCTCTCTCTCCGAGCATGTAAGTGTGGGTGTCTGTGCGCGAGTGCGCGTGTGTGCGACTTAAAAGAAAAACAGAGAAGAGCGCACCCTTTTTCGTCCCAGAAACCCCGTACAGCGCAGAACTGCAGTTATTTCTTACCATCCCGTCATCCTGCTGTATCGATTCTCTGCTTGGTGGTTGGCTGTGGAAGCAAAGCGGAAAACAGAAGAGAAGGAGCAAACAGATCCAGTGGTTCTCAGTCTGTTCCCTTGGCGTATTCGTTGTCAAATACGCCTGCCGACACGGACACAGTCACCTCTGCAGCAATGATCACCATCTTCTCTCACTCATTACTCCGTACGGCCGCTCCGTCGCCACAGCGCTAACACCGCAGGGAATGTTCTGATTTTCCTGGTTTAATTGTTTTTTTCTGTCTTTCGAGTCCCTACGGAAATCGGATCGTTGCTCCTGGATCTACGCAAATCTTTCGATACACGCGGCAGATGCCCTCTCTTCTCTTCGCTCTGCGTCGGAATCTGTGCAGCTTTAACGCCATCGCGTTAGCGCTTCTCGCCTTCCAAAATGCTGGCTACATTGTACTTATGGGCTACGCGCAGCAGCTGCAAGAGGCGCCGCCAGTCGCGGGCCAACCACATAAAGAGCGGTTCTTCCCAACCCACTTTCTCGCCACGACGGAGTTTGTGAAGCTTGTCCTCTGTATGGTGTGGTGCATGGTGGACGTCCTAACGGAGATGCAGAAACGGAAGCAGGATGCTGCGGACGAAGAGTGCATTTTAGTAGAGGCAGAAGAACTGATTGCGGAAGCGAATGGTGCCTTTGACACCGGTTCCCATCCCGAGAAACGCGCCGTCGCCCATCACGATGGCGTAGACGCAGCAGAAGGCATGAGGAACCCCGTCTCCTCCACGAACCCTGTAGCGGCTTTTCCCGCGTCGCCCTCTAAGCCTGTCGTGTACGACGACTACCTCCGCTGCCGCCTCTTCGCCCACCCCACCTTTTCGGCACAGTTCGTTTCCCGCATGCGCCATGCCGTCGGCCTCGATGGCAACTACAAGGAGGCGCTGCTGATGGTGGTGCCGGCGGTACTGTACACCATCCAAGGGCTGCTGCTCATCTTGGCTCTGCAGCACCTGGACCCGACGGTGTTCCAGATCCTCTACCAGGTGCGCATCCTGTTCCTGGCGATGATGATGCGCGTCGTGTTGGATTTTCGGGTGTCGCCGGTCCGGTGGGCGGTGCTGATGGCATTGACGGTTGGCATCATCCTCGCGCAGCTCTCGATGCAGCGCCTGGATAAAGAAGAGGAGACGGAGCAAACTCACCGGTCGTGGTCGATTGAGGGTACGCTGGCCGCCCTCGCCGGCGCCCTCCTCAGCTCTTTTACCGGTGTCTTTACGGAGTACGTTTACAAGAAACGCGGCAACCACTTCGCACTCTCCGCTCGCAGCATTCACCTCGCCTTCTTCTCACTCGTGTACTTTTCTTTTGTCTTTGCGCGCGATATCTGGACGGCGGACGAGAAGTCGGACATGAGCAGCGGACTCGGCGGCTTCTTCGCGACCTTCTTTGACGGGTTTACGGGTCTGGTGTGGTTTCTTGTGGTGCTGCAGGCGATGGGCGGCATCCTTGTCGCGCTGGTTGTGCGCTACTGCGACAACATTGTAAAATCCTTCTCGACTGCCTTTGCCATTGTGCTGAGCGGCACGGCGTCGGTGTTTCTCTTTAATCTGCCGCTCGAGCCGATGTTCCTGCTGGGTTCCTTCCTCGTGATTAGCTCCATCACCGTGTACAGCGTGAAGAGGTGAGCGGAGTAACTGCTGTCGTTGTTTAATTAAACTTGTCGTCTTCTGTGTGGATTATGCATTCAGGCGTTTTGCCGTCTCCTCTTCATTCCATCGGTGTCGTGTGCGTTTCATGTCGCCGCGGCTTCGATTTTTCTTTGATACACATGTTGTTGAGGCACCGGTGTACTACGTTTGTTTCCAGCTGGTAGTGATGTATTTTCTTGGAGTGTATGTTTGCTATGGTTTGTGCGGCGCGGTACGCGCCGTGTGTTATCCGCATCGCGCTTCGTTCTACGTTTAACCAGCTTCGCTCCTGTCGAGGGCGGCATAATCTTTGCTGTGTATTTGCTATCTCACTCAAACGATGGACGTGCGCAATCATGTCCGTGCGTGTGTGTCGGCAAAAGCACAAAGAAAACGGAGAGGACGTTGCTTTGACGGTTCCGTGGGAAGGATGTGGGATGTGGGCGGCGCTCGTGCAGTCATCTCGGCCCTGTAAGAAGGCGCAAGGAGGGAAGGGGATGAGTAGATCCCTCCCTCTCTGTGTGTGTGTTTGTTTGTTTCTCCAAGACATCGCTGACAAGGATGAAAGAGAAACGTGTTCCCTGCTGTTGTTTATGTCAGCGTTCAAGCGACACCCCCCCCCCCTCTCCTTCTTCTTTTCTCTACTTGTCAGTTTTGTTGTGCTGTCGTGGACGAACTCCCTCCCATTTTTCGCACGTAATCGAAGCGCTTGAACTTTCCACTGCCCTCTCTCGTCGTTGTCGCTGCGCCGTTGAACGCCTACCCCCCTACCCCCTCTGCTGTGAGAGAAGCAAGCGCTATTCCTTTGTTCTTCCTTCTCTCCGCCTTTCGCTTTCGCATCCCTTTAGGCGCTGTGCGGTTGCGCATTCAAAAACGTCTTTTTGTAGGTGCTCTTGTTGCTGAGCGGTAGCAACGTACCTCCCTACCGCATGCATCCTCTACCGCCCTCCCTCCTCCTCTCTCTCTCCCTCAACCTCTCTCTTATGCAAATACCTCGACTTTCTTTCGTGCTGCATTTCGCGTTCGCAAGGCTTGGTTTCCAGAACTTACTGTTTTCGACACGCTCACACGCTCACACACACACAACACGTGCAGTGAAGCCCATCTGTTGAGCAGCGCTTCTGCCTCTTCGAGTTTCGCGCTTCCGTCAAACGGTTGGTTCCTATTGGGGCTCGGAAGCACCTTCTGGCACCTACATACAAGTTATGGGGCTTTCTTTCCCGCTCATCCGTTTTGGCATACCTTCTCTTTTTCTCTTCTGTTTTTTCTTTTCTCCACCAGGCTAACAATTCTTTCCGCACCGGGCTAATCCTGTGAAGAGAGGTATTCCGCTGCCTTCTGTTTGTTTGTTGGTTTGTTATTTTACGTTGCCTACTTCTTCCTATACTACCTGTCTAGTTTCGCAGGCTTTTCCCCTGTTTTTCGCTGTGTTTACCAACGCTATAGAAAGCTGGAAAAAAAAAGCATGGTGCTGTCTTCAAAGCTCGGGGTTGCGCGCGTGTTCTGCAGTTTCAATGTCATCTCCTTAGCGCTTCTCGCCTTCCAAAATGCTGGCTACATTGTACTTATGGGCTACGCGCAGCAGCTGCAGGACATGCGGCGGACAGCGGGTGAGCCTCCCGTAAAGCGTCTCGTCTCAACGCATTTTCTCGCCACGACGGAGTTTGCGAAGCTGTGCATGTCGATCGTGTGGTGCATGGTGGACGTGCTGCTCGAGATGCGGGTAGTGGAGCTGGAGGTGCTGCTCGATGACGTCGATGTGGATGCTGATCAGTGTCCAGAAGACAAGAACGCTATCTTTTTCGAAGGCGTAGACGCAGCAGAAGGCATGAGGAACCCCGTCTCCTCCACGAACCCTGTAGCGGCTTTTCCCGCGTCGCCCTCTAAGCCTGTCGTGTACGACGACTACCTCCGCTGCCGCCTCTTCGCCCACCCCACCTTTTCGGCACAGTTCGTTTCCCGCATGCGCCATGCCGTCGGCCTCGATGGCAACTACAAGGAGGCGCTGCTGATGGTGGTGCCGGCGGTACTGTACACCATCCAAGGGCTGCTGCTCATCTTGGCTCTGCAGCACCTGGACCCGACGGTGTTCCAGATCCTCTACCAGGTGCGCATCCTGTTCCTGGCGATGATGATGCGCGTCGTGTTGGATTTTCGGGTGTCGCCGGTCCGGTGGGCGGTGCTGATGGCATTGACGGTTGGCATCATCCTCGCGCAGCTCTCGATGCAGCGCCTGGATAAAGAAGAGGAGACGGAGCAAACTCACCGGTCGTGGTCGATTGAGGGTACGCTGGCCGCCCTCGCCGGCGCCCTCCTCAGCTCTTTTACCGGTGTCTTTACGGAGTACGTTTACAAGAAACGCGGCAACCACTTCGCACTCTCCGCTCGCAGCATTCACCTCGCCTTCTTCTCACTCGTGTACTTTTCTTTTGTCTTTGCGCGCGATATCTGGACGGCGGACGAGAAGTCGGACATGAGCAGCGGACTCGGCGGCTTCTTCGCGACCTTCTTTGACGGGTTTACGGGTCTGGTGTGGTTTCTTGTGGTGCTGCAGGCGATGGGCGGCATCCTTGTCGCGCTGGTTGTGCGCTACTGCGACAACATTGTAAAATCCTTCTCGACTGCCTTTGCCATTGTGCTGAGCGGCACGGCGTCGGTGTTTCTCTTTAATCTGCCGCTCGAGCCGATGTTCCTGCTGGGTTCCTTCCTCGTGATTAGCTCCATCACCGTGTACAGCGTGAAGAGGTGAGCGGAGTAACTGCTGTCGTTGTTTAATTAAACTTGTCGTCTTCTGTGTGGATTATGCATTCAGGCGTTTTGCCGTCTCCTCTTCATTCCATCGGTGTCGTGTGCGTTTCATGTCGCCGCGGCTTCGATTTTTCTTTGATACACATGTTGTTGAGGCACCGGTGTACTACGTTTGTTTCCAGCTGGTAGTGATGTATTTTCTTGGAGTGTATGTTTGCTATGGTTTGTGCGGCGCGGTACGCGCCGTGTGTTATCCGCATCGCGCTTCGTTCTACGTTTAACCAGCTTCGCTCCTGTCGAGGGCGGCATAATCTTTGCTGTGTATTTGCTATCTCACTCAAACGATGGACGTGCGCAATCATGTCCGTGCGTGTGTGTCGGCAAAAGCACAAAGAAAACGGAGAGGACGTTGCTTTGACGGTTCCGTGGGAAGGATGTGGGATGTGGGCGGCGCTCGTGCAGTCATCTCGGCCCTGTAAGAAGGCGCAAGGAGGGAAGGGGATGAGTAGATCCCTCCCTCTCTGTGTGTGTGTTTGTTTGTTTCTCCAAGACATCGCTGACAAGGATGAAAGAGAAACGTGTTCCCTGCTGTTGTTTATGTCAGCGTTCAAGCGACACCCCCCCCCCCTCTCCTTCTTCTTTTCTCTACTTGTCAGTTTTGTTGTGCTGTCGTGGACGAACTCCCTCCCATTTTTCGCACGTAATCGAAGCGCTTGAACTTTCCACTGCCCTCTCTCGTCGTTGTCGCTGCGCCGTTGAACGCCTACCCCCCTACCCCCTCTGCTGTGAGAGAAGCAAGCGCTATTCCTTTGTTCTTCCTTCTCTCCGCCTTTCGCTTTCGCATCCCTTTAGGCGCTGTGCGGTTGCGCATTCAAAAACGTCTTTTTGTAGGTGCTCTTGTTGCTGAGCGGTAGCAACGTACCTCCCTACCGCATGCATCCTCTACCGCCCTCCCTCCTCCTCTCTCTCTCCCTCAACCTCTCTCTTATGCAAATACCTCGACTTTCTTTCGTGCTGCATTTCGCGTTCGCAAGGCTTGGTTTCCAGAACTTACTGTTTTCGACACGCTCACACGCTCACACACACACAACACGTGCAGTGAAGCCCATCTGTTGAGCAGCGCTTCTGCCTCTTCGAGTTTCGCGCTTCCGTCAAACGGTTGGTTCCTATTGGGGCTCGGAAGCACCTTCTGGCACCTACATACAAGTTATGGGGCTTTCTTTCCCGCTCATCCGTTTTGGCATACCTTCTCTTTTTCTCTTCTGTTTTTTCTTTTCTCCACCAGGCTAACAATTCTTTCCGCACCGGGCTAATCCTGTGAAGAGAGGTATTCCGCTGCCTTCTGTTTGTTTGTTGGTTTGTTATTTTACGTTGCCTACTTCTTCCTATACTACCTGTCTAGTTTCGCAGGCTTTTCCCCTGTTTTTCGCTGTGTTTACCAACGCTATAGAAAGCTGGAAAAAAAAAGCATGGTGCTGTCTTCAAAGCTCGGGGTTGCGCGCGTGTTCTGCAGTTTCAATGTCATCTCCTTAGCGCTTCTCGCCTTCCAAAATGCTGGCTACATTGTACTTATGGGCTACGCGCAGCAGCTGCAGGACATGCGGCGGACAGCGGGTGAGCCTCCCGTAAAGCGTCTCGTCTCAACGCATTTTCTCGCCACGACGGAGTTTGCGAAGCTGTGCATGTCGATCGTGTGGTGCATGGTGGACGTGCTGCTCGAGATGCGGGTAGTGGAGCTGGAGGTGCTGCTCGATGACGTCGATGTGGATGCTGATCAGTGTCCAGAAGACAAGAACGCTATCTTTTTCGAAGGCGTAGACGCAGCAGAAGGCATGAGGAACCCCGTCTCCTCCACGAACCCTGTAGCGGCTTTTCCCGCGTCGCCCTCTAAGCCTGTCGTGTACGACGACTACCTCCGCTGCCGCCTCTTCGCCCACCCCACCTTTTCGGCACAGTTCGTTTCCCGCATGCGCCATGCCGTCGGCCTCGATGGCAACTACAAGGAGGCGCTGCTGATGGTGGTGCCGGCGGTACTGTACACCATCCAAGGGCTGCTGCTCATCTTGGCTCTGCAGCACCTGGACCCGACGGTGTTCCAGATCCTCTACCAGGTGCGCATCCTGTTCCTGGCGATGATGATGCGCGTCGTGTTGGATTTTCGGGTGTCGCCGGTCCGGTGGGCGGTGCTGATGGCATTGACGGTTGGCATCATCCTCGCGCAGCTCTCGATGCAGCGCCTGGATAAAGAAGAGGAGACGGAGCAAACTCACCGGTCGTGGTCGATTGAGGGTACGCTGGCCGCCCTCGCCGGCGCCCTCCTCAGCTCTTTTACCGGTGTCTTTACGGAGTACGTTTACAAGAAACGCGGCAACCACTTCGCACTCTCCGCTCGCAACATTCACCTCGCCTTCTTCTCGCTCGTGTACTTTTCTTTTGTCTTTGCGCGCGATATCTGGACGGCGGACGAGAAGTCGGACACGAGCAGCGGACTCGGCGGCTTCTTCGCGACCTTCTTTGACGGGTTTACGGGTCTGGTGTGGTTTCTTGTGGTGCTGCAGGCGATGGGCGGCATCCTTGTCGCGCTGGTTGTGCGCTACTGCGACAACATTGTAAAATCCTTCTCGACTGCCTTTGCCATTGTGCTGAGCGGCACGGCGTCGGTGTTTCTCTTTAATCTTCCGCTCGAGCCGATGTTCCTGCTGGGTTCCTTCCTCGTGATTAGCTCCATCACCGTGTACAGCGTGAAGAGGTGAGCACACACCTTTGTGGTCTAGCGTGGGTTCAGATTTATTTTATTGTTGTCGGTGACGACGACTTGTCGGGAATGGCGGGAGCCGCCTTGTGTGTTGCCTGCTCCGATAACGGGATTAAAGCAGGAGGCCATCTCTAGCAACTTATTGCTTTGTCGTGGTAAACCCTGTGAGAAAGGGGTGTGGCACGGCTTAAGCGATCGCCTTTGAAAAGTGAGCTTTTTTTCTGCGAGCGTGCGTCAGGAAGCATCCGCCGGGAGATGAATCGAAGACAACACGTTGTATACTTTCTCTTTCCCTTTCTCTCCCCTCCAGTCGACCTCTCTCCAGGAAAGGCTGTTTTCTGTTTTGCCGCCGCCCCGCCTCCTTTTCTTCCAACCCCACGAGGTGGAAATGCCGACGCTCTGAGTCCGCGAGAAACTCCCTTTCGTAAAGTTCTCATTGGTTCGATCTTTAAATAATAGAAACGCCGCGAGCCCTTGATGAAAAGTCAAAGAGAAAACAGTTCAGGGGATGCGACGATGCTTGCTTACACGTTGCTTGCTTTCCCTTTTCCTTCGTCCTTCTTATTCTTGCTTTTTTTTCATTCCTTCCAGGGTAGAGAGAGAAGTCGACCAGGGTTTTTTTTATTATTGGAGCTTGCGAACTGAGTGACCTAGCCTGGGACCCGTCCATCCGATCTCTCTCTCTCCTTTCCTTTTCTCTCTCCTCCTCCACTGCTAGTATTCAGCAGTTATGCATTTTTTGTTGTTGTTGTTTTCTGCTACACCCACCCGACCCTGAATTCCTCCGCCCACCCAGCGGGGAAGCGTAAGGCGGGCTACACCCCCTCCGTAAAGTGTGTTGAATAGGTTTGTTTTGTGTTGGTATTTGGATGTATTCATGAATAAGTAAAGTGTGTTGTATAAACTGAGAAAGCAGCGTTTTTGTGTTAATGGTGAGGCATAGGTCTGTGCCTTTTCCGGTGCGATGGTATTTTGTAAGGTGGAGGTTTTCCTCTCATCATGGTCGCCACTTTGCTCACGTACGTATTATTTATCTTATGTTTTATTGTCACTATATGTATTCTTGACGTGCGTGTGTGTGTCTGTGTGTGTGAGCGATCATCAAAATGCATGCGTGTGTTTTTGTTTTCTATTGACTCTTGCGTTGTCCAAAGTCACGTGTTGTTCTTTCGGTTTCACTGTAGTGCGCATTTGGCTGTTCACTTTTCTTTACATCTTCTACTTGTTTCTAAACTCATCAAGGAGGATTTCATCAACTCGTTTTATTCGGTTGTCTTTGTTCTAATGTCGTTGCTGATTTGAATGCCTCTTTAAACAAAGCGAACCCTCAACGCAACGAAGGAAGCTGCCCAGCGGGTTTGTTCTGGCTTTCTTGTTCTTGCATTACATCGATAAGATGCCCACAAGGAAAGGTGATCGAAAGATCAAGATAGAAGCTGAGCGTGTTTGTGCGTTGTCGGAACGTGTGCATATGTTCTGCTCATTGAAATGACTGCAACCTGCTTTGCACGAAACGACAATGTAGCGCAATCACCAAGGTGCTTTGTAGCCTTCTGTGAAAGGTTCGTATTCCCCACACGTGCTGATGGGGGAGCGTGGTGGAAGAAGAGCGGCTATTCTCTGTGCACGAAACAAGTGGTTTTGTTTTCTCTCTCCTGATGGAGAGTGGGGGAGTGGCGGCATGATCTGGCTATGTATTCACGCAAACAGCAAAGACAAACATCAGAAGTGCTTTCCGGTGGCACATCTTCTCCTACGAGGCCCTCTGTGTGCAGGCTTTCATACGCGGGTGCGTACGAAGTGCCTTTTGGAGGGGAAAGGGGGGAATAACGAAGACACGCGACGGCAGTGGCGACGGCCAAGTCGACCCGCACCCTCTTTCCAACGCCACACGTTTTCCGTGATGGCATGTGCGCTTCGTTGCATTTCTCTCCTCTTTCGCAAGATTTTCCCTTGCTGGGGCGGTGGTACACGAGCCGTGTCGTTTTGGCACGCCCTATTGTCCCCCTACTATGCCTTTTTTTTTTGATCCTCTTCTTCTGCCTCCCTCTGTCTTTGGATTCTTCTCCCTCGAGCACGATTCCTTCTGCGGTCCTTCAAAAGAAACAACACACACACTTATTTCTCCGTAACGGGACACAACGATATTCTCCTCGGCCTCTTCGTCTTATCTCGATTCTTCTTCTGTTTTGTTTTCTCATTTTTCTTTGCGTCGGTGTGGGTACTGCATGCGGGGCGTCCTTTGTCGTCTTCGCTCTCTCTCGTATATGCTTGCGCCGTTCATGTATCCCAATTAGTATCCGCGGCGCCATTTTATTCCGCTTACTTCCTTTGCTGATCCGCTGTAACGCCAGTCCACTTCTTGATTGTTTGTCTGTTTTTCGTGGTGAACATCTCCCTGCTTTCTTCCAACTGTTTTCTCCTGTTACCGGGTTTTTTCTTCCTTTTCTTTTCCTCACGGGCCGCGACGAGAGGACGCAAATTTGGCGGACATCTTTGCTGCTCGAGGTCCTTCTTGGTATCGTATTTATCTATTCGCTTCGCTTTTGCGCGACTGCTGCTGTTGTCGCCCGGTGCTCCTCCCGCAGCGTTCTCTTCTTAATACCAGCAGTTGTTGTTTTTTCCTTTGCTGAAAGCTATCTCGCCGCCGCGCCGCGTTTTTTCTTTAGTTTTTCTCCTGGAGGGATCACACACACAAACACACACACATCGCGATTGGAGCTTGCGAATAGAATGACCTAGCCTGAAGAATTATTCATCCTACCTCTCTCTTTTCCCCTTTTCTTGTATTCTCTTTCTCAACTGCTAGAATTCAGCAGTTCTTCCATCTTTTAGTTTTTCCCACCCGCCCAACCCTGAACTCCCCGCCCACCCAGCGGGGAAGCGTAAGGCGGGCTACCCACTTCGTAGAGTCTGTTGAATAGTTTGTTTTCTTTGCATGTATTTAACTATTGATATTTACAGTGTGTTGTAAAACCAAGAAAGATAAATTCATGTAATTCTCATGTAAAGGTTTGACCTGTTGGTAGGTGATGATTTGTAGGGTGTAGGTTAATCCCGTTGCAAACAGCACGACAGCACGAGTCTTTTCTGTCTCGAACTGCTTTGTACTTCTTGTGCTGTTGATTTCTCTGTCGACTTCTTCTTCCGGCGCCGCTTTCCCTTTTTCTCTTGTGCATCACTTAGCGACGTCAACGAACTTATATTCAGAAAGAGAAGGCACACGTTTTTGTTGTCATGTTTCGTCAATTGAGCAGCACTGCCTTACCCGGCGCTGCCTCCGGTTTGGGCGTGATGTCGCTGTGCAGTACGCCGCTGCACACGGCGCGGTGCCACGCCTCGACGGCATACTTCGCGGCTGTCCCGCGTGCGCCGCCGGATGCCATTATGGGCATCGCGGCGGACTTCGCGAAGGACACGAACCCCAACAAGGTGAACCTGTGCATCGGCGTGTTCCGCGATGAGCACAACAAGCCGTACATACTCAAGTCCGTCCGTACCGCCATGGTGACGGTGGCGGAGCGCGACATGCAGATGGACTACGCCCCCATCGCCGGTCTGCCGTCGTTTGTGAACAGCATGCAGGCGCTCTGCTTTGGGAAGTCCGTGATGGACGTGCAAGGCGACCGCATTGCCTCGGCGCAGACCCTCAGCGGGACTGGGGCCCTACACCTTGGTCTGGAGCTGCTGCAGCGCTACGCAGACTCCACCCGGCCCTTCACCGTGCACATCTCCTCTCCGTCCTACACGAACCACTACAACATCCTGCAGCACCTGAAGATCAACTACCAGCACTATCCCTACTACAACATGCAGACCCACCGACTGGACATCGATGCAATGCTGAACTACTTCCGCCAGCTGCCCCCGCAATCCGTTGTGCTGCTGCACGCCTGCGCGCACAACCCCACCGGCTGTGACCCGACGCCGGACGAGTGGGAGAAGATCATCGACGTCGTGCGCCGCGGTGACCTGATTCCCTTCATCGACATGGCCTACCAAGGCTTCGCCACCGGCGACCTTGAACGCGATGCCTATGCGGTGCGCGCCGTGAACCGCCACGACGTGCCGACGTACCTCGTGTCCCAGTCCCTGGCGAAGAGCTTCGGTCTCTACGGGCAGCGCACCGGTGCCCTGCACATTCGCTGCACCACGCAGAAGGAGAAGGCAAACGTGCTGACGCAGCTGCAGTCGACGGCGCGGGCGACGTACAGCAACCCTCCTATCTTCGGAGCCCGTGTTGCGGATGAGGTGCTGCGCACACCGCACCTGCGCGAGCAGTGGAAGACGGAGTTGCTCGAGATGGCGCAGCGGCTGGAGGGCGCACGGCACCGCCTCGTAGCGCAGCTGCGCGCCTGCGGCTCGACGCGCGACTGGGAGTTTCTCGAGAAGGGCGTCGGCATGATGTCGCTGACCGGCTTGACAGAGGCGCAGGTGATTCGGTTACAGGAGAAGTACAGCGTCTACCTGAACCACAATGGCCGCCTCGCCTTTTCAGGCTTGAACATTGAGAATGTGGCGTACACCGCGCAGGCGATCCACGACATTGTGTCGCACTAGCGGCCCCAGCGAACGATACCCAGACACACACATGCACACGCACACATCACGAGCGGGACTACGATGTGCATTAACATTCGTGGCGCGTAGTTCGTGTTGTGAACCGTTGATTGGTTTTACGTTTCTATGGTTGTTCTTTTCAGGGGAAAGGTTGTTGGGAAAGATGAAGACGAGGGCATTGATAAACTTCCATGTAGCATTTTTAGTAGGAAGCAAAGAGATGACGAAGCGAGCTTGCCGTCCACCGCGTTGACTGTGCTCCTTCTCTCGTATTTGGGCATCACCGTAAGTGTTGTGTTCCGTGCTATCGCTCTTCCTGTTTTCCCTCCAATACACACCGGACTTTTCTTTTCTTTCATTTCTTTGTTTTTTTTTTCCCACGGGTGGACAAATACGTGCGTGTGTTTCGTGGCGGTGTGCGGGTGTGTCTGCTTCGTCTACGCAGTAGCTGGTTCTACTGTCAACCCATGCGAGCGTTCTAAGAGAAAACAAACAAAACCAAGACTATTACTATTACTTCCATTGTCCCATATTTTCTACTTCCCCTTTATTTATTGCATGTGCCAGAAAATGAGCTCCTCAGGCGCATTTCTTTTTATTTTGTCAAATTTCTTCGCCGCGTTTGTGTGTGTGTGTGTGTGTGTTTGTCGGTACCGCACGCATCGACGTGGCAGCGCACCTACGCCTCGTGGCAGCGAGTAGGTTGGGGTGCACGGTACAATAGCGGCTGTCTGTCAGTAGAACGTACTACGCAGCAACGAAGTCGGTGGCTGAGGGTGGGAGGGGGGGGGGGATGCTCACGAAACGGGGTTTTAATAATCTTGTACCACATGTGTCATAGGCGTAGGCCCCATCCCCCTAAGTAAAAAGAAGAACGAGAAGGGGCTGCGATTTTATGCTCCTCCTCAGCAACCTCCACCAAGGCGCACGTACGTGTATCGACTTCGCCGTCGCTGCCGTTCATCCCACCCAGTACGTTTTCTAAGGACCACTTCTCTCTCTCTCTCTTTCTCTCTCTCACTCCTTCGAACTTTCTTGTCTTCTCACCTTCGTACCATGTGCATCCACAATCGCGTGTATTCCCGCGTTCCATCTCGCAAGGGCGGTGAGCGCGCATTGAGAAGACGGGTTCCCTCCCCCCATACAAACACACGCAAACCTGGATGCAATTAGCATCCTCCGTGTCAACCCCCACGCACGGACGTCGACGACTGCGATTTCGCTGCGTACGCATTTTCTCTTTCTTGTTAGATACACACATATATATTGTCCGTTGTTATTTATAATACCGCAGACGCACGCGCGAATGCTCTCCGGCGGCACCAACGCGGCTGCGGCTTCATCGTCCTCCTTTGACCGGTGGCTGAAGAGGGCGCAGCGCAAAAGAAATCCCGCGCTTGGTGGCCTCCCCGGCGACTACCGCAATCACGGCGGTGACTACCACGCCGATCCACGTGGGATGAGGCTGAGTCCTTCTCCCCGGTCATCGCGTCAGAGTCCGTCACACCCGCCGGCCGCATCTTCGTCGTCGGGGCTTTACGCACCGCGGCCTCAAAGCCGGCTGGAGGAGCTGGAAGGGCTCCTCTTCACTCAAAGCCATTTTGATCGTCATCACCGCTCTCCAGGGAACGAAAGCCAATCACAGCTGGACGAGTATCAGTACACCGAAGTGAGCGACCGACCGTGTCAGCTTCCACCGACTCAGCGTTCTTTGCGTCTGCCCGTAAGTGAGGCGGATCTTTCCTCGATCGCGGGCGGTGGTGGTCGCCGGCCTTCGGTCAACGAACCGTTCGGCTGGGACCACGAGCTTGGCGACGCGAACCCGTTTCTGACCGGCTACAGCGAGGCAGAGCGGTACATCGTGTGTTTGGAGGAAGAGGTGCAGACCCTGACGATTGAGAGCGGGGAAAAAGATCGCCTGTTGTTTGCTACAGCAGCCGGGCGTGACTCGATGGCCCTGCAACTTGAAGAGATGCGTCGGCGAGGGGAGCTGGAGCGCGACGAGCACGTGGCCGTGCACACCATCACGTACAGCTTTATGCGAACTCTTTCCTTTCTCCGAATCTTGGAGGAGCGCAGCCGAGCCATGGAGCTCAACACACAGATATCCGCGCTGAAGCACGAGCTGAAGCTGGCCGACATGATGCGGCAAGAGGCACACGCAACGGCGACCATCACCGCGGCCTCGAGCGCGGCCACGCAGGAGTATCAGCGAAGATTGGAGGAACAGCAGTTGGCGCAATCGGTGACGGCCACTGTCCGCAGTCTTCTGCAGCAGGAGTACGCGCGACTTGCGGATGTGATGTCGGAGATGCCGCGCAAGATGCAGGCCATCCTCGACGAGCAGCAGACCAAAACAAAGAAGGAGACGGCGGTGGCGGCGACAACGGCAGGCGCGCTCGTAGCGTCCGCCCTCGCCGCCGCCAGTGCAGCAACGCAGCAGGAAACGCACAACCAGACGACGTCGAAAGGGCAGGACGCCGATCACAGTGCAGGCGATACCGGCGTGGTGCCTTCACAGACGGCGAATGCGCTCCGCTTTCCCGACTGGGCTCGCCTTCTCGGTCTTGTCAGCCGCGTCCACCACTACCAGGAAACGGTCTCGGATCTCTACTGTGATGCCGTGGACGCGAAGTCCAGTTTGGTGCAGTACGAGATGAACCTGGTGCGGCTCATCTACGAGAAGCAGGCCTCCCTAACGTGGGCCTCGTTGTATGAAGAGAAGAAAAGTGAGGTGCGACACCTGAAGGAGAAGTTGATGGAGCTGCGCGGCGAGTTGCGGGCGGCGACGAGCACCGCGACGACTGGGGTCAGTCCCCGTGACGTGAACGGTGTGGGCAGCTTCGCCGGCAGTGCAAGTTCGCAAAGCTACGAGGCCTACGCCGCCCCCTACGTGCCTCTGAAAACGAAGTCCTCAACGAATTCCATCGAAAAGGTTGCCGCGGCCGGCGGTACGGGAAGAGCCGGTGTTGGCGGTGGCAGCGCCGTACCGACACGCGTCCCGTTCGTCACGAAGCCCATCGCCGAGCTGCGCGAGGAGGCGCGCCGACTCGGTGCACACCCCGCCGTGCACTACCCACAGCCCGTCACGAGTCCCTCGCCGTCGATGCCGTCTCTCTTCCGGAGCCGCACACCGGTGGAGGTGGAGGAGACGGTGCTGAGGCAGCGCTCACCCGACTGCAACGGCTCGCCGCACACGGCCTGCGATCGGCACTCCACGCCTGCGGTGAAGAGCCCTGTCGTGGCACTCATTCGCGCCTTCGCGCCACGCAGTGGAAGTCGAAGTTCATCGCCGGCGACTTCGTCAGCGTCGTCTGCGTTTTCTTCCCCCGCTGCACCCGCGAAGAGAGCAGGAGTGCCGCCGGCGGTGCACTCGGAGATGTCGGCGGTGAAGGACACGCGGGCTGCCGCACACGGCAAACGCAAAGACACACGCGCGGATGAAAAGAAGACACGTAAGAGAACGACACACGCGTCGTCTCCCCCGCTTATCTCCTCCGCATCCATGTCCTCCTCCGTGCTGTCGGATGATCAGCCTGCGACCCCCGTACCGGCGCCTCGCGGAACAACGATCAAGATGCCCGACCTGCAGCGCACCACCATCACCACCACCGGTTCTTCCGCCTCTTCCCTTAGCTCCCACAGCTCCGTCTCCGTCAAACGACCATCCCTTGGCAATGTTGTGGCAGTGCCGCGTCCAACGGTATCTTCTGCCACGTCGAAGATAGTAGAAGTCGTTGTACCACCACCACCAGCGGCAGCAGCAGCGCAGGCGGTGCACAACTCTTTTGATGATGACAACGATAGTGAGGAAGACGCGCCCGTTGTGGCGGAGAAGGCGGCTGCAACGGCGATACAGCAACAGCAGCAAAGGTTGCTCGTGAAGACCGCGCCATCCGCCGCCACCGCCGCCGCTGCTGCTGCTGCTCCCCGCACGTCTCCCCACATGAACGCAGCGTCCTCAAAGGTGGATCCGACACAGTGCTCGGACGTCAAGCAGCCCACCGTGCAGGTCAAACGCATCTCAATTGATGAGACGATGCGGGCCATCGAACAAGCCAGAAGGGGAAGCGCGGAGAGCGACGAGGACGACACGTCTTCGCTGTCGCTGAGCATCACCACGGCCTCCTCCAGTCCCCCTCCGCGTCCTGCTGCAAAAAAAGCGGGGGCGGCCGTGAAGCCGGCGAGTAGAAAAGCTACGACGGTGGTGCTCACGCGGAAGTCGAGCCACCCGCGTAAATCTTCGTTTGACGATGATGACGAAGACGATGGCGCAAGCAGCGGAGGCAGCACACCCCTCGCATCCAATGTACAGAGCACGCCTGCGGTGGGGAAGTCCACCGTGCCTGCACTCTCGATGGCTACTTCGCCGACTCGCGCGGTGCCAGTGGCCGTTTCTGCCTCGGCCGCCTCAAAGAAACCACAAAGACTGAAGTTCCCAACGTGGTAGGAGTGTGTGTGTGTGTGTGTGTGTGTGTGTGTGTGTCGTGAAGGATGCCGAACTGATGCGTGGGAAGACGCATTTTGTTTTTAGAGCAGGCGTCGTTGTCTCTGTCGTCTGATTGCTTTCTTTTCTTCCTTTGAAGGTGCGTGCGTCAACCTTCATCTTGCTTCGTCGTTGCACGTTTTGTGTGCCACCTTCAACGAACTTCCATCGAGCCGGACGAGGAACTCTCTAGAATAACGGCTGTGGGTCTTGGGGGGTGTAGAGTTCACACTCATTCTGGTATTTTCTTTTGTTTCCTCTACGGCTCTATCAGGCGCAGCGTCAATGGACGTCAACATCTTTGCCGTGTTGGTGCTTCGCGGCCTTCTTCCGCCACTCGTTTCTGTTACCGTTATTATTTTTCCTGTTTTCACCTGAAGACGTCTCTTTTTATTGCCTTCATTTCTTCTGTCTTGTCTGTTAGGTGAGGCTGCTCACCCACGTTGCCGGCTGTCCGTGGCCACTGCCGCTGCCGCTGTTTAACTTTCCGGCGGGAGATACCGCCACGACAGTTGAGGGAAAATATGCACACCCACACACACACACACACATGCATGTGATACGTTGACGTATGGAGAAGGTGGAGGATCTAAAAGCAGGGAAGCGCGCTGCTTTGCCTCGGCGGCTGCGCAGTGTCGAATCGTTGTTGATCCGAGTCACTTCATCCTCAAACACACACACGCGCCTTTTGCAGGCGCATGTGAGCCTCTATTATTATGCACACATGTGAATAGTATGCTCGCTAACATATGGGTGTCAAACTGCTGCCATCTCACACCGTTCTCCTCTCCAATCCACACTGCCTCTTTGTTGTCTCGTTGCTGTTGTTTCTAACAAATGAATGAATCGTGAAAGCGGATTGCACCACCGAAAGCAGCGACGACACGTAGCCTGGCACATCGGATTTTCCTCTGCTAATAATAATTGTCATACAGTCCGCACTAGCCTTGCCAGTGCGGTTTAAATTACGTTGGGAGGAGAGGTCTCATTCATGCTTTGCAATATAACCCGCGGCACACACCCGCATTCACACAAAAAGCCTTATATATATATATATATATATATATATATATTTCCCTCTAGCCTTCTCGCGACTCGAGAAGCTGTCGATCCTGTGCAACCCGAACACAAGAGTTGTGCTCCACTCAGCAGCGAATAGCACCTATTCATTAGCTGCGCGCCATCACTTCCGATCCATTTTTTTTCTTTCATCTTTTTGCTGTTGGTGAATCACAAATGGACCAACCACTGCATCTCCGCCTCGCGAAAACGGTCCTGCTCTCCGGCATCTTGCTCATGTATGTGGCGTACGACACGGGGTTTCGCCTGTGGATGGCGCAGAGCGACGTCAGAGTGCTGAACGCTGCCATTGTACGGGACACGACTGCCCTGAACGTACGCGGTGAGGGTGGCTTGACGTTTGAGGCGGCCACTGAGGTAGCGTCAACGCCTTCCTTGCAGATTTACCTTCGCCAGAACTATCGCTGGCCAAGTGCGAGGCCTTCTACCGCGGCCAGTGGCGATGAGCAGGGCGGCGACACCGACAAGGACATCGCCAATCACCGCGGGTATGGCGCGGGGTCGACGGCGGCGGACGTGGGCGCCTCTTACTCTCCAAACAGCGCCGCAGCCCTCTCCGATTTCCCCATGGCGGCAGTGGTGGTGGAGAGCACGTGGCTGTCGCCCGACCAGGCCGCCGTCTCCGCCCCCTACGCGCAACGGTTGTTGGAAGGCTTTCGATACGCGCTCCTCACCGGGTCACCGTGGTTGTTGTTGGCCGGCTCGGCAGAAGAAACTGCATTGGGCTTGCAGTACCTACGCCGCCTGTCGCAGCCTGCAGAAACGCTCTTTGGCATGACGGCGCTTGCCGGTTGGCCGTCGGAGCTGACGCGAGTGGCGGAGTCTATTCGAGCGTCCATGGCGCCGTACGCTACCTTGGGGGCGTGGATGCACGGGGCACCCTCGAAGCCCATTCCGTCCTTTGACAGCTCCGCCCTTCCTGCTGTGTCGCCTTCGGCGTTGCTGCGGCGCCTTGCGCTCTCGCACGATGATTCTTCCGCAGCGCTGCGCTCCTCCTTGCATCACCTCCTCTCGGTGAGTGCGCTGGCGCGCGCTGAGGGCGGCACCCAGCACCGCCGACCGTCGGCGCTGATCCTGGGTGCAGAGTGGCTGCGTCGCAGTGATGCCGCCCTTCTTCGCCTCAGCGGCAGCGGCAATGTTGATGATGGTGGTAGTGGTTTTGCTGTCACAGAGGCAGAGGTGAAGAGGCCACGTGTGACGGTGTTCGCCACAAGCGATACGTACAGCAGCAGCAGTGACGACGTTTCGTGGGAGTCTCCGCGGATGTGGGAATGGCCCGTCAACGGCACTCAGTCGCAGCGGGTGCACCTCACCCTTCCAGGGATTGTCGCCATCGCCGTCCCCGACGCTAACAAACGCGCCCGCTTCGCTGCAAAAGCGCTGCAGCAGCTTCTGGAGAAGACATTGCTGCGACGTCACGCACGACGTGCAGAAGCGCCGCGCATCACCGCCAGGTCTGTCCATGAGGGCTGGGAGTGGTGGTGGCTGGGTCGCTCGTACGGGGTAACGGTGGTGGGCGGCGGGTGGGAGCAGCAACGCGTACGACTGCTCTACACCAAGGCCCTCCGCGAAGCTGCCGCTGAGACGCACGAGGGCCTTCGCCAGGCGGTCCAAGACGTCCACCGGGCCCGTTGCCGCTTCGAGAGCGGTAGTGGTGCGTCGTCTCCGCTTTGCGCTGGCGCGCGGCGTAGCCGGCTGCCCACCTCTGCCCTCCCTTTCACCGCAGCGGTGCCGAGCCCGCCGAAGGTGTTTGTGCTGCCTCCGGGCGCGGAGGACACGCAGACGCCGGAGCCGCAGCCGGAGTGGCTGAACTACACGGGCGAGCTGCCGCTGTCGGTGAACGCGGACGCCTCCTATGCTGCGCGGGTCATTGGACGATGGAGCTACTTTATTTACGTGAACTACCGTCGTTGGATGGACTGGTTCCTCGCCTCCTTGCCCGGCGGGGCCTACCAAGATCACTTCGTGCTCGCCTCGGTGCTCATGTCAGACCTCGCGGATCATCGAATTAGCTGGCGAGACGTACTCTACCTTCGGTAAGCACGCACATCAGGAGAAACGACTACGATGCACGATGTTTGCTGTCGATCGCGGAAGGGAAGAGCAATTCTACAAATCGAAACGGGCGGCATCAGCGGGGAAGAGGCGACGCACTGCGTTGGAGGTGGAGGGCAACCGCCCGCGCTGCATGGGTGCGACGTTCAGCTACGGAGGTTCAACCCTCAGGCCGAAGGCTGGATGACAGGGATGGTTGTTGCGTGGTTTTTCTAGTTGCTCGTGGGGGTTTTTGTCTTGCTTTGCTTTCCTCGTCTTTTGAACCGCTTTACAAGTCGCTGCCTTCACTCAACATCAAAGCAGTTTCCCACCCCCTCCCCCACCCCCAGCCCCTCTACCTTCAACGGCGCTGCATCAGCGAGGTTGACTTGACACGGAGCAGCGTCGTGGGCAGAAAACGCACAATGTAGAACTGGTCGGCCGGTGACAAACGTTTTCATTCACTATCGCCAAGTGACGTCTCCATGATGGTGCCTTCCCAGAGGAGGAAGGGGATTCGACAGGATCCGTGAAACGGCGGACGAAGTACATGCATGCGCTTCGTTGTTTATCCTTTCGCCGATGTCACTGGTGGGACGGATGACGTGTTCGTCGTTCTCTCCTCCTTGCTCAGCACCGTTGCTTCTTTTGTCTTTTTACGCCTTCCTCCCCTCCCCTCCTCTCTCCCCTGCATTTTCCTTTCTGCATGGTATTTGCGTGGTCAGCACCTCACCACGCGTCTTCACTGCGTTTTTCTTTTTCTTTGCTCGTTAGGGATTGGGCTACACAGCCGATAAAGAAACCCCTCTCATTCATTGTGGATACATCGACGAGGCCCCTTCTCTTTCCGTTTGTTCTTGTCTGTTTGTTTTCAACTGTGCATCACCGCGAAGACTTGCACCGCCCAGACCTCTTTTTTTTCCTTTTCTCTGCCACTCCCGTTGCCGCGCAGCTCTGTCGCGTAGCGCTTACCGATTCGCACTTCTTTGCTGTACGTTGACGGCCGGGGACTGTTGTTTTGTTCTGCGCTCTTTCACAGCCACCACGTCGTCTACATCCACAACATCAAAGAAAAGAGAAAAGAAAAGAAAATACTGTACGCAAGCTCCTCACACAACTCTTAGAAGCGAACTCGTTGTACGCATTAAATGATCTGCGCGTCTGGGGGCACAAAAGCTAAGGAAAGCAGAACAACGTCAGCGCTGCACATGGAGGCTGCTGTCACGGCCACTAAAAACAGCGGCAACGCGAAGTTCGCGGCTGGTGACGTTGCCGGTGCCATCGAAGAATACCGCGCAGGCATTCGTCAAATCGAAGCCACAGATAGCTCGGCGGCAGTGTCCGTCGAGTTGAACGCGCTGCACAGCCTCTTGTACTCAAACATGTCGAACGCCTATTTGAGCTGTAACCAGTTCCGCAGCAGCTGGAAGGCGGCCGCGACGGCAACGAAGATCGATCCCACCGCGTGGAAGCCGTGGCTGCGCTTCATCGAAGCCCGTCGGCGTGACGGCTTCCCATTCGACGCCCTCGTGCACTCCCTGCGCTACCTCCGTCCTCTTCTTCGGAAAGAGAAGGAGCTGAAGCGGGTGACTGCGACTGAGGCGGCCGCCACGCTGAGTACCGTGGAGGAGCCGCTGTGCGACGAGCTCGGCCTTCTCCGGCTGTCACCCGATATTGAGCTGGTGGAGTACGCCGGAGGTGTGGCGATGATAAGTCGGCGTGCGTTTCAACCGATGGAGGCGGTCTTTATCGAGAAAAAGTACTCCCGGACAGACTTTGAGGAGAAGGGTTTAATGGCGCAGCCGGACCTGACGACGGAGTCGATTGTCGGCTACTTTGCGGAGAGGCTGCGTCCGGAGCAGGTGGCGATGAGTGCTCGTTGGACCGCATTTAAGAAGGACTTCACCGGCGCCTGGCCGCGCTCCGATGAAGAGATCGACGCCGACACGCGTGAGACCATCGGGAGCTACCTGCGCGCACGCTTTCCGGATGTACCCGAGCCCGCCTTCCGCGAACTGCTGGGCATCTCGTTGATGTGCCGCTACAACTGCTTCCACTCCGGCTTCTTCCGCACGTGCGCTTTAGCGAACCACAGCTGCCACGCGAACATCGCCATGAAGTACAGCAGCGCCGACGAGACGGTGAAGATGATCGCGGTGGACGCCATCCAGCCCGGTGAGCTGATGAACGTGAAGTACCTGAGCGACGCACACTTCGTCTTGGGCGTCGGGAGGCGGCGGGAGCTGCTGCGGTCGTGGCTGTTTTGGTGTCAGTGTGACCGGTGCCTGCTCGACAGTGCGCCGACCGCCATCTCGGAGTTCGTGCAGTGCCCGTCCTGTCAGGCGTACTCGCACTCCGCGCTGATGGGCGTGAACGCCGCGGGCGACCCACTTTTGCAAGCGAAGGAGCCGTGTCGCGTGTGCGGGGCACCGATTGCGTGGACAGACCAGCAGCGCTCCCTGTTGCAGGAGGAGCTTATGCACTCCTTCACGGACAGCACCTCGTTTCGCACCGCGACGGATCTTGCGGCGTGGATGCGGGAGCAGCTGGTGCTGACTGAGCGACTGCAGCTGCACCCGGAGCACTGGGTCTATCGGGTGCTGCTGTACTTTCTGGCCGTGGGCCTGACGGGGATGGTGAACCTTGTGCTGGACGAGCTGAGTGAGCCGCGTCTCTCGCAGTCGATCCTGGTGGACATCAAGAGTCTCTTTGGCCCCTGTGGATTGCAGGAGTTCTATCTGCCGCGCTGCGCTGCGGTTCGTGACGACGACGCCATCGCCGGCACTGTCAGCCGGGATGCGTTGGTGCAAACAAGCCCCGAACAGGGCGGCGGCTGCGAGGCGCTAAAGGCGTTGGTCATTCTCTGTCGGCTTCTTTTCCCTTACTACCCCGTGAATGAGATGTGGTCCATACACGACGCCATCTGCAAGATGGTCCTTCTGCACCTCATCTACCCGACGCCGTCCGCGACACTGAGCCCCGCCTTCGCGATGGAGCTCCTCCAGCAACACGGCCGCTACGTCGGCGAGACGCACAACGCGAAGTGGCTGCATCGCTACAGCATGCACAAGACTGCTTTCAACGCGAAGGAGCCGCTGGCGTTGGCGAAGATCAAAAAGCACTGAAAGCCACCTAATCGAAAACGAGAATCCTGCATTTGTTTTCTTCTGCTTGGCTTCTGTTTGGTTTGCTTGGGTGTGTTGTTGTTGCCATTCTTGCCCGTAAAAGCGACGGTGTTTTTCCCTCCCTCCCGCATGCGCGTTGTGGGGCTGCTCGCTTCACGTCACGCGTACGCACACGCTGCAAACACGTTAAAAAGACAAAACAAAAATCGGCAAGGAAGACAGCCATTAACCGGCGCTGAGCGCCCCACATAATCTGGCCGCTTCAGGCACACTCTCTTGCGATGCTCTTTCCTACCCCTATCCCGCAACTTGCAATCCTTGAGTGGGTAGCGGTGATGTCCTTTTGTTGTTCGATGTGGTGCTCGCTGTTGCTTCGTTCATCTTCACTCCTTTGATTCTCTTTTTCTCTTTCCTCCCTCTATCTCATGACGGCCCGGCGCTGCTCGTCTCTCGCGCTGTAGCAGCAACTCACCTCATCTTTCTCTTTGCGCGTGTGTGTGTTATTGGGGAGGTAGCGTCGTTGTACGCCGGCATTTCTGAAAAGGCGGCGAAGTCGCTTCTGTTTTGTTGCCATTATCATTTCACAGGATCTTATTATTCTCTTAGAGCAACGCGCAGACACACACCTGTGAGACGCGTGCTATACTCTCATTGTCTTACTATCTTTTTCTGGCTTCGTTGGTGGTTCTTCTCTGCCTTTTCCTTCATCCTGATGGCCGCCTCTCCATCTCTGCTTATTTTCCTCAACGGTGATGTTGGCATGGAGCGGCCGTACCGCACCGCGCTGCCGGCCAGCGTTGACACCCTAGCGGAGCTTTGTCAGTTCCTCACGTCGCGCATCCCACCCCGCCCGGGCGAGGACGCCGTCGGCCGCGGCTACCGCTTCCTCTACTCCGTGTTCGGCAAGCCGCTCTGGCGCGTGAAGGAGTGCGTGGAGGCAGGCACCATCGTCCTCAGCGTCGGACCGGGCTTTCTCGCGCGGCGACCCGCGGCAATTACGGACAACGCATCCGCTACTGCCTCTCCAGCCCCTGCGGCAGCGGCAGCCGCAGCCGCAACGACAAGTGTAGTGGATTTGGCCACGCCGGATCGTCTGGCGGCGACACCCACCGGCGGTGACAACACGCACCCCGACAGCAACAACGGCTTTCTGCTCGACGCCTCCCCCGCCGCGTCCCCGCCCGTCAAACTCTCGGTCGAGGACAACGCATACCGGCCACCGCCAGCCTTTTCGAGCACGGCAGCGGCAGCGCATTTCTCCACTGCGAGCGGGCGCGGCAGCACCGTTAACGTCGTCCCCTTCGCTGGGGCGGCCGGCAAGCAAGGGCGGGAGAGCATCGACGTGGCGTGGCCTCCGGCGCCGTCGGTGCGACGCCCATCGCAGACCGATGAGCGGGATCGTCTGGTCAGCATCACCCTCAACCCGGCCGCACGCGGCGCACGGGCCTCCTCTGGTGGGCCCATCACCCAATCCACGCCTGTCCCTCACGTTGCCGCGGGCGCGACCGCCGGTGGCGCTATCCCCGCCTCCCACCTCTTCACTCCTCCAAACGCCCAAGCAACGGCCGGAGAAGCCACCGGAGGCCCTCGAGAGAATCAGACATTCGTGCCTCCACCTCCACTGCCGCGGAAGTCCTTCCCTGCTGCCGCGACAGCGACGACAGCGGCGGAGGCCATGGGTGATGCGCTACCACGTGGGATGGTCTTCTTAGCGCAGGAGACCCACGCCCTGCCCGCACGCCCGTCCTTCACGCCCGCATCGACCGCCCTTGCAGCGCTCCTGCCGCCCCTGCAGCCGCTGGCCAGCAACGCCATCTCCAGCAGTCTGCAGTATTTCTTGTTGCGGAAATGGAGTGCCTATCAGAAACTGCACAGCATGCCGCCTGCCGACCTTATCGCAGGTGAGGCGATGTCGCAGCGGTTCAACTCGATTACGGCGGCATGCAACAGCAGTGGCAGCAGCACTCGCACCGGCGGTGTGGGCGGTGACCGTGGCTGCCGAGTTGTGGTGAGCGGACCTCCGCTCAGCGGGGTGTCGACGACGGCGGCCTTCCTCGTGCGCCACCTCTTGCGCACCCTGCAGCTTCAGCCGCAGCACCGCCTGCACAACACCCTCGTCATCGCCCTCGACTTCCATCTACTCTTCGGACCGCAGGTGACGAGTGCGCCGGGGCTGCCGCGCGTGTTGCTCGATCTCGCCTCGCTTTATCAGCTGGTGGTGCGTAGTGTGATGGATGCCGTGGTGGCGCAGCGGCCGTCGCTGCGGGAGGCCGGCCCCCTCCTCAGCCAGTTGTGGGACTTGGTGATCAAGCCGAACGTGGAGCCGAAGGCGGCACCCAACTTTACGACCTACGCCCAAGCCGCCGCGCTCGTGGGCGGGGACGTGCTGGCGCAGTGGACGCGGTTGGTGGCGCAGATCTTTCCCATTCTCCAGGCCGCCTGTCGAGCACCGGAGACGCCGGCGCTGCGAGATGCGGCGCTGGATTTAATATTTTATGCCATACCGGCTGAAATCGCCTCGTCGCTGAACTTCTCCGGCGTGCTCTACGCGATGGACGGCGCGGAGGCGTTAACGCGGTGCTACGCAGAGCGGGTGACACGCCCGGCGGGTGACCTGGGGCCGCTGCTGCAGGCCTTGGCGGCGGACCCGCGCGTGCACCTTGTGCTCTCCTGTCCTTCCACGATTCCCCCTCGTGCGCTGTTCATTCCAGGCCTGATGGCGCACGTCTCAACGATTGGCCTCGTCACACGAGCAGCGCTAAATCACATGCATTTCCCACAGCTGCTTCGATCTGGGCGAAGAGAATACCCGGTGGAGACCTTTCTCGGCTGTCCGGGCTATCTCACGCTCTTGAACGCGGTGGTGAGGCCTTTGCGGAAGAACCTGTCAACCCCAACGACGGCCTACTCCGCGTATTATCAGCAGCACTACGAGCGCAGCCCCGCGGAAGGCTACGCAGTGCGCATCGACAGCAAGGAAGTCTCGCATGCCTTGGATAAGCTGCTGGCAGTTGTGCAAGATCTGCCGCTGACGTAGTGTTCGAGAGGGACGAATTCATTCGACTCCTTGGTGTGAATCATGCATTTACTTTTGTTTCTGGTTTTATTGCGAGTTCTTCTTCTCCTTCTGCATCTTGTACCACTATTTATCGATGTCCGTGTGTGTTTCTCCTTCGCTGCGGCTCTCCAGCAGCCTCTTCTCCTCTGTTGGGCCTGTATTGTATTCGGCTCTTTTGTTGTAGAAAAGATCACCCTAGAAAACAAAGCAAGTAAACGATTCTGCAGTGCAGCGCCTACTGAACGTGTACGACGATGTCGGAAAGGAACGCGTGGCTTTGCAGGCTGACCTGTTGGTTTTTCTTTTCCCGAATGTGGCCAAAAAAGAAAAGCAGAGATCATCACGTACATCTCCCCTTTTTCCATTACACAACGGGGTGGGACAGCAGACCTCTCTCCTCCACACCTCATCGTGCGTATGAGCACAGACTGCGTTACTCTCCTCCACCGCTTTCTTTGTGCGGCCTCCTCTTTTTTCTGTGGTTTGCTTCTCTCACAAGAATTATTGCACGTAATGCAAAGTGTATGATCACTGCACCGTTTCCTCCTCTCACCCACTCGTATCACACTATTATTATTACCCACAAACAGCAGACATGCCGAGCGCTTCCAGCCGGTGGTGCCTCATTGAGAGCGACCCCGCCGTTTTCACGGAGATGATCCAGAAGGTAGGCGTGAAAGGCGTCTCGGTGGAGGATCTGCTGATGCTGGATGCCGCCTTGATGCAGCAGTACGAGCACGTCTACGGCCTCGTGTTGCTCTTCAGGTGGCAGTCCGCCGAGCAGGCCGCTCCGCTCGGCACTGTTGTGAAAGACGCACCGGTGTTCTTTGCGAAGCAGGTAATTGAGGACGCCTGCGCCACGCTGGCCATCGTGAACACGTTGTGCAACTACGCGGAGCAGGTCGACCTTGGCCCGAAGATGCAGCAGTACCTCACCTTCTCCCAGGCGATGGACCCGGAGATGCGGGGATCGCTGCTGGACGGCTTCGACGAGCTACGCGAGGCCCACAACTCCTTCGCGCCGCAGGCCGCGTTTGAGCTGGAGGGCAAGGCGCCGAAGGACGCCGACGTTTACCACTTCGTCTCCTTCATTTATCGGCAAGGGCACATCTGGGAGCTGGATGGGCTGCAGGACGGGCCGCTGCAGTGCCGCGAGGCGACGGACGCGAACTACCGCGAGGCCCTTGTGGAGGTGGTGCAGCACCGCATTGACGACATCGCGGCAAAGGACACGAAAGGGGCCGGGCAGGGCATCTCCTTCTCTCTCATGGCCATCGTTGATGATCCGGTGGAGGTGCTAGAGAGGAAAGTTGCGGCCCTGAAAGCCGAGGAGAAGCCCACTGCCTCGCTGGAGGAGGAGCTGGCGGACCTGCAGGCTCAGCGCAAAAAGGACAAGGAGGCGAATGCACGTCGTCGGCACGACTACAACGCAATGATTGTAGCGCTGTTAAAGACCCTGGCAGAGCGCGGAGTGTTGGAGAAGATTATGGAGGAGGTGCAGGCGAAGGCGGCGACGAAATAAAGGCAGGTTTGATTGAGCGCTGCGGAGAGCAGAAACAGCGGGGTTTTTTTTTGGGGGGGGGGTTCTTTTTGTTTTCTGTGCCTTCGCGGCATCTTCTCTCTTCCTGGAGTTCTTTGCCTGTTGCGAGGCTCTCGTCCAAAACTCCTTGCCATCGCCTGTCTCTCACCGCTTCTTTTTCATGTTGGCCCTTTCCGTGTATGAAAGGCGCGCTGACGGTTTTCTTTTGCTTTCTTGACGAAACGAACTCAGCCCAAGGAGAGAAGAGAAGTACCCCTTGGATCCGTGTTTGCGTGTTGGTGCATGGAATGGGTTGCTGCTGCTCGCCACCGCGCCCATCCCGTCGTTTAGATGCACATCCTGTTGACGGTTGTGGGTCTGTGCAACGACAACTATTACGGCGGTGTTGCCTGCCGTTCTATTTTCTTGTTTTGATTTGTCTCGTGGTTTTATTGGAGAGGAGTGTGCGAGCCACATGGAGAGAAAACAGCAAAAGAGCTTCTGCTGTTCTGCGGCAGGCGGTTGCAGCATTGCTGGGTGAAGACGCTTGAGCGTGGAAGTGCAACGCGCCGCATCGCTTTCTTGAGGTCGACTGCTCCCCTGTGGGGGTGAAGGGCACCCATTAGGGTCAGTTGATGGCGAACGACTTCTTTAAACCCTCTATGTATGTGGAACACGTAAGCTTATGCGTGGGTGTGTGTGGTGGGGGGGGGGGTGAATGTTCGTCTCTGCGTGTATTGCGCCTGTCGCTGCACGACACGCGGTTCTACCTCACAGCGACAAAAAGGCATCGAACGCTTTCATGAAAGGGCTGACTGCGCATCGGTTGCTCTCTATCTTCTATTTTCGTTTCCCTTCTGTGATCTTCACGGTGATACTTGCACGCCACAAACGCGCAGTCCAGTCCTGCTACTTCTAAAGAAACTGTAGCGGTCGGCCTTTTTTTCCCCCTTCAATTTGGACTTTGCTGGTGACTGCAGGTACCTCAATGCGACGCCTGCCGCCTCTCACCACCTCACTCATCACTCGCCCTAACCTCCCGTCGCCCAGCCCGCTTATTGCATCGCTGTCCTCGATACAGCTATGCGGTAGCACAGCTTCCTCATCAACACCCGCTGTCTCTGCGGGAGTCCACAGGGCGCTGTTGTTCAGCGTGACCGGTATGGCCACCGCCGCCGCCGCCACCGCTGTTCGTCCCGCTTCCTCAACCAACCCCGGCAGCCACTTCACCTCCTTTGAGGTGGAGAGCGAACTGCAGTGGGCACAAGAAGACCTGCGCGAGCTGCAGACCCCGTTGGAGGGGGCTGCGGCGCCTCCATCGGCTCTACCAGAAACGCCTACGCTCCCATCATCATCACCACCCCTGCCTCCACCATTCCTCGACAATAGCAGACATTACAAGATGGAGGAGGAAACACACGTTGGACTCCCACACGCAGCCAAAGGAATACGACCGGTGAAGGCAATGGACGCCAGCCGCCCCGTTGATGGGCCGTGTCCGTCGCTCCCTTCATGCCTTCAGCACCGCCGGTGGTGCGACGCGGCGCACGAACGTCGTGGCAAAAGCGTTCCAGGTTATGTTGACGCAGCTCGCGAAGTGCTTGTGTATCTGGGCAAGGCATGGAGGCAACAGCGAGACGCAAGGACTTATTCGCATGCAGTTGGGGATAGCAGCTTCGCTGCGCTGACAGCATCGCTTCTGCGTGACGCACACGTGGAGGCTCTGTTGGTGCTGCTTGAGCTGGTGGTCTCACCACACTTGAGCAGCAGTGTTTACGCAAATGTCATTGCCTCCTTGAACGAACCTCGCGCCTCTCTTCTGCCGTGTCTCATGCAGCTCCTTTATCGTCGCCAGGTGGAAGTGTCAGGGAGGCACATGGCGCAGCTAAGCCAGCTGCTGCTTGCGTACTCTCCTGTATTCGTTGCCGCCTCGCAGCACGCCGCAGTGTGGGACTTGTTTACGCTGTTGTGCTACGCCACGCGGCGCCGCCTCCGTCGCAAGCACAACCGCGACTGTCTGGAAGCTTTTCTATGGGGCCTTTATGATCCCTTGAGCCGCGATGAGGAATTCAGCAAGAATGCTGACGGGGTGCACCTGCTCAACACGGCGGACGGCTTCGTTTTTGGCCGACCTTCGCCGCGTGCGACGCAGGGTGGAAGTCACCTGCAGCTGCCGAGCTGCAACGACGTGCGCGTTGCCACCCTGCACCACCTCCTCTACCGCTGTCTGCAAACGGAGACGTCGCTGCAGATAGATGCGCAGGCGGCCGCCCACATCGAACTCCTCCTCTCTTGGGCCCTTCTCCTGGCCGGCGACGACATGCGGCCCTTCATGCGCGACGCCGTGGTGCATCGTCTCTGCAAACCCATCACACCGTCCAACACCGGTGCAAGCGCGGGGAGGCGCATCTCAACGCTCGAGTCGGTGAGGCAGTGGAGGCGTTTGGCGCTGCGACACAATGAAGCTCCACTGCGGCACGTGGAAGAGAATGACAAGGGCGGGCGTGGAAAGCACGGGAAGGCGTTGCTGCCAGCAGCGGCGGTGTTCAACACGGTGGAGCGAGAAGCACGTCAGACCGGCGGCTGGGCCGTGCCTGCGATGGAGCGATGCCTGCTGTCCACTCTAATGCACTCCACGCACCTTCCAACGGGTACGCAACGAAATACGTCTTCGGCAGCGACCACGCGCTACAGGAAACCAACGCGGTCCACAAAAGCAGAGAAGACTGAGAGTGAGCTGAGACTGGCAGGGGCGGCGGCCGCCACACCACGCGCCTACGCACGACTGCGGTGGGGGTCGCTAGACTCCGGTCTGCCTCCTTACAGCTCTACCACCACACCGACCGCAGCACGCCTCTTACAGCGACGGCAAGCGTCAAGCGAGGAGGAAATTGCGGAACTGATGCACACCGCGCTGGAGCTGCCCAAGCACGCGTGGTGTCTCGCCGAGGCGGTCGCCGTGCGCTTGGTGCGGTGCCTGCGTCTTCGCGCTGCATACCCCGTTGCAGCACCCAGAGCTACCTCCGTCACACGCCGGCAACTCCTCGCTGCCTTCCGTCGACTTGCTCGTCACAGCCGTGTGGGTGTGCTGACGCACGCGCTGGTGCTGGAAAGCGATGATACGGCGACCCTGTCAGCGGCGCCAACGAAGGACGGTTGTGGGGAGGACCCTTTCTCCTTCGCCGAGTTTGCAGCGGCGGCGACGTTGACGCTGGTGCGCCACATTCACTCTGACGAAGATGCTGCACAGATAATAGGCGTGTGGTGGTATGAGCGAAGCACAGCTGCCACACACATCTCCCCCGACGTCCTCCGTCGGCTGCGTGCGTGGGTGGAGGCACTACCGCCCCCGCTGCTCTCCGAACAACTGGCGAGAACGTTCGAGCAGCTATCGCAACTCGAAACGTCGGTGCCCTCCTCGGCTTCATTTGCAGGGTCGTACTTGCTCACGAGCAGCGAGGATAAGGTGAACGACAGCGAAGCGAAGGAGGTGTGGAAGGCCATTATCGCCGCCGCACAGCCGCATAACACGGCGCAGCCTGTCCAGGTACAGGATGGGGGCGCCAGCAGCGTTGGTGCCTCCATCGACACACCAACGGCTCCATCGTTCTCCTTCTCCACAACACCGCATCAATCTTCCGTGAAGGACGCGGTGACGGTGCGCTCCGGCAACGTCGTCTCGCTGCGCCGACTGCAGTGGATCGCACTGCTCAACGACAGTCCACGTCGCGAGTGGCGATGGTTGGGCATCTCAGCTGAACCGCATTCGTGGACAGAGCAGTGCCGTCTTGTGGAGGCTTCGGAGAAGGCGGAGTTAACGGCCGTTGAGCAGCACAACGCAACGGACTTGGGGGACCGCTGCCTCCACGGTCAATGTGAGACCGCGACGGCGTCGTGGAGAGCGCTGCGTAGGTGGGGCTGGCTGGACGAGTTAATGACGACGTACAGCGGCCAAGACGGTCGAGCTGGGCTGGCGGAGGAGTGCGGAAGGGGGCGGTTGGAAGATGAGGAGCTCGGTCGTACAGCAGCCGCTGCTGAAACCGCCGCGCACGACGGTCTGTCGCCCTCCGCTTGTTTAGGCGCGTCTCAAATCATTACGCATTTCGTGAGGATCGCCTGCCACACCTTCCAGACGCTCTCGGCAACAGGAGCAACGCACGCACGTCACTCACCTGCCCCCGCCGCTGCCGATACGACGAGAACTCCGGTGACCTCGCAGACATATGCAGCTCCTTTTGAGACGTGGGAGGAGGCACTGCGCACCCTCGCCTCCTATTGCGAACTCCTCGCCACGAATGCGGAGGAAGTGAAGGAACACGACTCGGCGCGTGCGGTTCATCACAAAAAGCTGCTCTGTGCTGCTTCCGCCTTCATTGAATGCTCGATCGCCTTCTGGCGGGCCCTTCACGCCCCACTCTTCACTTCGGCTGACGTCAACGATGCCGCTGATGTGTCCTCAGTGTTGTGTGCGCAGTACAAAACCATTCTGGACTTGCACTCTGCGGTGGCACTGGCACAACAGAAGCTCGCGTTGCACCACCCCGGTGAAGAAGAAAGGGAGGCAGCGGCGTCTGCACTGCCGTCGCTGCCCGCCGAACTCCACGCAGATGTGTTCCGCCTCCTTACGCACGCGCGTGTGCCACGGTGGCGACAGTGTGAAGCGCTCCTTCTCTTGGCAGACGACGTGGCCACTTTATCGAGCGCCGGTGCGAAGACCGCCGGCGGAGGGACACCAATGACGGCGGCACGGGCTACGCCGACATGGCAAGGCTCTTTCGAAATACCACTGTTTGTGTATGCCGAGGTGCTGACGGCCTATGCAGCTCATCAACAGCCCGTGCCGCAGCAGCTTCGCGAGCGGTGTATGCGAAGACTGCGAGGCGCTTTGTGATGAGGAAAAACAACTGTGTATGTGTGCGTGTCTGCCTCTCCGTGTTTATCTCTCTTCCTCCCACTTCATTGAACGCCTCTCTTACTTCCTCAACAACCCCCCCCCCCGAACTATTTTTCTATCGAATCGGGGGTTTCTCCCGCTCGCGTTCTCTTGAGCTTCACGAAAGAAGAAAAAAACGAATGCGCACGTACGCGCCTGCCGGATACGTCGTTGAGTCTCCGCGCTCGTGGCCACAATTGGTTTGCCGCGGTAACGCAATTTGCACCGCCGAAGTTGAGAACAAGGCTGAAAGGCGTTTATTCTAATATTTCAAATTCGATTATCGTATGCTCATCAACGCCAATACGATGCCGCCCCTCTGTTTACGGCCGCACCGCCCCCTCTCCCTCCCATCTCCCCAAAGCGCTTTTGCTCCTTGCGTTCCTCGGTGTACTCCGCATACTTGTTCCTTTCTCCTCTCATCTCTCTTTTCCCCACTTGATGTCATCCTCACGTAGACATATGCAGCACACTTAAACACCACCGTGGTCTACTCCTGTGGCAGCACGCGACAGTTCGCTTTGGTTGAAGTGTGTTTGCTTCACTCGACTTTTTTTTCTGCCTATTGGATATTGATGCCTTCTACGCCCTTACGGATTCTTTGCTTTTCTGTTTCAGAAGCGCCTTCTGCACTCCTCGCGACCGCCCCTGTTGTTGTGTCGCGCACTCTGAAAAAGCCTCAGTCTCATCGTCTTTCTGTGGTGCGATAGAGGTTCTACTTCTTCCCTGCTTTTTACTATCCACTCATTTCTTGTTTACTCGTTGGTTTATCTTTATATATATATATATATCTAAGCCGTTTATTTATTATCTTTTCCCAGCAAACTCACCAGTGCTTCAGAGCTTCGTACCTCCTGTGCTTTAGATAGGATAATGATGATGTTGCACAGTTAAGTCATCTTCTACCGAACTTCTACTTGCAATCTATTTCTCTCCCTTCACCTCTCTTTACCTAAATCATTCACCATTATTCATTGCTTTCTTTTTGGCGTTATTGCTGCTGCTGCTTTGTTAGCTGTCAGCGTATATATATATATATATTAAGACGCCACAAACTTCATTCAAAAGGGAGATACAGAAGTAACCCGCACGCTCGCAATTTTTTGAAGCTGAGATCACCGTAGAGGACCTTGGCTTTTTGTTCGCTCCCTGTGTGTGTGTGTGTGTGTTTCTTTTTCTTTCTCTTTTTGCTTGTCTTTATTTTTGGTGGTTCTATCGCTTCCTTCCCTACCGCATTTCCTTCCGCTCCTTCTCTCTCTCTCTCTCTTCCTTGTGCCCTTTCTTTGTGCTGCTCTCTGGTTCGTGCTCTAGGAAAATATAGGCGACACAGCACGGGAGTTTTTGGTGGCACACTCCGGCACTTAAAAACCTGTGTGTTTCTGCATTTTTCCACCGCACGTCCCCTGAGTCAGCAAGACGACCGGAAGAGGGCTGAAGTGGATAGCGGCCCCCTCACCTTTTCCTTCTTCCTTACTATTCCGTTTTCGATCCTCTTTGGATTGTTGTTGCTCTTTATAGGCACATTTCGTTACCGCACTGCTGACTCACTACTGCCCCTTCCCCATTTCTAATATATATATATATATATATTTCTAATAACTCCACACTACCATTGTTTTCTTTTTGCTGGTTTGTAGAAGCAACAGTGTTGGGACCGAGCACGTTTTTCATCGGCCCCCTCTTTTTGCGTCACTGAAGGCAAAAGGAGTTTTAAAAAAACGTCTTCCCCTCCCTTCCGCCCTCCGCCCTCCTTAGTGAAAGATCGTATAAAGCCGCTTTGCAGGCAATGAAGCTCCATCACACGACAGCATCGTGTCGTGCGTGGGTTTTTCTTTTCTCCAGCGTCTCTTCAATACTTTTTTTTTCTCTCTTTTTCTTTGTGAGAGCTTGCGCCAGGAAAAAATCGCCGGGAGATGAATCGAAAGCTTCATGTTGTACTACTATCCCTTTCTCTCCTCTCCAGTCGACCTCTCTCCAGGAAAGGCTGTTTTCTTTTTTTCCCACCGTCCCGCCCCTTTTCCAACCCCACGAGGTGGAAATGCAGACGATCTGAGTCTGCAAGAAACTCCCTTTCGTAAAGTTCTCATTGGTTCAAAAACAAATATAAAAAAGAAAATAACGCCGTCTACCCTTAAAGGAAAATGAAAACGATACAGGGATGTAACGACACTGTTTTGCACTTTATGGATCTTTCTCCTTTGTCCTTTCTTCTTCCTTCCTTCCTGATTTGAGAGTAGTCGACTAGAGTTTTTCTAACTGGATTTGTTTTCTTTTGTTTGTTTGTAGACTTCGGTGACGGAAATGTTTATTTCTTTCTAAAGCTCTGTGAGGTGGACGCTGCTTTTTTTTTCCTTTTGCGGAACGGCGGTTTCACAGAGCACTGTTACTCCTCTTGTTTGTGTTTCTGTAAAAAGCGGTTGCCTTTGCAATGGAATATGTTAGTGAGCCGTCCCCGCGGTGTGCGCCTGCCTTTTTTCCCCTTGTTTTTTCGCTTCTCCTCTCCGCTGGACAACGTCTTATCATCTCAGTGATCGTGCCGCGTGAACGACGTTGCCGGCGCTAAAGGCGGAGTACGTTCTATCTTCTGCGCAGACGGCGGAGTCCCTTTTTCTTTATTATTACTTCTATTTGTTTTGTGGAGGACGGAGAAGCACTCCCCTCCCGTTTCATTGAAGCCAGTAAACATTTTTTTTTCTCGTACTATTCCGCTTTGATTTGACTCCGTCGATGAAGTCGATGAGCACTGAAGACGGCCGCCATAATGGGCGGGGCTTGGCTACGACGATCAAGAATAGTTCATTTCCACTCCTCAGTCGCCGTTTGGGGTCGTGCGGCTCCTTCAAAGCGCGGTTAAGGTGTTGGTAGAGGAGTCGGTGGATGCCTCTGTACTAACGCGAAAGCTTGCTGCTCTATCAACGTAAAGCACAACACGAAGAGAAAGGTGTGCGTTTAGCCATCAAGACCTGCGCCACGCACGCACTGCAGCGGTAATCGTTGAGTGCGTTTAGACCAATTGCAAACGCGTATCGGAGTGGTCACATTTTTGTGTATGTGGACGTTGTGCGTCCGCCAAGCACCGCATGCTGCTCGCCGTCATCCATCCCTCTCTTCTCGTTAGAATGAAAAGAAGCGGTGACGACGCTCGCAGCTCAGCGGAGGATCATTCCATTTCCGGTCTACACAGTCCGAAGATTCCCCTGTAGATAGGTCACCGCGCAATCTCTCCCCACACCTCACACATCTGTGCAACTATTGCCACTCCCCTCCTACCACCTTGTTGTTGGCTTACGTCTCTCTCGAGTCACAAAGAGAGCACAAATATTTGTTAAAAGGGAAAAAAACATCAACTCTGCGCTCAACAACACTAAGATTATATCCCTGCGCGTGGTTTGTTTAGTGACTCTCCTTCAATGCCTCCAGTCATCCTGTTGTGTTTGGCGTGATCCGTTGAAGGAAAGCTATATTAACGATAGGATTCGTGAGCGGTGTTGTGGCCGTTGACGGTTGACAACCGAAAGTGAAGAGGCGGAATAAACAGCGCAACGAAGAGCAGCAGCGCACATCATCGGCAGCGTCGCCACCGTTCAGAGAAAACAATCGCACATTTGAAGCTATCGTTTTCTTCCCCACCAGCGCGTCAAGCCCGACGTGAAAACAGTCGCAACGCGCACAGTATGATCCTCAGGCCGCTGCTCTTCCTGCTCTACTTGGGTTACGTTGTTGTGCTTCTCCAACGCATCGGAAATCGCTTCTTCCCCGGTCTCCGCGGTCCAAGATGGTGGGAGCAGACACTCCAGTTTTTCGGCCGCCTCCCGCTCCTCTGGCGACAGCGGCTTCAGCGCTTCTCTAGTGCCTTCGAGCGCGTCTCATTTACATGCCACATTGCGCTGGTAAGCTACCTTTTCGTTTTCTTTGTCTCCAGCAATCCATGCATGCTTCGGGGCTTCTACAGAGATCCTCCTCGAAACGAACTGTACACCCACAATGAGGTGCGTACCAACACGCCTACAGCGCCGTCCTTAACGTCGCCTGCGCACGACCCCCGCCTGCTGAGTCCTTTTCCCCCACGTTCCGCCCTCACCGCCGCCTTCTTCTGCGGCCGCCCCACCGCCAGCAGCTACGACGGCTACGCAGGGGCGGCACACGCCGCCTACATCCACCACGACATGGACCACGACCGCTTCGTCGTGCGCACCTTCGGCCGCGGCGGCACCCGCGTGGATCTGCGGCGGCGCACCGGCATCGGCCGCAGCACCTACGAGGTGTTCTGCGGGGCGTCCGTGCATGCGCAGACGCGCACCCCGCTCGCGCCGTCGCAGCACTACAGTGGGGAGGACAACTGGCTCAACAATCCGTTGTTGTCAGCCGGCACCTCTAGTAACGATCACCACCGTTTAAACGTTGACTTCGCGGTGAAGAAGTTGGCGGTGCCACATGCGTCGCCGGAGGCGGCAGATCCCTTTGACGCGGACTTCACCAAGGCGGACCAAGGCCTGCGCACGCACTACCGCCGCTACAGCCGCGACGAGGTGCTGGCGAAGAACCGCCACATGGACTTCATCTACTCCTACGTGAACGGCAGCGACGTCACACGCCTGTTTTTGAAGCCCTTTGCGCGGGAGTCAGAGTGCTCGATGCGAATCGCGGCTGTGAAACTGCTGTGGGCTGAGCTCCAGCGCAACACGAGGGCGGCGGTGGTGACGGAAGGTGAATTCAGCAGTCGGATGACGGCGTTGCTGTTTGCCGCGCCGACTGGAGCGTGCTCTGTGGAGAAGATTCTGTCTTCCTCGTGGACAACCTACGCTGCGCTGTTCCAGTTTCGTAGCTCCCTGGTGCACGCAGTCGCGAGAGCCTTGCAGCGCAACGAGACTCCCCATCGCACCTTCACCAATGCGGACCTGCTCGCAACTCTGGAGTCGGTGTTTGGCACTCAACTGGCTGACGACATCGACGCGGACAGCGATGAGCTGCGGCACAGCATGCGTGGGCTGCTGCAGCACACCCGCGACTGGCACCGCGGCCGGCTCTCTGTCGTGACGCCCTACGCCAACGTGCCGCAGTGGCTCAACCAGAGCAAAGGCTTCTTCTTGCGGTCCCTGCTGGCGGACCTCCACGCCCAGGGCGGCGCCGGTGACGACGGCCCGCTGGGCACCGCGGACGTGGCCTACGTGCGGGAGGCGCACACCGCCCAGCTGCACTACACGCGGGTGCACGTGGTGGACCAACGCGCGCTGATGCCGCCGGCGCCGCTGACCACGGTGAACAGCTTCGTGATTGAGCCCTTCATCTACCGCCTGCGCAACATCTCCGCCGTCTTCACGTTCCTCAACGACGACTATCTGATCATGCGCGACGTGGACGTGGCGGAGTTTGTGAACGCGTACGGTGGGCCGGTGCTGCGGATTGAGCACGTTGTGGCGGCATCTATGTTGCATAAACTCCCTCGCGGGGAGTTCTGGTCTGGCCTGGCGTACAACTTTTTGCTCCTGAACCGCGACCTCGACCGTCTCCCGGCGGATCACGACGAGTTCATCCAACCCACTGTTTTTGCCGCCTCGAAACATCAGGATGGATCGAAGTCGAACGAACTGAGGAGGGGTGTTCTGCGCACCGACTGGGCGGCCTTTACTGCCGCGGTGGAGGTGCGAGTTGGAGAGCACTGTAGGCTCGATGACGTTTCACGGTGCGCCGCACAGCAGACAAGCAGCCCCTTTGCTTCGTGGCTGGCGTGCGCTGACGGTGACGCTCGTGGCCAACAGTCGTGCCGGTTACCACGCGTCTCGAGGAGGGAAGGTCGCAGCTGGACGGTAGACGCTGCTGGCACGTTTGCGCGAGAGCGGCGACCACCGTCTCAGCTTTACTGGCGAGGTGCAGTTCAGCTTCCCTCCCTCGCACGTTGGGGCGACAGAGTGGTGGAGCGCGTTGTGGACGACGTGATTGAGCAGCAGCCGTTTATTCCCGCGTCCCAGCCGGTGGATGTCGCAGCCGCCCCAACCGTTGAAACACCAGTGGATCGCGACAATGCCATAATGACGAGTGTGAATGCGGTTCGCCTCACCCTGGAGGAGCTTCGCAGCTCGACGGTCACTGCTAGAGATGTGCCACCGCCAGACTTGCGTGCGCACGTGGAGCGTTTTGCGGAGATCCTGATGAGCAGCGAGTTGCCGCGCGACAAGATGCGGCGCACGCCTCCTCGCCTGCGCAAGTACCGCCTGCGGCTCGACAGCCACGCGCCGTACGTGCAGTGCCGCAACATGTGGAAGTACATTCACACGCGCTACGCACCCGACCTCAATGAGAACATGCTGCTCTCGACCAGCCGCGCGGTGACAGACTTCCTGCCGCCGTCGACGCACACGGCGCACCTGCTGCGGCATCCATGGGCGGGCTCCAGTCAGTACATCCCGTACTTGATGGCGAAGGAGGCGTGGCGGCTGCAGGCGGCGGGCGAGGAGGCGCCGCGGTCCGCGAACGAGCCGCCGCTGTTCCCGGTGGTGGACGTGGCGCTGGACAACGAGGACGGCTGCGCGCCGGCCACGTACGTTGGAGATGCGCTTGGGGATCAGCGGTACAACCATTTTACCGACAAGGAGCGAGAAAACAACGCCACCAAAGCAGCCATTCGGGGCTATGTGGACAAAGTTGCGTTTACCAACATCAACTCCAAGTTCACCAAGCCGGAGGTTGGCGTGGTGCTGCGCAACTTCCTGGAGGAGCTCTTCCCCACGCCGATGCTGCTGGAAAACGGCTGGCAGAACGGCACGGACGAGCCGCGCGTGCTGCTCGACGTGGACGGCGGCAACCGCACCGTCAGCGATCCCGCGTACACCCTCCACCACCTCCGTACCGCCTTCCACCGGCTGATGCGGCTGCCGCTGATTCTGGTGAGCAACGACGAGGAGGGCTTCTGCCCGCTGCTGCGCAGCCTGCGCCACGCGATGCCGGCCTTCCGGGGACTGCGCGTGGTGCAGGTGCTGGTGCCGCCGGCGGACGGCCGCAGCCTGTACGCGGCGCGCGCGGCGCAGCGGCACGCCTACCGCAACTTCCTGCCGGTGACGCGCTGCACGTTGCCGCCGGGCCGGCTGACGCGCGTGACGCTGCCGGCGCACAGCAGCACGGCGGACGCCATCGTGGCGGGGCTGCGCAGCGCGCGCGAGGGGCTGGAGGCGGAGGACTGGGCGGCGCCTGCGCTGGTGGCGCTGCGCGGGCGGC